CTGTCATTTTCTATGGCGTTTTTGTCCTTTGCTTGTCTTGTGTTTCTTGTCTCATTCGTCTCTCGTTATTATGATATTAGCCAGACCAGTGAGCGAACAAACATTCTTGTCTCTCTTTTTCTATTCTCTGTCCTTTCTGTGTTTTTTGTCTGTTTATCTTTTTTTGTCCTTCATTTTTTGTTCTGTCATTTTCTATGGCGTTTTTGTCCTTTGCTTGTCTTGTCTTTCTTGTCTCATTCTCGTCTCTCATAATTATGATATTACCCAGACCAGTGAGCGAACAAACATTCTTGTCTCTCTTTTTTCTTTTCTCTGTCCTTTCTGTGTTTTTTGTCTGTTTATCTTTTTTTGTCTGATTGTCTTTTTTGTCCCTTATTGAATTTTGTTCTGTCATTTGTTATGGCGTTTTTGTTCTTGCTTGTCTTGTGTTCTTGTCTCATTCCCGTCTCTCGTTATTATGATATTAGCCAGACCAGTGAGCAAAACCATGTCCTTTTGTCTCGTGTTTGGTCTCCGTTTTGTCTCCATCTCATCGCTTGTTTCCCTTTGAGCTTCTCTGTTCTTCTTCATTCTCTCTTCTTTGATCTCTTTTGTGTTGTGCTTGTTTTGTGTCTCCTCTTTGATTTTCGAAAGGTAGATCCCTGTTTCTTGTCATCTGCATGTCCCCAGCATCTTGGTATATTGCCCATGAGTCTTCGCGGTGCCTTGTTGTATGCGCGGCGCGGCCCTCTAGTGGCTGCAAAGGCAGCCCACGACTAAGCGCTGGCGCCGGTCCCCTAAACTGAAATGTAGGCTGACGTGTTTTTCTCCCCACGCTTGGAATTTCCATGCTACTGCAAGAGCTCTTGTGTTGACTGTTTGGCCTGACAGGAAACACGAACGTTTTATATGGTTAGTAGAATACAGTTTCAGCCGATCGCCTGGCAGCCGCTGGTTTTGGCAAGGCCGAGGATGAACAGACCCAGGGTCCAATTGGCAGCAGACAGCACAGACGTGAGTTTCCTTGGAGGCGCGGCTGTGTTTCCGGGCACCTTTAGATGATACGCCAGCTTTGTGTCCATTGGTCCGGGGGCCTGTTTTGAAAGACCCTCGGGGCAGTGTCCCTGTTCTAACTGACAGGCGAAACGCGGGGCGGTCTCGCGGCCATCACTGGTTACGGCGTGCCGGGAACTGGCGATCGAAAGGCGGTGAATCTATAAAAGAGATGCATGTTTCTGAGGGGAGTTGGTTTTCGGCTTTGGCACCGGTCCGTTTCTGGACACATTTTTGGGCACATTTTTGGGCACATTCCTGGGCCCGTTTTTGGACACATTCCTGGGCCCGTTTTTGGACACATTCCTGGCCTCATTTTTGGCCCCATTTCTGGCCCCATTTTTGGCCCCATTTCTGGCCCCATTTCTGGCCCCATTTCTGGCCCCATTTCTGGCATCATTTCTGGCCCCATTTCTGGCCCCATTTCTGGCCCCATTTTTGGCCCCATTTCTGGCCCCATTCTGGCCCCGCGCCGCGCCCTCCACCCAGCATACCGGCACCTGCAACATCCATCAAGAGCCGGCACACCACGCAAACGCCGACCGCCTCTCCCCCCATGTCCACCTCGTCGCCAGGCCTCAGCCAGCTGAGCCTCGCCCGGTTCGCCTCCAACATTTACGGCTCGCTCAACGAGCGGCCGGCTCTGCGCGTGCCCGGAAAACCCCGGCTGCTGCCGCCGAGGAAATTGAGCTACGCGTGTGACCGCGAGATCACCTGTGTCACGCAGCTCGACCACCCGTTGGCCCGCCTGGGCCCGCCGCTGCACGACGCGGCCGCTGCCCCGGCGCACCACGTGGTCATCGGCGGCAAGAACTACTTGAAGTTGTTGGCGCTAGACGCCGCGCAGACCGCCATCGTGGCCGACTTCAGCTTGGTCGACACGCACGCGCTGCTGCTGCTGCTGCGGCTCCACGCGTCGCTGCGCCTCTTCAACGTCAACACCATCAAGACCAAGAACGACTTGGTGGCCTGCGGGCTCACCAGCGGCACCGTGCACGTGTACCAGCTCGCCGGCAACGGCCGCGCCAGGTTGCTCCACCGCTTGGACGACCACAAGCGCGTGGTCAACTCCTTGGACTTCGTCGAGCACGAGCACGTGCTTTTCTCGGGCTCGCAGGACGGCTCGGTCCGCCTCTGGGACCTCCGCGCCTACGGCCCCAAGCCCGTGGCCAAGCTCATGGCCTCGCAGCACGCGGACCCGGTGCGCTCGTGCCAGTTCTCGCCTCACGCACGTGTGCGGGGCAAGATGGCCGTGTTGTCCGTGCACGACTCCGGCGCCCTCTGCAAGTTTGACCTCCGCTACCCGGCGGCCTCGGCCGCCGGCCTGACGCTCCCCGAGCGCAAGTGGACGTTCCACACCGGGCCGGCGCTCTCGCTCCACATCCACCCGGAGCTCGAGTACGTGCTCACGGGCGGCCGCGACCGCAGAATCTGCCTCTGGAACTACGGCGACGCGGCCCCGCATTCCGCGGCCCCGGACACCTCGCTCAACACCTATGGCCCCGTGATGAAGCTCCGCTGGAACGAGACGCCATCAGCCGAGCACGCGCCCCCGGGCCCGCTCGACATGCACGACGACTGGCGCCCGGACCGCCAGGCGCTCCAGAGCTACGACTTCGCGTGCCTGTACTTGAACGACGACCCGTCCATCACCGTCTTCAACTTGGCCCGCAAGTACATCCCCAAGGAGATCGTCAACACGCTGTCCCGCAAGCCGTTCCAGAACTTTGTGTGGGCCCGCTCGACGCCGGGGACCCGCCGACTATGGACCATCACCAAGTCCAACGTGTTTGTCTCGTACGACTTGAACTCCCCCGAGGAAACCGCCCAGAACATCCTGCGCCCTCTCGAAACGTTGCCCGCAGTGGCCACCTCGTGGACCCCCGGGGCCTCCGGCCTCTCGGTGGTGTCGCAGGACACGGACGATTTCGACATGCTGATCCCGGTCGGCAACGACACCCCGACTGAGCCCTTGGAGCGGCCTGCGTCAGAGGACTTCCGCGGCGAGGAGGATCGGTACTTCGAGCACCAGGCGTCGCCGGCCTCGTTTGAAAGCTCTATCCTCCCGAACCGCGGGCTCCAGAGCTCCCACCCGTCCACGCCCACGTTTTTCTACCAGAAAAACACAACCATGTCGCCGAAGGAACGCCCGCTACTTTTGCGACTGTCGACCCAGCACTCGCAGCCCGTGTTTGCTTCTTCGCTCGGGCTCCAGCGGTCGAACCTCACCGACTTGAGCATGGCGCCTGCGTCTCTCCGCCCTTCGCTCAACAGAAACCCGTCCCAGACTACTGTGGAATCTGTGTCGCTGGGAGGTACGGTGTACCAGCCCGTTTTGAGCTATGGATCCCATCATGGCAGTGCCGCGAAGCCACAGTTCTCTTCATCGCCATCTCCCTACTTGGTCTCCATGTCATTGCCTCTCCCGTCGGCCGACGACGCTGTGTTTGCTACGTTAGCCAACGACTATTTGACCGACATTCCTGACGCCTTCACTTTGTCCTTCGTATGTCAGATCAATGCTCGGGTCGCGGCCAGTGTCCAGCGTTTTAGAGACTGCCAGACTTGGAGAATGATTGCTGTTGCTCTTGAGCAAGACGAATCTAAATCACCTGGTCCTCCGGCCATGGCCGCGGGAGCTTTTGCGCCAGAGACTGAGGCTGCTCGAGACCATACCTCGTTAGATGTTTTGTCGAGGTCGCCACAAGAAGAAAAGTCGATCTCTTCAGACTTGGGGAACGTCGTCGGCTCCTACAACTCCAACTCAACGCTGACAACGAACTACGGAAGTGCTCCTCGCAAAAGCTCCATCACTTCATCGGTCAAAAATCTCTCGGTCTTGAGCTCTTCTAAAGAATCGGCTCATGATGAACATATACGCAATGTCAGGGCTTCTTCCCATCAGAGCTTGATGGAATATGCAAATGAGGTTTTTAGTCCGAGAAGCCCCGGTGAGACCTCACGGCCCAACAGTCTAAGCAAAGTTAAGTTGTCGCAGCTGCCGCGTCTCTTTAGCGAGCTCAATCGCAATACGGTCGTTAGTGATGATCTAAAGGCAGAAAGGGATGTTATACCTGGTGTAAACAAGGACGATGAGTGTATTCCAGAAGCAGAGACTATCTCTGCCCAAGGAACCCCGTCTCCATCGAAGATACGTAAATACCATGGCACGACTACGGATGACAATGTCTTGGAGAAGACTCGCTCAGATCACACGACCCCTCGAAGTGCCCCCATATATTGCAAGGGACCAAATAATCGAACGTTGGGATCTTCGCGTGACTTGGATGATGAGAACCTTCATATTTTGACGAACGCATCCGCATCTTTATCCTCATCTGCCTTTTCTGCTGGCACTGACAACACTCCAGGTTCCCATTTACAGGGATTATCACTTGGCTCCAGAGACTCGCAGGCGGGCTCCTGGCAATCATTGGGCAGCAAGAACTTTCCCAAGCCGGCACGGAATATTGCGCCCCATTCTGAGCAAAGACTCACTCTTGATCGCGTTGAAGAATCAAGCATAAAGAGCAAGGAAGTGTTGCCTTCGCAGCTCACAAAGGCAATGAGCAGATACGGAAAAGAAGATTCTCTTTTTAGACCGTGGCATGCGGTGAACATCATCAAAAAGTCCCTAGAGTATGCACTTGCACAGGGAGATTTGGTGATGAGTGCTACGTTAATTCTTCTTTTTCACGGGCACTTCCAGCAGAACCACACCGAGGATATTCTTGGCAAGAACGAGTGCCTAGAAGTTCTTGGGCTCTATATTGAGAGTTTGAGGTCGAAACAACTATATACCATTGCCGTGCAAGTTGTGAAGGACTCTCCCATGGCGCTAAAAGAAAGCCTCAGTGCGTATGCAGTGAAGGAGGTTGAGATGCGGTTCTATTGCTGTTGGTGCAAGACCTTGTTGACGAACGAATCGTCAAAAGAAAAGTATGGCGTGGACAACGAGAGGTTTGGCTTCTGGTACTGCGACGCGTGTTCTCGGAAGCAGCTGAATTGCGTGTATTGCAACGAGCCCTGCAAAGGACTCACATTAGTCGAGAGCCTTCAGTGTGGGCACCGGGGCCATTTTGGATGTCTCCAGGAGTGGCACCTCGAGGAGGGGAATGTGGAGTGTCCAGGAGGATGCGACTGATGCATTTGGATGATAAAACTCTGTACGTGGGATCAACAGACTGGGCTATATCAACACCACGTCACCCAACTCCAAATACTTCATGATCAAGCGATAACGCACGACGTATATCCCGTCCTTGACGAGCTCCAACTCGTCGTTTCCAAGGTGAAGCACGATGGTGTCGTCGCACACAACGCGGATGAATACGGGCCGGTCGAGGTCGGGGGTGGTGATCATGTTTTCCCCGCCTGTGGTGTCGTCCAACAAGGTCAAGAAGCTGGGGAACTTCTTCAAAAAGCTGTTGTTATAGAGCTGGTTCAAGATCTTGAAGTGGCCGTGCATGTAACTTTGCTCGGGCTCGGACAACAAGGGCTCGCCAGGCAGTTCCTCTGCGGTCTTGTTGATATAATAGATGGTGAACTCGTCGATCTTCGCGAGCCGGGTGCGGATGTATAGTCTGACGAGATAGCTCAAGCGCTCGATGTCGGTTTCCACGATCATGAGCTGGAGCTTGAAATCCAGACTGATGACGCCCGCCTCGGCGTTCGAGTCGCCGTACTCGTACGAGTCGAGCAAAAACTGCTGCTGGTCCAGAATTCCCCGGAGAATGCGGGCCATGAGCGTGTGCTTATAGGGCAAGAGATCCGGCGCCATTCGCTCGTTGAGCATGGCCGTCACAAGCTGCTGGCGGAGTCCTGCCGAGGACTCCGTGCGGGCCCCGCGCGTGTCTTTTTCGAAATCCGCCAAGATGTCGTCGATCTCCATTTTGGCGCAGACGGTGTGTTCTTCGAAAGTAGTGCTTGGGTGCGGCGGGCCGGCCTTGGGTCTGCTGCGCTCGGCTGGGGCCAACGCTCTGGGGCCGCGGCCCTGGACATGGCGCTGGCACCGTACCTCGCCAGACCGAGCACATTAGCCATGCCAGCTTCCAGCACGCGATTTCAAAGAAAACAAGAAAAAAAAAGCCGAAGACTTCAAAGCTGGGCCGGGAGTATGAACCTCAGTGACTGGAAAAATTTCGGCCACTTCGCTCTGCACCATTTGGGCTGGTCTACTATGGGCCCCACTCCATATCTGGCCCTCAGGCCAGTGGTGGCGCGGGCCAAGCGCGCGCCGCCCGCAGCGCTCTGCCAGGCTCTGCAGTACCACTGTTTACCTCCAGGCTTCATATCTCCCACTGCTTCTGGGCCATGGCTTCTTTGGACAGACAAGCCTTGCTTGAACAAAAGCGCCGGCGGCTCCAGGAGCTCAAGGAACGGCGCACGGGCGTGGCCTTGGTCGACGCCACACAGCCCAACTTGGCGATAGTGGAGCCCGAGGCTCCCCGATCCATGGTGGACTTTGCAGTGCAAGTTGACTTTCTCCAGCCAGCGCCGGCGCCACAAACCGCAGCCCCGAACAGCCAGCCCAGCGTCGCTCCTAACACCGAGTTCGATCAGCCGCTGCCGCGGCCGCTGGTGAAGTTCGACAAAATAATACAGACGCATTTCGAGCGGACTGTTGACTTGGGCCATCTCCTTCCTAAGCGCCAGCCGCTCGGGCCAGCCGTGGATCCTGGCGAGCCCGCGGAGCCTGAAAGGCTCGAGCCGGCAGCCACTTCCGGGCCCGACCTGGCCACGGAGACCAGGGGAAAAGTCGAGCTGTCTCTCGACGAGTTTCTCAGGGACGCGGGCTTCCACTTCTCGGACCTCCGTTTGGGGCTCAGGCACGAAGAGGCCATTGATCGGGATGTCGTGGCCCCGTTCACTGTCACAAAGAGCGTGTCGGACTTCATCTCCAGGCCGGTGGTTGCCGTGGCCGCCACGCCCGATCACCCGGACGTGTTTCTAGCTGCGTATGGCAAGCCGCACAAGAGCCCACGCTCCGGCAAACGCCCCCTGACCGCCCTGGCAGGCCTTGCCGTGTTGTTCAACAGATCCTCCGACGCGATTGTCCCGGAGTTCTTTCTCCAATGCACCAGCTATATCCGCACGATCATGTTTGACCAAACCAATCCGTTCAAGGTTTTCGCCGGGCTCGAAAACGGGCGCGTTGTGATGTGGGACCTCGCGAGCGTCGAGCCCACGCGGGTGGCCGTGCTCCCGACGCTCCAGACATCCACGGTGGCATCTTCTGCCGTGAAATCCCAGCATAACTTCATCCACCACATCTCACCCATCGTCTTGATGACGCAGCTAAACACGGAGACCGCGCAGAGCTCAGGGATCTTGAGCATCTGCGAAGACGGAGTGGTCAATCTCTGGTCGCCCAACTTCTTGGCTTTTCCCAAGATCGCCTCTCTTAAGCTTGCAGACCACGACACAAGCGTGAAGATCCCTTTCAAGCTCACAGACGCGCTCATCCTGCTGGCGATCTTGCGTGTCCACGAGCAAACAGGCCATCAAAACCCACCGGAGTACAATTTTCTCAACCTGACGGTGGCGGCCTCGAGGAACGGTACAATCTACAAGCTTGTCAATGCAAAGGAAAAAGCGTATATAAGAGCGAAGTTGGTCGAGGCTCCTGGCCACGAGCAGCCCTGGGCACGGGATGTCAACTCCGTGGTGGAGCTCAAGTACAGCCCGGCGACCACGTTGTTGATTTCCGCGCATGCAGACTGGTCCTTGAAATTGTGGGACTCGGAGTCCTGTCGATTGAGGCACGTGCTGCCCACGTCGACGCTAGTGTCTACTATAATAGTTCGTCCTGGCCACAGCAGCCAGTTCATCACCATTGGCAATGTGCGGCCACCGAAAATCGGGCTTTTTGTTGAGTTCTGGGATCTCAAGGCCAAGATATTGGGCCCCATATCCACCATCCCCACCAGGGAAAAGAAGCTCGGCTCTGCTCTTTTCAACGCCGACGGCTCCGAAATGGTTTTGGGGTATGACGATGGCGAGATAGACATCTTCAGTATTGAAGAGTCACTTCTTTCGTCGCAAATACAATTCCAAACACATCGCTCCGTGGACGAAGGCATCGACAAGCTCTTGTCGGCTCTATAGTCTTGTGTATCGTAAATGTGCGCGCATGCTCAAAGAAACTTAGACACAAGTAAATCTCTGGGCCGGACTCTGAGCTCGTCGGGGATTTGCGTGCCGGCTGACGGGGTCTCCTGCTCCAAAGACACGCAGTCTTGGGTAGCCAAGACCAACAACTCGAAGAAGCACTTGGAGGCCTCCCTTCTGTTGCTGATCCTCACTGCTGAGGCCGATTTGTGCGTCGTGCCAAGAGGAGTGGGCACGCCAGGCGCTGTATCCTTGTCCATCAACTCGTCAAGCGTCACGGCAGGCTTGTCGAAAAAAAACTGTCTGAGGTGCTCCGCCACTTGGGACGTGCTGCGGAGGTTTTCCGGGCCCGAGTCCTCCACCAGTTCGTCGCCGTTGTCGGGTTGCTTCTGGGGCGACTCGGGCGCATGGTCTGAGTCTAGACCGGGCAAGGATAAGTCGAAGTCGATGTTGGTGTCCATATCCATGTCCAAGTCCAAGGACTCATCGGCAGGGCCGTCCGCACGGAGGGCGTCCTCCTCGGCGGACAACTCCAAGCACCGCTCGCGGAGCTGCTCGTCGAGGTTCCAGATCTTTCTCTTCTTCGACTGGATGGGCGCCGCAAGCTCGTGGATGAGATCGAGTTTTTCCTCCGGCGTGAGCCGGAGCGTCAACGAGTCTTCAGGAAGCCTCCCCGTGGCTTGCAAGGCCTGGATGCTTCTCAAGACCTCGTTGGGGATTCCGCGCTCCACGTCTTCCTGCGAGTCCACAACCAATCTCCTCTTGGCGGTGCGCACGGCGACTGCTGGGGCGGGTGGTTGCGGCGCGTCCGGGGCAGTGCTGGGTGCGGCGTCGGGGGCATCGCCAGGGAGGTCCAAGTCGAAGGTGACGTCGGGCAAACCGCCACGCTGCACCGGCGACTTCCCGCCAATGTCCAAGACCGATTGGTCCGCGTCCGGCAAGGCGGCCTGCGCGTCACGACCGACCTCAATGGAGCGGTCCGCGTCGAGGTCGAAATCTAAGTCCAAGTCCAAGTCGAGGTCTGCGGCGTCGTCCGGGTCCGTGCCGGCACGGCCGATTTCGACGGAGCGGTCGGGGGCATCGGGGTCCGGGAGCTGGCTGGCCACGGAGTCCTGCAGCAAGCGGGCCGAGGCGGCGGCGGTTTGGTCGGCGGCGTCGTCCAAGACCAAGTCGTCCTGGTAGAAGAGATCGTGTCCGCTGATCTGGTCCTGGAGCGTGATGCGAGAGAAGGAGGAGAGCGTGGTGCGCTGCGGCGGGAGGTTGACGGCGGCCGCCAGGACCGCGGCGGGGCCCAACGACGCGCCGCTGGCGTACTGAAACGAGGTCTTGAGTTTGTGGAGCGTGTCGTTGATGTCGTCCAAGAGGTACTTTGTCTTGCGCGAGTAGATGCGCACTATGCCCAAGAGCAACTGGCCCGAGAGCCGGAGAGTGATTGTGTCGTGGGCCGGGTCTTGGGCGGCCGCGGGCCGGATCTGCCGCGCGGAAATGAGCGAGGACGACGCGACGATGTTTGTGTTCAAAAACTGCTGTTTGGAGAGCTTTTTGTCGTAGTTGGACGCGAGCCACACGTGGGCAAGCGGGCCCTGGCGAGCCACCAAAAGCTCGGACATGCTGATTGGGCGAGGGTGTGATGTATGAGGATGGCTGCTGGGTTTGCAAATGTGGCGCTGGCAGGGGCTAGCAAATGGCGGCAAAAGGCAGCGGCTAATGGCAGCGGCTAATGGCAGCGGCTAATGGCAGCGGCTATGAGATGCTTTGGTTTCTGGTGTCTCCCACTTAAAAAGTGATTCAGGCGGAAGCGTCTCTGGGTAGTGCCTCTGTGGCAAAATGTCTGAAAGTGTCGTTGGCTATACTCGCTGGAAGCGTATGGGGAACAGCTGTAGAAATGGGAGAAAAGACGGGAGAAAATAACAAGAGCACGCGCGCCGCGTCCAGGTGCCTCTGGCCCAGGACGCGCGTCACGTGACCGTGCTGGTTGCGCGCCGCGGTGTCAACACGCTGGCAGGCCGGGCCAGACTTGAGGGCCTGGAGCTAGGCAACATAGCTAATAGTGGGCAGGACTTCTGTGCCCAGACGCGTGGTTTCTGTGGGGGGTTTGAGTTAGAATTTCGGTGGTGTTGTTGTTTTCAGTTTTGGTGGGTTTTGTAAGGTCGAATTCCGGTGGGCTCTGTGTGTTTTGATGCCGGTGGGCTTTGCAGTTTATTCTCTCGGTTTTGGAGATTTTTATAAAGGTCTGTTTTGTAGGTTATAATTTGAGTGTGTTTTGTAGGTCTTAGTTTCGGTGGGCTTTGCAATTTATTATCTCGTTTGTATATTTTAATTAAGGTCTGTTTTGTAGGTTATAATTTGAGTGTGTTTTGTAGGTCTTAGTTTCGGTGGGCTTTGCAATTTATTATCTCGTTTGTATATTTTAATTAAGGTCTGTTTTGTAGGTTGTGATTTCGGTGGGTTTTACAGCTCCTGAGCTCTGCTATGCTATGGCACACTGTGAGTAGGGACCGGCCCTTGTTTATTGCAAAGGGTTCGTGCGTTCTAATGTATTGTTGTTCTGCCGAGACCACGATTATTGGCTGGGCCAGTCGCACTGGGCGAGGGACATCTGCGGCCTATCGAAAGATACTCTGGGCCAGGTAAATATGAGCAGCTGTTGGATTTTTCTTCACCCATACCTGCAAGCCATTGTTGCAATGATTCAGTTCTTTGAGTTTATCCTATTAAACTGTCTGTGTCATGATTCAACTCGTTTTCTTTGCGTTATGATCAGGGCATCCTATGGGAATATTCAATAAGCCAGATCGCTTACTCTCCGAACATCTCAGAAGCGCACTAGAAAAAGGCACGCTAGGATAATATGATTAGGATAATATGACCAGGATGATATGAACAGGATAATACGACCAGGTCAACATGAAGCCCACATTGACAATAAAAACCGGAAGGTTAGAATATAGTATCAACATATCTGCTTTCCGGTATGTTGGATGATAAACTTTGACCGAGCATAATCGCAAGCATCAATTAAGCACTCAATCGACTGGAGGCACTTCGCAGGCCGTGTCTGCACTAGGGCTCTTCTCTGTCGTATTATTCCTTTTCTTTCTGTCATTTTCTTTTCGGTCTCTCTTTCCTATCTTCCTATTTTTCTTTCCTATTTTTCTTACCTATTCTTCTTTCCTATTTTTCTTACCTATTCTTCTTTCCTATTTTTCTTTCCTATTTTTCTTTCCTATTTTCCTTTCCTAATGTCCTGACCTATTTTCCTTTCCTAATTTCTTTTGCTATCTTCCTTTCCCATTATCCTTTACCATTTTCCTTTCCCATCTCCTTTCCCATTTTCCCTTCCCATCTCCTTTTTTAAATCTATTCAGTATTCTCCGTACTGTATATCTACTTCTGTCTTCTCTCCTCCCTCTCCTTTCTCTCCTGGCGTGGCGCTCGCCGCAGTGCCCTACATAATGAACACGGCCGGCATACTACCTGGAACATGGCGCTCCACACGTTAGGAGGGTTCTGAGACGGATTCCCATAACCATCCCCACTACCCCCGGCACCAGATGAATCTCGAGGAAAAACTCACCAAATCTCTCAGCGACATCCTACGTACGTCCGGCTATGTCTTTGAGATCATCAACAACAACAAGCGGCAGAGCAATCTCATAGCAGGCCCAAACAACCAGCTTATTCCGCCGCCCATGATGGAGCAGCTTGCGCAGAAAATCGCCAGTTTCGAGCTGATTCTCGACGACACCGTCGCCAAGTTCAACGACGCGCCGTGGTGCGTGGACCAAATCGTCCAGAACAAGAAGAAGCAGGACGAGCAGAAGATCCGGGAAGATCGAGAGCGGCAGCAGCGAGAGGAGGCGGAGCGCAAAAGGAAAATCGAAGAGGAGGCGCTAGCGCAGAAGAGGCGGGCCGAGGCCGAAAAGGCGGCACGTGACAAGCAGCGGGCCGACCAGGAACACAGGGACAGGTTGGCCCGTGAACAAGAGCAGAGGGAGCAAACGGCTAAGGACAGCCAGAAAGCCCAGCAGCACCAAAACCAGCAGCACCAGCAAACGCGGCAAAATGCCCATAACCCGAATCAGCAGAACCAGGCACAGCTACTGCAGCAATACACGGACCACGAGGGCATGGCCGACGGGCCCATCCTGCAGAACGAGCTCATGGACCCGAGCTTCGATCTCGACATGGATATCCCCAACCCCTCGGACATCCTCTCGATGAATTTCAAGGACGATGCAGACCCCGGCATGGGCGCAAAGGAGGGCAACCCGCCAAACACAGACAACCCCAACTCGGACGTGAACGGCATGATCAAAGGCAGCGACTCGCTCTTGGACGACTTGAATATGGACTTGCTCGGGGAAGGGTTCGACGAGGGCCCGGCAGGCGGGGAGGAGGAGTTTGATGTGGAGAATTTCTTGAACCAGTTTGGCCACGGAGGCTGAGGGCCCTCGGGTCTGCTGCGCCATGGCTGCCATGTCTAGCTTCGACTGGCGTGGATTTGCGTGACTGGTGAAACCATGGGCTGGAGCAGTCTGTGGAGGGGGTGGAGAGGAGAGCAAGTGGGATTAGAGGTTTTGCAGACCAGGTGACAAGACCAGGTGACAAGGCCAGGTGACAAAGCCAGGCACCAGGCCGCACATCAGGCCGCACATCAGACGAGTACCTGGAAGGAACCCCGCCGAGATTCAGCTGATTGCTAGATGAGAACAGGAGAGAGTTACAGGCGAGCTCAAGTGGAAAGTGGTCGGGGCTTCTGTGATTGAGACATGAGCCGATGAAAAAAGACGATCAGAGGAGAGAAGAGGCGATTGGACGAGATCAGAGGGAGTTAGTGGAGGTCGGACGAGAAGAGACAACCAGATGACATCGGATGAAATAACAACCAGATGGCATCGGATGAAATAACAACCAGATGACATCGGATGAAATATCAATCAGATGACATCGGATGAAATATCAATCAGATGACATCGGATGAAAAACCAACCAGATGACATCGGATGAAATAACAACCAGATGACATCGGATGAAATAACAACCAGATGACATCGGATGAAAAACCAACCAGATGACATCGGATGAAATAACAACCAGATGACATCGGATGAAATAACAACCAGATGACATCGGATGAAATAATCAGATGATATCGGATGAAATACAGTCAAACGACATCAATGTTTATGGAAATCCACCAAACAACATCGGAACTCCATCAAACCACATCGGACAAAACTACATTCAGATGAGAACAGACGGGTTGAATCGTGGGCGAAGCACAAGCATGGGCCTCGAAAGACCCAGGCAAGCACACAACACATCATCCCGTCTACCTACGCATTCCCGAGATGAAAGCCTACTTTCTACTGGCCTATTTTTTCTCCCCTCAATTCCGTTGCTGGCCGAGCACATTTGCATCCACCGCTGGTGCAGGCAGTCTGCTGAGAAAAGCGAGTGGCACCACCAACGGGCGGCGAAAAGCCGCAAACCAGAATCCCGGGGTCTGCTCCAACGGCCGCAAGCCGCGTTTCCGTCGCTGCTCCAATGCCATAGGCCATGGAGGGAAAAGGCGCCTTGGCCAATAAATCCAGGCCCCAGGCCCGGCGCGCGGGCCAGCCAATGAAAACAGCGCACGGCGCGTCGTGCGCGGCGCAATTCGGGCCGGCCCCCAGTGCGTGGTGAGAAAAGGCCCACGGCCAGCGCTGGGCCCTCACCCTCGTCCCCAAACAACCCCCAGAATGTTCAGACAAACCCTCCGCCAGGTCGCCAGACAATCCTCCACCGTCGTCAGAAGAACGTACGCCACCGAGACCGGCTCCGACGCCTTGAAGTTGTCCTTGGCGCTCCCCCACCAGACCTTATACTCGGAGTCCGAGGTGCAGCAGGTGAACTTGCCCTCGGTCAACGGAGACTTGGGTATCTTGGCCAACCACATCCCAATTGTCGAGCAGTTGAGGCCAGGGCTCTTGGAGATCATCTCCAAGGGCGGCGAGACCGAGCAGTTCTTCGTGTCCGGCGGGCTTGCCACGGTCCAGCCAGGCAACAAGTTGACGGTGTCTGCCATCGAGGCGTTCAAGCCCGAGCAGTTCGACGCGCAGCAGATCAAGACCTTGATTGCCGACGCCCAGAAGAGAGCCTCGTCCGCCGACGAGACCGTGGCCGCCGAGGCCAACATCGAGTTGGAGGTTCTCGAGGCCTTGCAGCACGTGGCCAAGTAAGCCGGTGCCCGCCCCGGGGCCGCAGCTCGAGGTGTAGAGTTACGCAGATCATATAAAAATTACAATGTCATGACAATGTTCCGCTCCTGGAATCCGTAGGCCCGGGCACGGTGCCTGTCTTGCTTGTTTAGTCTCGTAGGACGGAGCCGAGGGCGTTCCGGCGACATGCACCATGGCGGGTCCAGACCGCCCAACTGGAGCCTGCAATCTTCCAAAGCCCGCCGGGCCAATTGGGCGGATTTCGCTATTCCGGCGGCCCTGTTTTAGGCCTACATTTAGGGCCTCTATTCCGAACCCAGGCCGGTGCGAAAATTTTTAGCTGGGGCACTTCCGCACCGCGCCGCGGCCCCAAGGCCTATCCTTCCAAAGTCCCCTAGAATCCCATAGTCCCTACCCACCACAAGCCCCAGCATGTCGTTGACGCCCAAGGAGGCCTTTGCCAAGCTCCCCCAGAAACTACACAAGTTCTTTATCCGGTACCCGCCGCGGCCCTTTGCCTCGTACCTGGACAAACCGTCCACCATTAAGGACCCTGCGTTGAACCCGTTCTTGCCCAACAAAAACAGCGAGACGGGCCGCTGGCACTCGGCGAAGGTGTCGTTGAGGAGACTGGCGGACTTGTACAAGATGGCCCGCAAGTACGGGATCGAGGACCTCTTGCCGCCGGTGCCCCACCGCAAGTTCCACGAGGACAAGTACGAGAACAAGAACTGGATGAGGGGCGTGTTGTTCCAGAAGAAGCAGAAGTGGGAGCGCGAGCTTCCCGCCAAGCTCGAGAGGCGGAGAGTCGCCTTGGAGAACATGGACGAGACGATTCTCGCGGCCCGGCCCTCGTACAAGAAGCAGCTTGCCAAGAGAGAGCAGAACAAGAGGACGTGGTTCTGAACACACACCTGTATATATTGACATGGATACTTTCGGGGCTGTGCTGTAGGAAGTGTAGGAGGACGTGGCTGTGGTGCCTGGGTCATCTCCCTGGGTCATCTCTTGGTGCCTGGGTCATCTTTTGGTGCCTGGGTCATGACTCTATTCCGTGGCGCCCCGCATATCCCTGTTGTGTTGGGGGCATGTATCTGCTCAGACCGCTCGGCCACGTGGAGTCACATGCTTCGTCCGCTGGTGCACCTGACCTCCAAGCACTACGCACCCAGAGCCGTGGTATATAGACGTGGAGATGGCCTGCTGTAGATTATACAGACGGTAGTAACTATACATTATACAAACGGTAGAGACAAATGCTATGGATTAGAAAGGGTGTAGAGATGAACTGCTATGGTTTATATGGACGCGGAGATGAGCTGCTGTAAACGGTATATATGAACTGCTATAGATTATACAAACCAGTGTCATGAATTGCTATACATTATACAGACCTGGAGATAAACTGAGATATACTATACACGATAGAGATGAATTGCAACTGATTATACAGGCGGTATACATGAACTGTTGCAGATTATAACTACTATACATTATAAGACGGCAGGGACTGCTATACATTATACAAAAAAGTGATATGAGCTGCTATTGGTTATACAGACAGGGGATATGAACTGTTATACATGATACAAAACAGTGATATAAACTGCTATACACCATACAGACCTGGAGATAAACTGAGATTACTATACACGATAGAGATGAATTGCAACTGATTATACAGGCGGTATACATGAACTGTTGCAGATTATAACTGCTATACATTATACAAGACAGTGATATGAGCTGCTATTGGTTATACAGACCAGGGATATGAACTGCTATACATGATACAAAACAGTGATACAAACTGCTATACATCATACAGACGGTATATATGAACTGCTACAGACGGTAGAAACTGCAGTAGATTATACAGGCGGTGGATATGAATTATAGACGATGTAGAGATACACTGCTATAAATTATATGGACATAGAGATGACCTGCTATAGATTATGCAGATGGTGGCTTTGAACTGCTGGAGATTATACAAACCAGTGACATGATTTGCTGTACACTATACAGATGATAGAGGTAAACTATTTTACATCATACAGACGGTGCAAACTGCTATGATTTATAGAACCGGTAGAGATAGACCACTACTGCTACAGATCACAGACGGAGATAAACTGCTCTAGATTTTACAGACGGTGGATATGAACTGCTATGCAAAACAGTGATGTGAACTGCTATACAGTATATACAGACGGTATATATGAACTGCTCTAGATTATGCAGTGGCAAATTGCTTTACACAGACGGTAGATAAACTGCTCTAGATTATACAGTGACATACATTGCTGTACCCAGACGGTAGATAAACTGCTACACATTATACAAAACAGTGATCTGAGCTGCTATTGATTATACAGACCGATATAAACTGCGATCGATTGCACAGACCATAATATAAACTCCCATACAATATAAAGACAATGGTGATAAACTGACACAGACTATAAAAAGTATACATAAACTGCTAGACATTATACAGACGCTCACTGTACAGACAGTTGACATAGACCGATATACATCATACAACAGTATATATAAACGCCTACAGATTGATGCAGAGGCACGGACACGGTGTGTGGGCAGCCGTCGCCAAGAAGCTCGTGATGGACGGCCCAAACAGGCCAGACACCGCCAGTGTGCGTCGAGGTATCGGAGGTCTGGCGAGAATCGGCCCGGCATGTGTCGTGGCTGGCCCGCTTATATGCGGAGACTCCACGGAAAGCTCGCCACTTTCAAGCAAGCAGGGTCTCTGTCGGCGCACTCTCCAGAAACACATGCTAGGGCATAAGCCCCGGCCGTTTTTGGCTTCCACAGCAGTCCTGGCGCAGCGCAGCCCTTCGGCCATGCCGCCGTCCCTGCAGCTCTGCAACGCCCCTCGGATCTCCCTGAGTAAAAAGCTCACATTGCCACGGAATGCCCGCAGCTGCCCAAAAACGCCCGGGATCTCCAAGGATCTCGCGCACGTGCCAGGCAAAGACTCCGGCGCCTTCAGAATGCCCGCTTGCCCTTTCGGAACGGCTTCTTGCGGTCTGCCACCACCTTGCCCGGCCCGGCGCCAGGCCCCTTCATGCGCACCAGGCTCTTGGCAAGCAAGCCTTCTATATTGAGGTCGTCCGGGAGCAAGACCTGGCGGATCTGGTTGCCGCGGATGCTCATGAATTGCATGAGCTGGGGGTCGCGATGCGGCTGGATGAGCTTGATGTTTTTGAGCGAAATGTTCATCAGAGGCGAGCACGAGAGCACCTGGCCGTTGACCGAGCTGCCGTTTTTGAGCTCCACGGTGACGGGCTGGTTGGTGGCGGAGGGCAAGTTCATGAGGAAACGCACCAACTTCATGCTGTCGGGGATTTTGGGTGGAGAAGGGGGTGGGTCAGGATTTGGGTGGGTCAGGGTAGGTGAGTGAGAAGGTGAGTGAGAAGGTGAGTGAGAATATGTGAGTGAGAATGCGAAGGTGAGTGAGAAGGTGAGTGAGAAGGTGAGTGAGATTAAGTGAACGAGATTAAGTGAATGAGATTAAGTGAGTGAGAATAGGTGGGTTACAATTTTGATGACAGAAAATTTAGATGAGGAAGAATCTAGGTGAGTGGGAATTCGAGCCACTGACAATTTAGGTCACGGGCAATCCAGATGAATTAGACTTAGGATTGGGGTGAGTGAGAATTGAGGTGAGTGAGAATGCGAGTGAGATTAGATGAGTGGGGAAAGATGGGTGAGATGAAGTGAGTAAGATTAGGTGGGTGAGATGATGTGGGTAGCAATCTGGGTGGGAGAAATTGGATGAGGGAGAATTAATATAAGGGAGAATTAAGATGAAGAATAATTTAGATGAGGAATAATTTAGATGAGAAAAATAAGGTGAGGAATAATTTAGATGAGGAATAATTTAGATGAGAAAAATAAGGTGAGGAATAATTTAGATGAGAAAAATAAGATGAGGAATAATTTAGATGAGATAGAATTAAGATGAGGAAGAACTAAGATGAGAGGAATTTAGATGAGAGGGAACTTGGATGAGAGAGATGAGAGAGAATTTAGATGACGGAGAATTTTGATGAGTGGGAATCTAGGTGAGTGAGAATTTGAGTCACTGACAATTCAGGTCACTGGCAATCCAGATGAATTGAATCTAGGTGAGTGAGAGTGAGATTATGTGGTAACAATTTAGTATCTAGGCGAGTGCGAATAGTGAGTAGCAATTTGAATAAGTGCAAATTTAGATGAGAATGGCAACTTAGGTCACTGACTATCTAGCTGAAGTAAATGAGTAACAATCTAGGTGAGTGAGAATAGGTGAGAAGCGATTTTAATGAGTGACAATCCAGATCACTGACAATTAAATGAGTGACAATTTAGATCACTGAATATTTAAATAAGTGTCAATTTAGGTGATAAGTTAAATGAGTATCAATTTAGGTGACAATTTAAATGAGTGACAATCCAGATCATTGACTAATTAAATGAGTGACAATCCAGAACACTGACTATTTAAATGAGTGTCAATTTAGGTGATAAGTTAAATGAGTGTCAATTTAGATGACAATTCAAATGAGTGACAATCCAGATCATTGACTAATTAAATAAGTGACAATCCAGAACACTGACTATTTAAATGAGTGATAATTTAGATCACTGTCAATCTTGGTGACAGTTTAAATGAGCGCCAATTTAGGTGACAATTCAATTGAGTGCCAATTTAAATCACTGACTATTTAAATGGGTGACAATCCAGATCACTGGATAATCAACTGACTAACAATTTAGATCACTGAATATTTGAATGACTAACAATTTAGATCAATCAAATGAGTGACAATTTAGGTGACAATTTAAATGAATGAAAAGAAGTGACTGACAATCTGGGGGTGGAGGGAGCGAGAAACGAAAACATCACCAGGCGGGGGCCCGCCCCGGAAGCTCTGGTGAGGCCTGCCCAAACGAGCCCTCCTACAGAACGCGATCGGCTGGGTGAGGACTGGATTCCAACGGCTCCAGTCTACCCGGCGCCGAAGCTCTAAGAGAAAACCCTATATAAAATATCGCACCGGTTGAAGCCCGCTGTTCCCGCCGTGCCCACTGTGCCCGCTGTTCCCGCTGTTTTTGCACCGCCCGTGCCCATCTCTTGTCTACAGTTTTTTTTTTTTTTTTTTCCAGTGGAGGCGGACGGAGCATGGCCAGGGCCTCCTACAGGCAGTGGTGGTGAAGGAAGTGCGCGCGGGTTTCGGGGCCGTAGGGCCAGGGCCAGAGCCAGGGCCGCACTAACCAATGACAGATGGACAGGGTTTGGAATACGCCGCAAACCGTGGACAGATATGGTGCCGTGGCGGACATGCATTGTGGTGCTGGCAGTATGGGGCTGGCGGCCGGGATCTGCCCATAGCTCCTGCCCATGGCTCCTGCCCATGGCTCTGTCCATGGTTCCCCTGAGAGCCTGCCCTAAGATCCTGCCCGAAGCGCCACGCGCACCCCACCAGATACCCCACCAGATACACCACCAGGTCCTCCGCCCTACAAGAGCACCACCCAAACACCCCCTCAATCTAGCCCCTCCAATCACCACCACCTCGAAAGTCAACAACGCCCCGCCCAACAGCAGCAATACACTCCCCCCACCGCTCACCATGGCCGGCCTCACCGACCACCTCCTATCCATCCCCCCGGTCACCCGGTTCTTCCTCATCGTCACGATCGCCGTGTCTCTCGGCATCTCGTTGGACATCGTGTCGCCCGCCACAGTCATGCTCGGCGTGGCCGCCGACACGCCGCCCCCGCCCGCGCCGCAGTGGGCGCCGCAGGGCCTGTCGGCCAAGGCGCAGCTCGTGGCGTGGGCACTCCGATCCGTGCCGCGCAGCTACAAAATGTTCACGTCGTTCTTCGTGGTGGACGGCGTCAAGGACAACGGCGTGCTGCTGCTCTTGAACATCTACCGCTTCTACATGTTCTCCAACTACTTGGAGGACTCGCGCGGGCGCTTCCGCGGCAACTTCCCGGACTACCTCTGGTTCGTGTTGGTCAGCGGCGGCTTTCTCCTAGCCATCAACGGCGTGCTCAAGCACCTCGGCTACTACACGCTCTTCTACCACTCGCAGCTCCTGTCGTGCATGACGTTCCTCTGGCTGCGCGCGCTGATGAACTCCGTCATCAACTTCTTGGGCATCGTGCCCATCAAGGCCTACTACTTGCCTCTCTTCGACCTCGGCATGGCCACCATGCTGGGCAAGTACCACCCGGCAGACTCGTTCGCCGGCATCTTGGCCGGCTACATCTACGAGTGCGTGCAGTCCGACACCTTGCCCGTCTACAACTTGCTTCCGGGCGCCTACGGCTCGCGCCTCGGCCTGCCCGCCAACGGCCGCCGCGTGGGCTTCAACGTGGACACCGCGCTCTCGCCCAACACGTTCACCCAGGCCGTGTTTGACTTGGGCTACTGGAAGGCCCCGCGCTTCTTCTACCGCTTGCTCCAGTACCCGATGGACACCTCCGTGCGCACGACGGCCTTCACCAAGGCCCCTGCGGCCGGCTCGGTCCCGGGCTCGGCGCACGCTTCCGCCCGGTCCTCGGGGGCGACCAAGCAGACGTTCCGGGGACAGGGCCACCGCTTGGGGACACTTTAGAAAGCGTCCCCGCCGTTATATAGTGAATCGTGTCGATATGGTCGATATGGTTGATATAGTCGATATGGTCGATATAGTCGATATAGTGAAGTCGATATAGTCCATATACTGAAACATGCCGATATAGCCGATATAGTGAAGTCGATATAGCCGATATAGTGAAGTCGATATAGTCGATATAGTGAAGTCGATATAGTCGATATAGTGAAGTCGACATGGTCGATTTAGTGAAGTCGATCTAGTCAATCTAGTGAAGTCGATATAGTCGATATAGTGAAGTCTATATAGTCCATATAGTGAAGTCGATATGGTCGATATAGTGAAGTGGATATAGTCCATATACTGAAACATGCCGATATAGCCGATATAGTGAAGTCGATATAGTCGATATAGTGAAGTCGACATGGTCGATTTAGTGAAGTCGATCTAGTCAATCTAGTGAAGTCGATATAGTCGATATAGTGAAGTCTATATGGTCGATATAGCGAAAAATGTCGGTATAGTTGATATAGTGAAACACGTCGATCCCATTACATCCTAGCCCACCCGTAAAGTCAAGGTCAAAAAGACAAAAAGATTGCAACATCACAATTTCGCATATGGTCTCCCACTACACTACTCAGTGTGACCCTAAGCTGGTTAACTAACGTTGATCGGACGGGAAACAGTGCTTTCAGCTTGGTATGGCCGCAACCGACAATCTGTTATGATACGACATGAGCAAGATTATAGATTCTTGGCATCCTGTATAATACGAAGGACGAAGAGTCTAAACATTCCTGATCGGGGTTACCCCTCACCTACTGTATAGAAGGGTTCCGAACTATAAAGGAGCGTGAGGCTGAGACATCCCTGAAGAAGGATAACACTTTTTAGACATCGAGAATACGACAGATAGACTAGGCCTATCCACTAAGGCTGAACTATCTATAAACCGATCTACTCGTAGTTTAAGAGACAGCTCCAGGCTGTTTCATAATACAATCTTTGGTCACCATCATTCATAACCGCTATATAAACGGTGGCTGGTTTCTGGCGCGTGGATCCCTCACATCACACTGGGGATTGATCATCATTCAAGGTGCCAGTGGCCTAGCTTTGATTGAAGCGGCTAGTGAAGGCAATGAAGCCCTGGAAAATGCTTGGGAAGGAGTTATACAAACAAGAATGGTTGGTGCAAGAAAACCTCACAGCCATTCATCTATTCAACCACGGCTCCTATGTTCCCTTTTTTGATGATGAAGTGGAGAGTCACGATTCAAATGCTGTTTGTATTTGAAATGCTGCTATATGGCCCCGGCAGACAACTCTTTAAAGAACTTAACAAAATCAATTGGTTCGTCACCACGAATTTCAAGGTCTACACTAGAAGACGTGGCGAGTCGCAGGAAGCTGGCTCCCCAAGTCCGCTACAACCATCTGAGTTGAAGCGACTACTACAGGAGACTTATCCTAGGAGTCAATGACGTAATATCCAATACGTAAACAGATACGGGCTATGAGGACCGTCCAGGCCGTGACTAAAGGAAGGGGACAGGCCAAACTTCGACACTAAGTATGTATCTGGGAGCTATTTGAAGGGTTTGTATATATTATTGTATAGTTTTGCTGCTTTAATCCGATGGATCTACAAAAAAAACTGTATTCCCTTAATTTATTCACTACCCTAGAGCATCAAGAAAGTTGCAAATCTTTTTGAAAAAGACACGGATCTAGGAAAAACTTAGTTGGGTCCAGGACAAAGGAACTGATTTGTAAGGCTTTTAAAACCTGTTTAGCACAGCAACAGCTGACGATAACATCACCTATTTTCTGAGGTCCTAAGGGGTTCAGTGCTGACATCTGGCTTTCTGATTCCCAAGACGACTCACGATTTCTTCATCGCTTCACCACTTTTTACATATCATCGGGACTCATTTATCAACCAGGAAACACACCGGATTCCAGTTCAGATATTCAATTTTTTTTCAAAAGATCCGGCTGTCTGTTTATTGTTCTTGAAGACTGATTGACATTTTTAATAAACTCCACCATATACTTGGCATGAAGGAAAACTAGATTCCCATCTTTTGTATTCTTTATCCAGACGCCACTAATTTCTAAGACGCTCAATAGTAATCAAATCTTTATTTTATCTCAGCAGAGATTCTCATTTTTGAAAATGTTTTGCGAAATGATCAGGTAATGAGATTGTTCTTGACTCGAAAATAAAACCTCTCGAATCAAAAAAAAAGTATTCAAACCCAAAATACGAAGAGGAAAAAGATCACGGGAATGTCTCAGCCTGTTCTTGGTATTTTGTGCAAAAGAATTACCAGATTCCAGAATTATTAGATGAGATTCTACATTTAAGAGCTGCTGCAGGAGAAACTCGTGGAAGTATCTCTCACTAAGGAACCTTCAATTCCGCCGCTGCCCGAGCTGCTGTCACTCGAGACATAAAATATAGGGTTTGGGATAAGCTTGATTGTGACCCTATAAACAAAATTAGAAGCAGAAGTCTTTTTCCCAGTCACCGACTATGTTATCTCCGTGAACGACATGTTTAGCCTATCACAAGACGCGACGCCAGTCACGTGGTAAGTGCAGCTCCCCCTGGCGAAGCATCCCATTCGAAAAAGATAAAGAAACCCCGAAAGTCCCAGACCAGCACCCACGTGGCCCCTCAACCGTCCCCTGCGATGGATACACGAAAACCAACCAGCACACCAAAGCTCATAACTAGGAAAAACGCTCCATCCTGCACATACTACACGGAACACTATCAGCCTCTGCCGGCCGCGCGGGCTGCGTGGGGTTCGAAGGCATCATTCGCTCGTTCGAAGTAGTTGGGGTATCCAATTGAAACCCCGTGGATTATTCTGACAACAGTCTGACTTGACTGGAAATTGTCCCATTTGGCTCCTGCAGGGTTGTGCTATTTATTTGTGCCCGGTATACATGTCTGAGCGAGATTCAAGACATTCGCCCAGTATCCGGCCTCTGTCGATGCTGGTCAATGGCGATCAGACGGCGCTGCTAGTTTCAGAGTCGCCGTCGAAAAAAACGAAAACCGCCAAGGGAAGATGCAAAATCCGGCCGCCCATGCGCAGAGGCACCTCTTTGGCAAATAGCAAGTTCATATATTCCGTAGATGATGACGTCAATGACGAAGTCGATGACAGCGACAAGGCCGACGAAGTCTTTGTCAAACGGGACAAAAAATACATCGACGGGTACCACGATGCGTTGAGGGACTTCTACCAGCACAAAAAGACCAAGATGGCCGACGTCCAAGGCCCAGGCCTGCCATCGGTGGACTCGGATCTGCACCATCCAATGCTGAAAAAGGTTCTTGTCGAACGAACCGACCCGATCGACGAGGCCGGCGAAATCGGAGCCTTAGAACCACGGGGCAGCGACGAGGAAAACGAAGTAATTGCCGAGGGGCAAGAAGATGCAGAAGATGCCAAATCAACCATCTCGACGTCCTCTTCCGGCACGCTCGAATCGCTCAACTTGAAGGACCGGCAGAACGCCATCAATCTGACCCACCCCTTTGGTATCAAAATCTGGAAACCGTCCATCTACAAAAAGAACCGGTCTGTGGCTGTGCGTGCCGACGAGGACATCCACGACTTCGAGCCACGCAGACCGACAAGTCCGATTTTCATCGGTGTCTATGCGACCAACCTCATTTGGAGCTGCACGTTTGGGCTTCTTCTCTGCACACTCTGTTTCATCGGCGCCATCATCGTGTTTGTGTGCTCGGGCTTTGCGTGGCACCGGTCCCTGAGGCCATACGTGAAGTTACTAGTCCAGTTGGGCAAGTACTGGCTTTATCCGTTCGGCAAATTCGTGCTCCTCAACAAAGACGAGAACTACCTCGACGAGGACGAGTTGGACGGCCGGTCCATTTCCGAGTTCCATCGCTGGCGACTCGAGGAAGAAGGCAGACTATTCTTCGCTCCACCACGCCGAATGACCAACACCACCGAGTCCAGGCCTTTACTTAAGGACCACAAAGGCAGGCCCTGGAGAGACGCCTATGCTTCCACGGGCGAAGGCCAAAGTTCCAGTGCCATTGAAGAAGGCCAACAAGCGACTGAAGACCTGCCACAGGACATCGAGGCCAACGACGTGAAAGTCAGGTTTTTCGGCCGCGGCAGCTGGTCGTCTGGCAGGCTCATGTTCTACTTGCTTTTCTATGGCATTTTGCAGCCCGTCTCGTTTGTCATTGCCGCACTCTGCTGGCTTTTCGTCTTCACTATTCCAATCGCCAACCTCAACAGGATTCTCTGTGAACATGTGCGCCGGAGACCTTTGGCGCTCCACTTTGAGAAAGAAAAAGATTACTACAAAAGAGTGGCGAACTCCAAGAAGTCAAAAAACCAGTCGATCATCCTTTGCACGTACCGGTGCTGTGGTCTCCACTACTACAAGTACACGTTGGGGGGAACAAATATCTTTTTCTTCAACTTGCTTCTGGTGGTGTTTTTGGTCATTTTTGACTACTACGCCTTGAAAGAAGGCCTCGGGTGGGACACCTGGTACACCGACTCATCTTTCCTCTTCTGTGGGTGTTTGTTCTCCATTATCCCGTTGGCTTATTTCATCGGACAGGCCGTTGCGTCGATTTCGGCACAGTCTTCCATGGGTGTGGGTGCGGTGATCAATGCTTTCTTTTCCACTGTCGTGGAGATCTTCCTCTACTGTGTGGCTCTTAACCAATCCAAGGGGAAGCTTGTGGAAGGCTCTATGATTGGCTCCATTTTGGGAGGTGTGTTGCTCTTGCCCGGACTTTCGATGTGCGGGGGAGCGCTCAAGAGAAAAACGCAGCGGTATAATCCCAGATCTGCAGGTGTCTCTTCCACCATGCTTCTCTTTGCCATGTTGGTCATGTTTGCGCCATCTCTATTCTACCAGATGTATGGCACATATGAGATTAGGTGCCGTGCATGTGACCATACGGACATATCTGATTGCACCACTTGCCAGTTCACCCAACCAAACTTGAATTTGGATGCTTTATACTACAATGTGCTCCGTCCATTTTCGTTGCTTGTGGCTCTTGCTTTGTTTCTTGCGTATGTTTGTGGCCTCTATTTCACCTTAAAAACTCACGCCTCCTTGATCTGGGCCACCAATTCTCACGAGCAGCAGGCTGCCCAGACGAGAAAAGATGCCAATGGCTGGAGGTCTCCCAGCATTGTAAGCTTGGAACAAACTTCAGTGGCCAGAGTGCATTCCAGTTCTCGACATGATCATACCTCTCATTTTCCCACAGGCCTTAGATCGGGTCTTTCTTCCCCTGGAATGGAGGGTCCGAAAAAGAGACATCTAGTCTCTCTGAAACTGGCTCCGGCTGAACCGCTTGTGCACAAGGATTCCGAAGCTGATGTCACCATGAACGATGATAGCGGTGGACATGATGCGCCCAACTGGTCAAACACAAAGTCATCAGTGATTTTGTTGGGTTCGACTATTTTATATGCTATCATTGCTGAAATTTTGGTGGACAATGTCGATGCTGTGCTCTCACACTTTCCCATCAACCCCAAGTTCTTGGGGTTGACAGTTTTTGCCCTTGTTCCCAACACTACTGAATTTGTCAATGCCATCTCTTTTGCTGTCGGAGGTAATGTTGCGTTGTCCATGGAAATCGGAAGCGCCTACGCTTTGCAGGTTGTGCTCATTCAAATTCCAAGTTTGGTTGTTTACTCAGTGGTAAAAGGGTACACCAACATAGAGATGATATTTCCTCTCATTTTTCCACGTTGGGATGTGATTGCTACGCTTGCATCAATTTACCTCTTCACATACGTGTACGCCGAGGGCAAGTCAAACTACTTCAAGGGTGTAATTTTGATTCTCATTTATATTGTTGTTCTCGTGGGCTTCTACATGGATGATGTTGTGGCAGACCTTGACGAAGTTCGGGAAGTGAGCGCCCCAGCTATGGAAATGCTTTCTAGGATTCTTTCTCGCTAAAGGCTTCATTTGAAAATAGCAGAACCAAGTAGTCAAGCAGAATGTACAAACTTCTTATAGTTTGCACCATACATGGACGTTTTAAGTAGTTATAATTTCGTTGGTGGTTCCGTTGTTGATTTGAAGATTCATATAGCCGTCATACCACTCCCAATTCAATTTTGTTTGGGGGTGTTTACGAATCCAGTTAGTTGAAACTGTATTGAACTGATAATTGAGCGTATATTCTTCTATAATTTGCTTCTGTAGTCGAATTTTAAACGATGTAGACTCTGCTCTCGTAAGGAGACAAGACTTTTTCTTTGAAATCTTTCTCGTTAGTAAGCACCAACTCTCCTTTTACCGCAGGCGTAAAATCGATTGGCTCCTTAGTAAAGTTCAATACCACGTATGCAGTTTTATTTCCAGCCTTCTTATAGAACGAAAAGACATTCTCGTTGTCGAGATCCAAAATCTCAAGAGACCCGTAAATCAAAACATCCTTGTGGGTCTTTCTAACCTGCAATGCCTTCCTGTAGAAATTGTACAAAGATTCGGGATTGTTGACTTGAGATGCCGCATTGACCTCCTTGTAGTTGTCATTGACTCTCATCCATGGCTTGCCTGTGGAAAAACCACCATTTTCCGAGTCATCCCATTGAACTGGTGTTCTGGCATTGTCTCTGGCCACCAAATTGATGTCCTTCAACAACTTGTCGAGGTTCTTGTTGCCGTTTATGGCAGTGTATTGCTCGTAATAGTTAATGGTATTGATGTCCAAGTATTCCTTGATGTCCCATTCCTTAGGAATGTTGGTCATGCCAATTTCTTGGCCCTGGTAGATAAACAAGGTACCGGTCAAAGCCGTGAGCAATGTGGCCAACATTTTGCCACTCTTCAGTCTGAACTTCGGGCTGTCGTTTCCAAAACGTGTGATTGCTCTGGGCTGATCGTGGTTCTCGAAGAAGCACGTGGACCAGGCGTCCGTGCCCTCGGTGAAAGAAGACATGTTGAACACGGCTTTCTTGAAATCAATGAGCTTGTAGCCGTCATAGCGGAACCTGTCGGATGGGTTGCAGCCAACCTCAACAACGTCGAATAAGAACATCATGTTCATCTCTTTTTCTTTGGCACTGACGTATTTCAACGCATCCTCACGAGGCGCATGCCCAACCTCCCCCACGGTCATGGCATCATATTTGGATGTAACTTTGCTGAACATTTCTTTGTGGAATTCATGAATCCGTGGTCCGCTCTGGTGGAACGCTTGACATGGCTGCCATTCCTGATCTGGAAAAACAAATGGCGCATCTTCAAAAGTCTGCACTTTCGAATACATTCCGGCAGTGTCAATTCTAAAGCCATCGATGCCTTTCTCAAACCAAAAGCTCAAGGCAGACTCATAAATTGCATTTCTGGTCTCCTCGTTTTCCCAGTTGAGATCTGGCTGGGTCAGCGCAAACAAACACAAGTAGTACTCGTCGGTGAGCTCATCGTATTCCCAAGCAGAGCCAGAAAAATAAGAAAGCCAATTATTGGGAGGATGTCTGTTTCCCTGGTCATCGTATTTTGCTGGCCTCCAGATGTACCAATCTCTTTTAGGACTGGTCTTAGACGACCGGGATTCCTGGAACCACTTGTGTTCAGAAGAGGTGTGATTGATCACCAAGTCTAAAATCAACTTCATTCCACGGGAGTGCACCTCCGAGATCAAGGTATCCATGTCCTCCAAGGTTCCGTACTTTGGGTACACACTCTCGTAGTCTGAGATGTCGTAGCCCATGTCGTCCTGGGGAGAGTCGTACATTGGTGACAACCAAATGACATCAACTCCCAAATTCTTCACGTAGTCCAAAGTCGAAATAATACCAGGAATGTCGCCAAATCCGTCGCCGTTCGAATCCTTGTAGGAAGCAGGCCAGATCTGGTACACCGAGGCGTCTTTCCACCAAATAGAGTTAGCAGACATGTTTGAAAAGATGGGGGTTCAACAGTGTATTCTATAGAAGGTCTCTAAAGAATCTATGAGAAAAAATGAATGCTTAGAAAGAAGAGGGCTGGAATGACAAGGCATATAAATACTTTCCGAAGAGAGTGGGGACATCGGCTTTCTCCAGGAGCCCTGGTGACAAAATGTATGGCCCATGTGCTTCCCCAGGTTTTCCGCCATGTAACGACGCGAAACTTTGCGAGAGTCTTTGAATCTTTGCGGAATCTTTGCATGGCTCACGTGAGCCCTGATTGCGGGGCAGGCTCGCTTCCACCCTGGTTTTTCCGGCCCCGGGCACGTATGCAGTCGCAAAACATTGCGAGACCGGGGACTCGCAAAAATTGTGCGTTGGTGAAAGCGTCGATGAAATTGATTGGTTTACGCGAGTGGGGAAACCAGCTCCGCGGGAGAGGTTTCTGAAAGCAGGAATTCAAAGCAAACACCACAGAAATCCGCTATGACGTCATGGCCTAAATTGGGGAATCTTCTACCAGGCTTGGCTGTCTTCGCAATTTCCCATTATCTCGTTATTGTAATTTGAGAGCTTCCTGGAAATATCCAATCTCAGGCCGTCTCTTTCCAAGTCCACAGTTAGCATCGATCTTTGAAAGAGAAGTTGCGTTTCATTAGAATCGCCCGGAATACGAGTGGTGATTTTCTGCAATTCTGCTGGTTGTGAGTGGATTGCAGTGCTGGCCATGCTGGACCTCACGGCAAAACCTGGGTGCCTGTCGCAGTATTCACTTTTTTAATGGCGGAAAGTGGGGCGGGACCTGTCACGTGATGTGTTCTGGGTGCCGCGCAGAGACAACCCATCCAGAATTTGTATCCTGCGACTGCGAAATAATGAGTAGGCCCCACTCCGGTGCCCTCGTCCATTTTAGCTTGCTCCAGGACTGTAGCCCTTATATGTAAAAAGCCCATTGAATGTATGTCTACTGGACAGATACGACCAGCTAATACTTTTTTTTTGATCTCTTGCCTGCTTTTTCGGTCACCCCGATTTAAGCAAGTTGTCGCTTTATTTTCATGCGGCATGGAGCCTCACACGACCAGACTAAATGTTACCGAGAGGTGACACCTGTTCCAACAGCAAAAGAACACCCAGCAAACGCAGAAGAGGAATAAGACACAAATTGAAAGAAAAAGTCAATTTTCTGCTCATGACTCTCAAACACATTGAACTACAGTCGGGGCTTTTGGTCGTACGACACAGTAGGTCAAAAAGCTTCGTTGGCAATCACAGCCGGCTACACACGTGACCACTTCCAAGCTAGTCACGTGAGCAGGAATCGTACGCAAGGTCCAGAAACGCAAGCAAGGATCCTAAACCCATGTCTCTAATCTCAGCACTCCTCTGCTGAAAGTAGGGTTTTCGCGGCTGGACCATATATATTCCCCAGACAATGGTGCCGTGAACACGACGCGGCCGGGCTGCCTGCAGGACAGCCAAAACATCGGGCGACCGAAATACTTTCCATACAAATCGGCACGAACCAGGAATTTTGAAAATTTGCCGAGCGCGTTGCCATTGAGTCCTGCCGTTAAAAGCATTGCAAAGCAAAACGGGCCGCATCTGCCAAATTTCGCCCGGAACGCCAGGGCCCTTTTGCCTGAGGTCAGCAGTATGAGATGTACGCTTGCGCATGCTGCTGCGCCGGCGCACGGCGTAACGCTCAGCACGCAACGCTCGCCACATCCAACGATTTTTTTCGACTCGAAACTGAAGCGTCGAACTCCATCGCTAGTCTTTCAAACCTCGTCGAATCACCGCCGTCACCGCCGAATCTTTGCCGTATTTCCCCGGGATTGTAACGCAGGCTGCCAGAGGTTTAAGCTCGTGTCATTTCGTCTCCCGTCGCCTGCTCATCCAAGTTTGCTGTCGCGCAGTTGAGTTTTCTTTTGAGCTTCGACGAGACTTTTACCCACATATACCAACTCCCCTCAAAACCACCAAAAAAACCCAAAAAAAACCCAAAAATCTCCCTGGTCCATCCCGAAGCAATTGCTGCTCGACCCCCCTGTTCTTTTGTATTTGCATCGGATCCCCGAGCAAGTTTCGCTTGAACCAACTGTTTATTCGTGAGCCCCCATCGCCCACGAGAACACTGTACTATATCACGTGTTTTACACATAAAGCCGTGCACACATCATCCATCCCAGCATTCCCGCTATGAGTCGCCAGTTTCCATATTCCAGCGCGCCGCTCCGGTCCGTGAAAGAGGTATGTTTTTCTTATGTTTTTCTGTTGGAGCACGTGCTCTTTAGCCGCCCGTAATCCCCATTTCTGCACCCTCTCTTAACCTCGCCTTGCTAACTAGTTTTAGGTTCAATTTGGCTTGTTGTCGCCCGAAGAAGTGCGCGCCATCTCGGTTGCCAAGATCGAGTATCCCGAAACCATGGACCAGACCACGAAAAAGCCCCGTGACGGCGGCCTTAATGACCCCCGTTTGGGCTCCATCGACCGGAACTTTAAGTGTCAGACCTGTGGCGAGGACATGGCCGAGTGCCCGGGCCATTTCGGGCACATCGAGTTGGCCAAGCCCGTGTTTCACATTGGTTTCATTGCCAAGATCAAAAAGGTGTGTGAGTGCGTGTGCATGCACTGTGGAAAGATCCTTGTAGACGACGCCAACCCGTTGATGACGCAGGCCATCCGAATCCGCGACCCGAAAAAACGGTTCAACGCCGTTTGGAACGTGTGTAAAACCAAGATGATCTGTGAGGCCGATACCATCAACGACGAGGGCCAGGTGACCGCCGGCAGAGGTGGATGTGGCCACACGCAGCCCACTGTCCGCAGAGACGGCTTGAAATTGTGGGGAACCTGGAAGCAAAACAAGACCTACGACGAGAACGAGCAGCCCGAGCGCCGTTTGTTGAATCCGCTGGAAATCTTGAGTGTTTTCAGGCACATCAGTGCCGAGGACTGCCAGAAGTTGGGTTTTAACGAAGACTACGCACGCCCCGAGTGGATGTTGATCACGGTCTTGCCCGTGCCTCCACCGCCTGTCAGACCATCCATTGCGTTCAATGATACCGCCAGAGGCGAGGATGACTTGACGTTTAAGTTGGCGGACATTCTCAAGGCGAACATCAACGTGCAGCGTCTCGAGATCGATGGCTCGCCCCAGCACGTGATCAGCGAGTTCGAGGCCTTGTTGCAGTTCCACGTCGCCACGTACATGGACAACGACATTGCCGGACAGCCGCAGGCGCTCCAGAAAACTGGGCGTCCGATCAAGTCGATCAGAGCAAGATTGAAGGGTAAGGAGGGCAGATTGAGGGGTAACTTGATGGGAAAGCGTGTGGATTTCTCGGCGCGTACCGTTATTTCCGGTGACCCCAACCTTGACCTAGACCAGGTCGGAGTGCCCATCTCCATTGCCAGAACGTTGTCGTACCCGGAAGTGGTGACTCCATACAACATACAAAAGTTGACCGAGTATGTGCGTAATGGACCCAACGAGCACCCTGGTGCCAAGTACGTGATCCGTGACACCGGTGACCGTATCGACCTAAGGTACAACAAGAGAGCTGGAGACATCGCCTTGCAGTATGGCTGGAAAGTCGAACGTCACTTGATGGACGACGATCCTGTCTTGTTCAACCGTCAACCGTCTTTGCACAAGATGTCTATGATGGCGCACAGAGTCAAGGTCATGCCTTACTCTACGTTCAGATTGAACTTGTCAGTCACTTCGCCTTATAACGCAGATTTCGACGGCGATGAGATGAACTTGCACGTCCCACAGTCGCCTGAAACCAGAGCGGAAATGTCTCAGATTTGCGCAGTTCCTTTGCAAATTGTGTCTCCACAATCGAACAAACCTGTCATGGGAATTGTGCAAGATACCTTGTGTGGAATTCGTAAGATGACTTTGCGTGACAGCTTCATTGAGTACGAGCAAGTTATGAATATGTTATACTGGATTCCGAACTGGGATGGTGTTATTCCTCCTCCAGCAGTGTTTAAGCCAAAACCTTTGTGGTCTGGCAAACAGTTGTTGTCGATGGCAATTCCTAAGGGAATTCATTTGCAAAGATTCGACGATGGAAGAGATATGCTCAGTCCAAAAGATCTGGGTATGTTGGTTGTTGATGGTGAAATCATTTTTGGTGTGGTTGACAAAAAAACCGTCGGTGCCACCGGAGGTGGTTTAATTCACACTGTCATGAGAGAAAAGGGCCCTCAAGTTTGTGCTCAGCTTTTTAGCTCCATCCAAAAGGTTGTTAACTACTGGCTATTACACAATGGTTTCTCGATCGGTATTGGTGACACCATTGCAGACAAAGACACCATGCGCGATGTCACCACCACCATTCAAGAGGCGAAACAAAAGGTCCAAGAGATTATCATGGATGCGCAGCAAAACAAGTTAGAGCCTGAGCCAGGTATGACTTTGAGGGAATCATTTGAGCACAATGTTTCACGTATTCTTAATCAAGCTCGTGATACCGCTGGTCGTTCTGCTGAAATGAACTTGAAGGATCTGAACAACGTCAAACAGATGGTGACTTCAGGTTCGAAGGGTTCTTTTATCAATATTTCTCAAATGTCGGCATGTGTGGGTCAGCAAATTGTTGAGGGTAAGCGTATTCCATTTGGTTTCGGTGACCGGACGCTACCACATTTCACTAAAGATGACTATTCGCCGGAATCGAAGGGTTTCGTTGAAAATTCGTACCTCAGAGGTTTGACACCTCAAGAGTTTTTCTTCCATGCGATGGCAGGAAGAGAGGGTCTTATTGATACTGCCGTGAAGACTGCAGAGACTGGATATATCCAGCGTCGTTTGGTTAAGGCATTGGAGGATATCATGGTTCACTATGACGGTACCACAAGGAACTCTCTTGGTGACATTATTCAATTTGTCTACGGTGAAGATGGAATTGATGCCACATCCGTGGAAAAGCAGTCGGTTGATACCATTCCAGGCTCTGATGCCTCTTTCGAGAAGCGTTACAGAATTGATGTTTTGGATCCATCTAAGTCAATTTCAGAATCTTTGTTGGAATCAGGGAAGCAGATCAAGGGTGACGTTGCAGTACAGAAGGTATTGGATGAAGAATACGATCAATTGCTCAAAGACCGTAAGTTTTTGAGAGAAGTCGTCTTCCCCAATGGAGACTACAACTGGCCCTTGCCTGTTAACTTGCGTCGTATTATTCAAAATGCCCAGCAAATTTTCCACAGTGGTCGTCAGAAGGCTTCAGATTTAAGATTGGAGGAAATTGTTGAAGGAATTCAATCTCTCTGCACGAAGCTTCTTGTTCTCCGTGGAAAAACAGAGCTCATCAAGGAGGCGCAAGAAAATGCGACTTTGCTTTTCCAATGTTTATTGAGATCTAGATTGGCTGCTCGCCGTGTTATCGAAGAGTTCAAGCTTAACAAAGTGTCTTTTGAGTGGGTTTGCGGAGAAATTGAATCCCAATTCCAAAAGTCCATCGTGCATCCTGGTGAAATGGTGGGTGTTGTCGCTGCTCAATCTATTGGTGAACCCGCGACTCAAATGACGTTGAACACTTTCCATTACGCTGGTGTGTCTTCGAAGAACGTTACTCTTGGTGTCCCTCGTCTTAAGGAAATTTTAAACGTTGCCAAGAATATAAAAACACCAGCGCTTACTGTTTACTTAAAGCCTGAAATTGCGGTCGATATTGAGAAGGCCAAGGTTGTGCAATCTGCTATCGAACATACTACTTTGAAGAATGTTACCTCCTCTACCGAAATCTACTATGATCCTGATCCTAGGAGCACTGTTATTGAGGAGGATTATGATACAGTGGAGGCCTACTTCGCCATTCCGGATGAGAAAGTCGAGGAGACTATCGATAACCAGTCTCCATGGTTGCTCCGTCTTGAATTAGACAGAGCCAAGATGTTGGATAAGCAATTGACAATGGCTCAAGTGGCGGAAAAGATATCTCAGAACTTCGGTGAGGACTTGTTTGTTATTTGGTCTGATGACACTGCTGACAAATTAATTATTCGTTGTCGTGTCATTCGCGATCCAAAATTGGAAGAAGAAGGCGATCATGAGGAAGACCAGATCTTAAAGAGGGTTGAAGCACACATGTTGGAGACTATCTCTTTGCGTGGTATTCCAGGTATCACTAGAGTCTTCATGATGCAACACAAGATGAGCACTCCAGATGCAGATGGAGAGTTTCTGCAAAAACAAGAGTGGGTTTTGGAAACTGATGGTGTCAACTTGGCTGAAGTTATCACCGTTCCAGGTGTTGATGCTTCCAGAACTTACTCGAACAACTTTATCGAGATTCTCTCGGTTCTTGGAATTGAGGCTACTCGTACTGCGTTGTTCAAGGAAATTCTCAATGTCATTGCCTTTGATGGTTCCTATGTGAATTATCGCCACATGGCTTTGCTTGTTGATGTGATGACAGCTCGTGGTCATTTGATGGCCATTACCCGTCACGGTATCAACAGAGCCGAAACAGGCGCCTTGATGCGTTGTTCGTTTGAAGAAACCGTTGAGATCTTGTTGGATGCCGGAGCAGCTGCTGAACTTGATGACTGTCGTGGTATTTCTGAGAATGTTATCTTGGGTCAAATGCCCCCATTGGGTACAGGTGCGTTCGATGTTATGGTTGACGAAAAGATGTTGCAAGATTCTAGCGTCGGCACGGATATGGGAGTTGCTGGACAAAATGATGGAGGCGCTACACCATACAGAGATTACGAGATGGAGGACGACAAGATTCAATTTGAAGAGGGTGCTGGATTTTCACCAATTCATACTGCAAACGTGTCCGATGCTTCCGGCTCTCTCACGTCCTATGGTGGCCAACCATCGATGACATCTCCCACTTCTCCATTCTCGTTTGGATCTACGTCTCCAGGATATGGTGGTGCGACGTCGCCTGCTTATGGCGCAACTTCGCCGACTTACTCACCAACTTCGCCCACGTATTCACCAACGTCGCCAAGTTACTCACCAACGTCACCAAGCTACTCTCCAACGTCACCAAGTTACTCGCCAACGTCACCAAGTTACTCGCCAACGTCACCAAGTTACTCGCCAACGTCACCAAGTTATTCCCCAACTTCGCCTAGTTACTCACCAACTTCGCCCAGTTATTCACCAACTTCGCCAAGCTACTCACCAACTTCGCCAAGCTACTCACCAACTTCGCCAAGCTACTCACCAACTTCGCCCAGTTATTCCCCAACTTCGCCAGTTATTCCCCAACTTCGCCTAGTTACTCACCAACTTCGCCAAGTTATTCCCCAACTTCGCCCAGTTATTCCCCAACTTCGCCAAGTTACTCACCAACTTCGCCAAGCTATTCCCCAACTTCGCCACAGTACTCTCCGACGTCGCCAAGTTACTCGCCAAACTTCCCTCAATATTCACCAGGTTCACCTGCATACTCCCCAGGATCGCCACTGCATTCTACTGAGAAGAAGGACGAAGAGAAGAAGGGAAATAACTAAACAACTGTATACAATACAACAAAAAAGAAACGGTCTAATATTTTTCATGAATACACACAAATTATATGACCTGCCCTACAGCGTCGCATAGAATTGAAAACGTAGAAAACCTAAACCTCATATATCCTGCATCTGCAGTACTGGGTACTTGGCTCATCTCATATGCTGTTTAAAGTTTGCACATCTATTTTGTGTATATGCACCAGAATGTCAAAACATACTCCAGGGGCAGGCTCGATCAGAGACATTGAGCAAAAGAAACGGGAGGTCCTTAAACCGTTGCTTGAAAACCCGTTCACCCAAGGCACAGAATGGCCAACGATAGATCGGTCGGTGGCTGAGACTATAATGGAGTGTTTGATTCAAGTTCTATCAGGTTATGGAATCTACTTGGAAATGAGGAGCCTCAATAAAGATAAGAAAATTCCTGTGCCCGAGGTGGCAGGAAAAATCACCATTGGCTTCAATTCAACCGTCAAGAAGTTAGAGAAGCAGGCCGGTCCTAACCGTGCTAAACTACTAGGCAAACCTCCAAAAAGGAGTAAACAAGAACAGCCGAATACGCCGGGATATGTAAAATACGTATTTGTGGCAAAATCTGATATCAGTACTTCTCTACTAACAAGCTGCTTCCCCTTGCTCACATATTCAGCATCGCGATCGGCGCTGGATCGCGTGAAGCTTGTGGAATTGCCCCGGGGTGCCATGCAAAAACTTTCCAAAGTACTAAGAACCGATAACGTGAGTATCATCTCGCTCGAGGAAAAGTGGGCGGACGGAAAATTGCTTTTTGATGTGGTGGACAGCAATATTCGGGACGTGGAGGTGCCATGGCTTGCGGCGCTTTTCGATGAAAACTCAGCACCGGTATACGAGAAGCCCAACATCAAGTTTGTCAAGACGAGCGTGCCAGTGGGCCGTGCAAACAAGAAGAAGAATGGTGTGTTGAAAAAGAAGAAGAACAGAAAGAACGAGGGAAGAGTACTGAAGCCGTAGAAGTTACGAGGACGAGAAATGGGAATGCAGAACACTGGTATTACAGTATATCAAAATGTGATTGGAACAGGCGAGGAAGTGAACTCAAGTGGTATGCTAGCTTGTTGTAGAGTATATGGAAACATTGTATGGAGCATTATCGTGGGGTAATTGAATGAGAGTTTGGAAGACATGTTTGCTGAGGACAGTGTCATGCGATGAGATCGATATGAAATATGCTGTGGGGCATCTGAAAGAAGGAATGGTACAGAAACAATGTGCTGTTTGGGCCATAATGTTTGGCAGATACAAAGCAGGCTGTTCGTATCTTGCTGTTTGGTACATGTGACAAACCTCGTGAGGTGCCGAGAAGACTACTGCCATGTGATGGGACAGGCTAACCGGACAATTAAGAAACTGCCGATCTCAAAGCCGAATAAATAGTTCTTTCATCTCCCCGATTTTGTAGCTGCTTCAGCAGACTGGCGAAACAAGACCCACGGTCCAGTTGTACGAGCCAACCACCAACAACATGGCCACAAAACTCGCCCAGATGGAGACCATGCCGTAGACATAGCCATGGAATTTTCCCAATGCACAGAGCTCGACAATGAACGTGGAGACCGTGGTCAAGCATCCGCAGAAACCGTCGCCCAAACCGGAAAGAACATGGCAGTTCAAGACGCTGGAAACGATCGGCACCGGGCTAAAACGGCCGGATCTGCCGCGAGCCAACAACGTGAGGATGGCCAAGAGAACCGTGCCGCCCAAGTTGGCCACAAAAGTACCCACAGGGAAGTTCTTCACGCGCAGGTTCAAGAACCTGGAGAGCCAGAATCGCAAGAACGCTCCCCAAGGCGCAAAAAGACATGCAAACGTCCAGGACCGCCACTGCCCGTCGTTTTTCGTGGCCACGAGCACCACCACCACAGTGTACATGGCCACCGCGAGCCCCGCACACAAAATCTCCGCTTTTCGGTAGGCCCTGGGGCTGAACGAACAGCCCGATTTCTCGATCCCAAGAGTGATATGGGACCCCACGCGGAAGCCGCCCACGGAAACGGTCAACTGAGCCACGAGCACCTGGATGACCCCTAGAATTCCATATCCTTCCGTCGGGTAGCTGGCGGAGTTTGGCGGGAGATTTGCCGCCATTCCAAACGCTTCCAATATGAGACTCGAAAAGCTCGAGCATGAGCCACAAAAGCCCGTGGCGATGCCCACATATAGCGGCACTGCCGCCTTGGAAACGTAGAGTGCCAGGTGGGCAGTGCCGTCTAGGAGACGGGCCCATATTTTCTCGGATTCGGCCACCATACCCATGGATATGCACGACACAAAGTTTGCCCAAACTACGCCTTCTAAATACGAGCCGTCATAAGTGGTGAGCAGCTCGAGGCCTTTCCGTGCCAAAACACCACAGATGGAACCGAGCATGATGGCCAAGTACGTGTATGCCATATGCGGGGGTTCTCTGGATACGGGCACGTGCTTTTCATGGGAAGCAGAATACGTATTAATGTCCTCCGGGAGCGCATCGCCATATGACTCTGCATCAAGTTCCTGGCGCTGTAATTCACCCGTATACTGCTGGTCCAGGCGCAGGGGGCTGCGGGGCCGTGGCAGGCACAGAGAAGACATTTTAAAGACCCGGTGGAAGAAATTTACCTGGTTTGATGCCCGTCTTAAATGACCGTGGAATTGTCGATGACGTGATAAGATGCACAACCATATGGCTGTGTACAGGTCTGGAACCGTTTCAGGAAGAGAGCGAGCCGGGAAAATCCGCATTTGGGTTTCGCAAAAACAGCGTTATTTCGTGAAGCTTGCGGCTCAGCTTTTTAATTGTATTTCTGCGTGTTGCCCCTAGGATAAAATGAAAGTCGATACGTTTCAAGGCATCATACAGGCCGTGGCTCACGAAAAGAGAAGGGCCGAGTTTCGACACTAGGTTGGTTTCTGGGAGCTCTTGGAAGGTCTTTGATATATTATTGCATACTTTCGTTCCAGTAATCAGATTTATCTACCAAAAAAGGGGTCTGGCAGCACGTACTGGTTGTTGAGATATTCAACTACGCTGGAGGCGGGCCGCTAGATGGGGTTCGAAGAGAAGTGAATAGAAACGGCCAAAAAACGAAGAGCTGAAGAAAAATTATAAAGATTACCAAGGGGTTCACAATTGAGATGTCATGTATTATCACCCAGCGTATCTTGGTGAGTGGTTGCGTCTAAAAACTTAAGAGAGTGGGTCAATTTTAAAACAGTCATTGAATATGAACTCCGGTTCCAAATTGTTTCTCCTGGTGTGAATTACTTAGTTCTGGAAATATATGGCGGAGCTATCCAAGAAAGCCGAGAAAGCTCTGGAGGTGAAATTTGTTCTTTCAAAGACTCTTTGGATATCTGCTCTTCTGTTGCCTGGAAAGAGTATTCACAACCGAGGGGCTAACTAGGCTAATATGGACTTCACGGGACATAGAGGTTATGTATTACTATTTGATCACTACTATCTCCAAAACTCCACTGGAGTTCTATCCTACGGATATATACTTTAACTAGAGGTCACGTGATAGGAACCCCTGAAACTCGAGAGAATATTTTATGAGATGTTCAAGTGATATCTGACGGAACTCACAGTAAAAGAAGTGCATATAGTTATATATGCGCTTACAGGGACCATCAGTGTCAAGCTGATATCGGGGACCTTACACTGTATATGTATTTTATTACAGTTCGTCGGAAGCCCTTTGGATCCAAAATGAAAATCAAACCTAAAAAGTCAAAAAATGACTCGAAAGCCAGCTTTTTCTTGTAGGATATAGACTATAGCGTAAGGCAGAGTCAAAAAAATGCCGGTTAAATCTAGATGGAAACAATCTTTTCAGCTTCGGCCCCACGCACAAGACTTCCTTCAAAAGCGCAAATACCTTTTTCAAGTATAAAGCACTCTCGAATTTGGATAATTTGACCCCGAAAAGGATATTGTTCATTGTGATACTCTGTATTCGAATTGAAACAGGGAAGGAGCAACGCAAAAAAAAAAGATCTAGATATATTTAAATATGTATGATGTCGCGGGTAATATAGGGCCTCGAAAAGCAGGATTCATTACGTTTCCATCACGTTGGAAGGGAGAAAAATTATCAGTAGACAGAATCCGAATCTTGTATCTACAGTTACGGAAGCGTCACAATGCGTATGTTCGCTGATACTAACATAAGTCCCGCAACTGAAGAGAGAAAATGGTCAGAAATGTGCCAGTATAGAGTCTCGCTATCACTGTGGCATGTGCCTTGAATTCTTATGTTTTTGAGGTCTTATGCACGTGTGTCGTGTGCAATTGGGATCATGAAAATTCCAAACTGACCAATGAACTAAGTGTACACACAATAGTATCCGAACAAGTACGCCACACAGACCATCAGGAACAATCTGATGGTTCATAAGTTTATTCCTGGTAATAGTTGGAAGGACACATGTCAAGGCAGAATAGTCATCCAGCTTTTTGTTTGAATTCGATGTCACGTACAATACATGAAAAGAGATACATGCATTAATAGCTCGAGAACAAAGTGGGAAAAGAGCAACATATTTCTGAATCTAAGCAAATGTTCTAATTCCAAGCAGCTCATTCCCCCATCTTTCGCTGCAAGGTTCCATACTGCTGAAAACAAGGCAGGAGAATTCAAACTCACTTTTGGCCCTACAAACGAGTTGATTGTAAGAGAAATCTCACCGATATTAGAAAAACACCAGGAGATTAAGGCCCCGGAGCTAGGACACCAAAAAAAACCTTATTTGCCGGATTTGTTTTGAGCAGTCAACGAGAATAGGGGAACGGCGGAATGGTCACGGAAACCTTACAATGTGTCTTCTATCAAATCAATTTAACTTTCGAGGCGGTCTCTTGCTGGACTTGTGTGAGAGCGCACAAACCTTAAAACTGCTGAATTCGGAGGCTCTAATAAGGTTATACCACCGTTGAAAACACAGGTGCATCTAGACTCGGCCAGCTCGTAACCTTATTTTGTCGTAAAAGACTATTACTGCACAATGTAATCTTTAGTGGGAGTACGCAGTCCATTAGCCGGTGTATGTACTGATGAGTCATTGTGAAAAACGGGTTTACTCTTGTATTTTGATATCAGGCCACGAAAGGAGCAGACTTGAGATTTTTGGCATCGCTTTGTTTTCATACTTCAGTCAAGCTCACTCTGAAGACACCAGCCTACATATTTTTAATTAACTAACACGTGTTTCGTATTGGCCTGGGAAGCAACCTACTGTATGCCAGCTGGACTTTGCGAGCTCTTACATTGTGCGTATTCCTGGAGCCTCTCCTTTTTCACTGATTCTACCCATTCAAGCCCAATGCGTCACGAGTAATGCAAAAACAATTGTAATACATGCATGATTCGTCTTGGAATTTTGGAGAGACTTTCTCTGAAACGGTTTACTAGCATTGAACATGTCTGTGAGGACTCGACTTCGTAACACAGCAGGAACCGGCATATCCACAGCTTCCTGTCGAGTTTCAAATCATGGAGAAGCAAGAAATCTGAGCAGCCCGTAAAGAAACAATCATCTTATTTGTACTATCACTGTCGTTTTATTGTAGAAAGCTTTATGCACAGATAATCCAAATGAGTGCACAGTTCGTTCACCCTTGATGCAGACGTGCACATAGAGATCACAAACGCACCCCGCGCCAGATAACCGTCGCTTTTCCTGGAAATTCCCTTCTTATCAGACGGTGGCGAACATTTAGCCCCGACAGCCGATATCAGCGGAGAAGACAGTACATAGTTATGAAAAATAATAAGTCCTGCTGTTACAGGGATTGTCCCTAACCTTTTTTTCTCTCTTAGACACTTATTATCTGTCAATGAGAAACTTATTATCTAGGAACACGGCTTTGGGTTCACAACCACGGTCTTTCTCTTCTCAAAGCTCTACCTTTTCTTGTAATGCTGAGTCGGAAAACAACCTGTATTATCCGGAAAGACATATACCCATGGAATCCGAAACGGCATCATTGGAGTCTATTGCTCTCTCCGAGGCTGAGACGTTTATTCCCGAAACTCAGCCTGCGAATGGCTTAAGACTCAGTGAAACATACCAGGAGAACTTCAGATCGTATGCGCCATTCTTGGTGAGCCGAAGAAACATCGAGCGTTATGATTCCGAAAGCGAGGACGATGACCGAACTATGGTTTCCTTACCCGATGGCCAAACTATCATGCAGAGGCCATCTACTACTTACAATGACCTAAAAGTCTTGGTGGTGGCTCTGCAGAAGAGTAACAGCCAGATGTATGTATTTCCTGATGTGCGAGCTTTTGATACGTTCAAGAAAAATGAAGGCGACAGACGGAAAGTTCGCAAAATTTCGAAATCTCGTCACTCAAATGGACAGTCTATCAGATCTAGTCCTGGGGAGCAGCCGTTGAGAGGCCGGCTTCCAGATTCCGATTTGCTGACCGGGATTTCCGAATCGGGCTTGCCAGTGTTGGTCGTCGAAGTGCCACACATGTCAGCTTTTCGCCCAAAAACGCCATACATGATTTTCCGAAAGTACGTCAAAGTAAGACAGTCCATAAACTCACCGCCCCATGGCGAACTGACTCAATTCGAGCTATCGGAATTTTGTGCAGTAAAAATGAAAGTGTTTCAGCACTTTAAAAGGTACATGTTTGTGTTCCATCCGGAAGAGGGACCAGTCTTCAAAGTGTGGGCATTCCAACACAACTACAGGCCATTCACAGACTTCAATTATAAGGATACGCGTTTCAGAGTATTCGGGACGTCACGGTCCGTGTCATACCCTACATTTTACAATCCTGAACTCAAACTTCAGGTCATTGATCAAGACCAATCTTCTCTTTTAGACAATCTCATAGAGAAAAAGGACGAGAAAAATTACCGATCGGGCAGGAAAAAACATGAGGTAGTTGACTTCGGGGATCTCGAAAACCCGATACCATGCCCAGACAACCCCATCATCAAGCAAGTCTTGGAAAACGAGTACTCGTCATTCCTAAGAAACAGTGTGCCTCAAGAAATGCCCCCATTTGGTAAATTTCTCGCTGGCTCGAACTCAAAAGGAATCTCCATGATTTCAAAAAAATACTCTGAAATTGGAAAGATAGGTGTGTACCAGGACCCGATAGAGATGGAAGAGTCCAATGCTCTGTCCAGCTCGTCAACGCATCTAGACAGTCTTGTCTTGAGTGCCGTGTTTTTGACATTGCGAGAGACGAGCCTTAGATCTACGGTTAAGCGCGATGAACTTGAGATATACCAATGAACTTACTTCTAGTGTAAGGGTCGGATTTACACAAGTGCAGATTTCCGGTTCGCGTGAGATCTTATGTCCATCAGTAGTTTGATCCTAAATTGGTGAAGCTTTGCTTTGATCTAGTGTTTATTTTGAGTCTTCAATGGGTTCAATTCTGCTGCAAGGTACTTTTAAATCTTGTTTCGCATCAGAGAATGCTTTTGATTCTATCCTTGATGTGGCAGGAACCACTACCAAAATACACGAAAGACCTGGGAGACTTTTTCTCTATCTCTGTCCGCCTTCGTGGCTGAGGATACTTTGACCGCGGATTACAGAAATCACTATGAGTCGGTCTTCATGAGTCTGCAGCTATCGGAACTTGTAACAAGTGAAAAAGGGTTCAAAGTTTCTCGGACACAAAAAAGTGACACAAATTGACTTTTATGCGTGCTTTATCCCACAACACGAGACTGAATCGTCTGAAAACTTAAAAAAGATATCTTCATAGAAGCGTATGCATTACACGAGGAACAGTAGGGTCTAGATAGAAAAGATTGCTCCCAGGGTATTTGAACTATGTTGAAGGCGATTCGATGTTGCAGCAAGCAAAGTTTTCAATTCTTGAACGTGTCTTTGCTCTTTCGATGACCAGGGTAATAAATGGCTTTTGGGCTAGGAAAGTAACCACTCATAGAGTCCCCTTCTCTCCAAAATAAGATTAAAATAAAGGGTAACTTTTCATTCTTGATATGCAGAGAAACGGTACCATATGCGACTTCTTGATATAAAACTTAAAATAACCTTTACCCACAAATACTACCATCGAAACTCTCCACTTTGTTTTTGATGTGGTCACTTGTTGCTTTCTGTTATTGGCTAGCATTTATTAAGAATCTCAAGCCTCATTCCTGGATATTTACGGAGACAAAGCAGATTGAGAAACAGGCCGTTTTGATTTGGGTAGTTTAAAGAGTTGAAGAATGAAGAAGAGCAGCAGGCACCTAAACTAGAATCTGAAATCAACAATGGCAAGCACCAATAAGCCCACAGTATCTGGTATAAACGCGATCCCAAGAGCAACCTTCAAGACGTCAAATTTTAGCCACGCAGTCCTCTCATAACCGCTTGAATTTTCCCAACCGATGAAACATACGTAAAGTATAAAGATACAGACGGAGTAGAAAAAAAAAGAGCAGTCCCATGTCTGGCCTGTGCCCCAGACGTCCTGCAACTGGGGCCGCACACGTCTCTTGAGCACGCACCCGATTCCCACCATCGCGTCTCACCAACTAAGGCCTGAGTACATACAAGCCACGTTAAACGCCGCAAGAAAACTCCTCCACATACGTGTTTTGCTGCTGCGTACCCGGAATATCTCCAAAAACAACATGCCCAACTTTTCGCTCTCGCTAGACCTCCCCTGGGTGGAGAAATACCGGCCCCACAAGCTAGATGACATCGTGGGCAACGAAGAAACCATCGAGCGATTGAAGCTCATTGTGCAAGACGGAAACATGCCGCACATGATCATCCTGGGATTGCCCGGAATCGGAAAAACCACGTCTGTCCACTGCTTGGCGCACGAGTTGTTGGGCCCCGAGTTGTACCACCTGGCGACTTTGGAATTGAACGCCTCGGACGACCGAGGCATCGACGTGGTGAGGAACAAAATCAAGCAGTTTGCGCAGACGAAGATCCTGTTGCCGCCGGGCCGCCACAAGATCATCATTTTGGACGAGGCGGACTCCATGACGCCGGGCGCCCAGCAGGCCTTGCGGCGCACAATGGAGTTGTACTCCAACACCACGCGGTTTGCGTTTGCGTGCAACCAGTCATCGAAAATCATCGAGCCGCTCCAGCTGAGATGCGCCATTTTGCGCTACAACAAGCTTGCGGACGACCAGGTGTTGCTGCGCTTGCTCTCCGTGGCGAAGGCCGAGGACGTCAAGTTCAACTCCGAGGGCATCAAGGCCCTCATCTTCACTGCGGAAGGCGACATGCGCCAGGCCATCAACAACTTGCAGAGCACCGTTGCCGGCTTCGGGTTCGTGGACGACATCAACGTTTTCAAGATCGTCGACCAGCCACACCCGCTCGTGGTGAAGAAAATCCTTGCGGCCGCGATCTTCAACCAGAGCATTGACGACGCCGTGGACTTGCTCGACACGCTATGGAACAAGGGCTACTCTGCAATCGACATTGTGACGCTGGCTTTCCGGGTGGCCAAGACGTTGCCGGGCGTGTCGGAGCTGAAGCGGTTGGACGTCATCAAGGAGATTGGCTTCGTGCACATGCGCGTGCTTGAGGGAGTGCTGACGTACTTGCAGTTGTGCGGCATGTTGGCAAAATTGGCCCTGTTGGAGTGAGGGTGTCTGAGCACAGACTAGTAGCGGACACAGAAAGAGCCGGCAAACATGGGGATGCAGTGGGAGTGCCATGTGTGGAGGCGGGTGGGGCTTTCTTTTCTTTTATTTGTCTGAGTCTTCAATATCTTTCATTTACCACGCGTTTCCTTGACGTTGTCTCGTGAGTATTTCTCCTACTCCCATTCGGTTTCCACATTTTTCTCTCCTTTCCCCTCTATTCCCTCCCTCTCCTCCCTCCCTCTATTCCTTCTAACTCCTCTCCCCCCTTTTCTCTCCCCTCTACTTGGGTTTGTAGGCGTCGCAGAGGAGCTGGAAATGCTCGATCTGCTCCTGGATGAAAGGGTTGGGCGTCGCCTCAAACTCGTTGCCGAGAATCGTCACGAGGAGGAAGTAGTTGTTGAACAAGAACATCTCCCTGTGCGCCGCCTTGCCCTTGCCGGTGCCGAAGATGTACGTGCTGGCCCTGGTGAGCGCCCCCTCGAAGTCGTTGCGCAAGCGCGTGATGGACATGCGGAGCGGCTCGCGCAGGAACTGGTCGGCGCCGGCGGCGTCGTCGCCCGGGAAGGCCAACTTGAACAAGCCCAGCAAGAGCTGCGCGAACTGCTGCGTGGTCTGGATGGGCGCGTGGCTGGCGCCCGCGGCCGCGTGCGCATACGGGCCGCTGCCCACGATGTTCCTCTTCAACGCGTCGCAGTTGATGTCGATGATCCGCGTGAAGTGCGGCCACAACAGGAGGAGGAGCCTGTTGTGGTAGTCCTCCATGACCGGCACGTGGAACTGGTTGTGGAGCATGGCGTTCTGTTTCTGGACGATGCGGATCATGAGCAAGACGGCGAACGCGTCGCACGTGCCCGCCTGCGCCGCCGGGCCGGGGCCCCCGCTGGTGCCCGCGAGCCGCGGGCCGGGCGAAGGGTGCGGGCTGGACACGAGCCACGAGGCGTAGGAATGGCCCATGCTAAACACCTCCGCGAACATGGCGTGGGCCCAGTCGCGGTCCGCGCCGGGCGCCGGGAGCGCCGGGTCCAGCACGGGCGGCGCGTCCGGTTTCTCGCTGCCCTGGTAGAAGAAGTCCGTGGCAAACAAGTACTCCACGACCACGTTGTCGAGCAACGCGTTGGCGAACTGCTGGAACGCGAACTCGAGCCAGTAGGCGAACGGCGTGGTCTCGGCGATCTGCGACGGGATGGCCCGCCGCGCGGCACCGTCGTCCGCGAGCACGGCCATTCGTTTGGCCACCGACAGATAGTACTCGGGCAACGACACGCGGGCCGGCGGCGGCGCGGCGGCCGCGGCGCTCGCCGGGGCCGTCTGCGCGGGCGAGGGCGGCGTGTGGCCGGCGCCCATGAAATCCAAGAGCCCGGGCTTGGGGGGCTCGTGGCCGCCCGTGCCGCCCAACACATACAGCAGGTCGATGTGCTTGACGCGGAGCTTCTGGAGCGAGTGGAGGTACTTGGCGAAGCGCGTGGTGTAGTACCACTTCATCGTGTACACGTAGGCCCCGTGGAGCTGGCGGGCCAAGTGGGGCGTGCGGCTCTTGAGGAAGGCGAACGCGTCCTTGACCTGCAAAAGCAGGCGCTGCACCGCCTGCGAGGACACGGCCGCGGAGCGGCGCAAGAGCCGGATCTGCTCGATGACGTGGTCGCGGACGCGCTCCACGGCCTTGGCCTCCAAGAGCCGCACGCCGTGCTGCAAGGCGGCGAATAGCCGCAGATCCTTGAGCTCGGGCATGGCGTCGCCCCGCAGGATGCGGCGCACGAGCTGCTGCTTGTCGGCAATGAAGAGCACGGCGGCCACCCACGCGCCGTCCACGGGCCCGCGGAGCACCGCCTGCGCCATGGCCGGCGGGATGACAAGGTCCAAGACCACCGGGTTGAGTCTTTCCACGAGCGAGCGGTGGCCGTCCACGCCCTGCGCCAAGCCGCCGGCCTGCGCCTGGAGCGCGCGGAGCGACTCGGACAAGCGGCTGATTTGCGAGTCGAAGTGCCCGAGGAACCGCTCGATCGGCTGGAGCTGGTCCCGGTATGGTTCCAACAAGGCCAGGAACCGCTCGAACTGCGCCAGGAGCACGCCCAAGTCCTGCTCGGAGAGGCCTTCCAAGGGCAGGGCCGGCGTGGCTGGCGCCGGCGGGCCCGACGCGGCGATCGGGAGGATGGACTGGAGGTACGGCGAGCTCATACCAGTGGGGGAGGAGAGAGGTGGAGGAGCAGGCCGTCCTTGGTTGTGCTAGGGCGGGGGAGCGGGCCCGTACACCACGCCGGGGCCGTGGTTGGGGCCGCGGGCCTGGGTTTGGGCCAGGGTATGGGCCTGGATTTGGGGCCGCGGGCCTGGGTTTGGGCCAGGGTATGGGCCTGGATTTGGGGCCGTGGGCCTGGGTTTGGGCCTGGATTTGGGGCCGTGGGCCTGGGTTTGGGCCGGGAGTTGGGGCCGTGGCTGGCTTGGATGTGCGCAGAAACCGGGGCGGCTTTGGTGGAGCCGGGGCTGGGTCGATTGGCTCCATGTACCTGGGCAGCCGCGACGGGCTAGGCAACGATCATCTCATAACATTGTTATTATTAATCACTTCATTATTGAATTCTTTGATATATGGAATAGGATTCTTTATTATATTTTTAAATTCATTACGATAGTGAATCGTTATCATTATACCTTCCGCGGACTTGGAACGTCTACGCTTCAATTTGTATTCATTCAAGCCATCTAGGGCTGTCCGATTCACTGCCGGACCGTGCCAAATCAAATACAGAAACAAGACTACCCAGGAGATAAATGTGGTTTAATTGTATATGAAAAACTAAAATCAATTGGCTTACTAAGTTTGAAGTTTCGAGGTGAGACTTTGGTAAAATCAAAAAGAGCAGGTTCAATCAATATCATGACCTTGAGATGTCTTGTTATTTTTGTATTAACATTGTTAGCTTCTAACATGATCAGAGAAGTAAAAGTTTAATTATAATGACAGGGCCGCGACAGGGCCGCCAGGTGAGGGCCGCGAGGTTAGGGCCGCGACAGGTAATGGTAATAAAGCGGGGCGCCAAATAACGCCCACCTTGGCTAAATATCCATTTCGGGCGTATCCACTCATTTGGAGTTCAGGAAAGAAAGATGGAAGGGCCAGCACTAATGATAAGATAGGGAAACATGGATGGGCCCGCTCGCTGCTGGTAATGCCCTGGGCTCAAGGAAACTTGCAAGCTGGGGAAGGTTCAGGCTGTGCGAATACGGTGGTGTGCAGATGGTGGTGTGAATTGGATGGTAATATGATTAGGATGGTAATATGATTAGGATGGTGGTGTGATTTAGATGGTTGTATGAGTCAATGGTTTCAAGACTTGTATGAGTGGGAAATTAGGCCTGCATGATTTGTGCCTGTATGAGTAGAGGGCTGTATGAGGAGATGGTGACATGGTTCTAACCACGGCATTGAGATAATTGTATGATCTAGATGGCGGTATAATTTATATGGTAATACAATCTACATGGTGGTATAATCTAAACGGTGGCATGATCTAAACGGTGGTATAATCTAAACGGCGGCATGATCTAAACGGTGGCATGATCTAAACGGTGGCATGATTCATATGGAAGACTTGTATGAGTGAGAAATTAGGCCTGCATGATTCGTGCCTGTATGAGTAGATGGCGATATGATATGGATGAGTTTATGATTTAGATAGTGGTCTAACCTAAATGATGGTTTGATTTAGATGGTGGTCTAACTGAGTAGGTGGTGGGATTTAGATGGTGATGTAATTCTTGCTTCTATGGTCTAGTTGGTGGTATGGGCTATATGCTTTCAAGACTTGTATGACTAGATAATTGGCTTGTATGGTTTGTGCTTGTATGAGTAGACGGCTGTATGATTGGGATGGTGGTGTGATTTGAAGAATGGTAGATTTAGATGGTTGTGTGATTTAGATGGCTGTGTGATACATGAATTAAACGATGATTTATATGGGAGACTTGATGACTGGATAATTAGGCCTGCATGATTTGTGCTTGTATGGGTAGATCACGTATGATATGGATGAGTTGACTCTTAAATCAACTTGTACAAAAAGTATCTGTTGCTTAAAGTGTCTCGAAAGTGTTTGTGGAGAACTCCAACAAACGTTGTGGAATGTGCAAGTGCTTCAATGGCGGACTCATGACGTGTGACATGAGTGAAACAAAGACAACACGTTTCATGTCACAGGTGCCCAAGACACTCTTAGCTTCAAGCCCAGGTTTAAACCAGTCCCCCAAAAGATCAACACTTATAGCACATATACTTTCGTGCGGGATCAAGTCGGGATGTTGCAGCCTACTTTGATGTTCCAAAAATGAACATCACAGTGGAATTTTGGACATTAGGGACCAAAGAAAACGGTCGTCATCTGACGAGCAAAGGCCCGTAATCCAGCTCTTTATTGAAGGTATTATGAGACAAGGCCATCGGTTGAGTGGTTCCTCATTGCGAGCGCACAACTGCATTTTCATTATTGCAGTCATGGATAAAGCTGATCGGAAAAATGGGGAAAAAAGAGGCGTGAAAGAACGTGATATTTCAAGAGTTCTGTGCAATCTTTGCAAGGTCCCAGCATCTCCAAAATAGGGGCCTTTGAATGATACGGAAATCAGTTAGGGACCGCAAGAGCACGGCTCCTCGTGAAAAGCCATAAATCAGTGTTGTTTTTGCAGCAGCAGAGGCGGGGATTGACTGTGATTAAAACCTGAAATTTCTAAAGGTGTTTTACGCGTGCCAAGAATACCACATACTTACCGACAAAGATCTCAAGTATGGGGAACTTGAGGATGATGAATTCATGTCCAAGCTCAGCAGATTTATTCGCAGAGAATGAAATCGAGGATATGGAGGACCGCATGGATCACGTGCCTTTGGAGCTGGCTAGACAATCCCAGGGCAGGTCCGGGATCTGTTTGGGAGACCTCTTCGAATATATGTTTTTGTCGTACAGATTCCGCCTTTTCATGGAGCGAAATTTCGAACTCAATGCGAACAGAAACGTAGGAAAAAAACAAATTGTATTAAAGAACATAGCCGTGACTAAAGCAAGACTCTGTCATGAGGAACAATTTGGCTCGAGAAACCTGTTTCAGTGAGGCCTAATTCAGTTTAGTCTCTGTTCAATCACATGAATAAATCGTATCGAACGACGAGCAAGCCAGGCTAAGACATATAGCCACCTCCGAATGGTATAACTTCTTGCTTGATAAAACGGGTCAATTTTTCACACGCCTGGAGTGGACTTTCACGAAAAACAAAATTGCTTATATCCTGGTCTCAGATCATACAAACCTTGGAAAAACCACTCATGTTTTTCCTTATGAGAGGAATTAATAATCATGCTCATCTTGATGATGAACTTTTGCTAATATTTCGGTGTCATCGCCTAGGTAGAAGTGGAACCATACAAGATTTGGGGTGGGGTCACGTCGATATAAAGGTACATCATCACGTCGATGGATGGATAGACAATCCCCTGTTCCATACACTAAGAAGAGTTTGGCTGACGGATATAGATCAAAAGCCGCTTAAAAGCTCATAGAGATAAATCAGAAACACAAGATCTTCAAAAAGTCCACTAAGAATATAGTTGATTTAGTTTTGCCCCAGGTGCTTGGACTCAAGTGGCTCTTTCTGAATTCGCAAAATTAGGTCTAAGTCCCAAGAGTCTAGGTGTGGATCTAATCAATTGTGCTCTTCCAGGCAAAAGCTCGAGATACAATCAAGAACAGATCAAACAAAGACTCCACGGCTCGATAAAGTAGAAAAAATAGCTATTGGTAAGGAGACGTTCAAATTCTTGAGTCGCAAAAAGCAAGAAAAACAACTCCCAATAATGCCACAGCGCTTCGTTCGCATATGTCCCGCTGTCCGTCAGACTAAGAGGTGGAAACACTTTTGGAAAGCCTTGTATAAGGCAGAATGGACAAAGCAATATGACCTTTCGTCATCCATCAATTACGGTTCCTATGTTCCTCAGGAACCTACTGAGCGACACATCGGATCTTCAATGCCATTTTTGCACATCCTTTATTCACAAGAGCGAAGAAGCCACCGACGCTTTTCTAAGCCATATCTACCACAACTGCGAAACATCCAAATACCACTGGCAAGAGCTAAAATTTACCAAGCTCATGAGCTTGAACACAATGTTTGCCGCAGCCGACATCTCATTGGAGAACTTAACAAAATAAAATTGTTTCGTCACCACGATTTTCAAGGTGTACACTAGAAGGCATGGCGAGGCGCAGGAAATTGGTCCCTGAAGTCCGCTCCAACCATCTGAGTTGAAGCGACTACTACAGGAGACCTACCCTAGAAGTCGATGACGTTATATCTAATACGTAAACAGATACGGGCCATGAGGACCGTCCAGGCCGTGGCTAACGGAAGGGGACGGGCCGAACTAAGACACTTGGTACGTAGCTGGGAGCTGTTTAGAGGTTATATATATATATATATATTATTCATATAGTTTTGCCCCTTTAATCAGATGAATCTACCAAGAAAAAGATCTAGATGGTAGTATAATCTGTATAATTGTATGACCTATGATTGCATAAATGGCTTGCATGATTTGTGCCTGTATGAGTAGATGGCTGTATGAGGAGATGGTGACATGATTTAAACCACGGAGATAGTTGTATGATCTAGATGGCGGTATAATTTATACGGTGATATAACTCTTGCTCCTATGATCTAGATGGTGGTATAATTTACATGTTTGCATGATTCGGGCTTATGGGGAGTATATGCGAGATACGCTTCCGTGCATTCGCATCCTCCCTCTATCTTCCATCTTCCATTAACCTTCTGGATCTTCCATGTCATTTTCCTCCATGTTTGCTCGTTTGACTTACCGTTTAATCGTTTGATTTAATCTTCAATCCACTACCCTCCAGCATCAATCGTTGATCATTAATTATTGGCAGCAGGCTTAGGTCATTAACATGGGCATTAGTCACCATTTTTCCAATGCATCACACTGGCATTCATCACCATCAGCATAAATAAAGCATAAACCACTGATGGTAAACATTCATGGTTCTCCTGGGTCTTTATTTTGCGTAGATGGAGAGGCCCGGCTTTGTCGGGGCATCCTCCGGCTCATTTCGTCGTCTTGTTTCTAGGGCAATATGCCGTTGCCTTGAATCCTTCTGCTGTGACTGGTTGCAAAATTGAATTGTGCCGTTTCCGCCTGGTATCACCTCGGTTTCACCGGAGTACCACCCGCCCGATCAGCGACTCGCCAAATGTGGCGCAATCTAAAGCAGGGCCAGCCACAACCTGCAAAAGCAGGGCCATGTCCGAGGCCTCAGCTAAAACGCAAAAGCCAGACAAACTTGAACTTCAAGACCCATCCGTTCGGAGCTGGCGGCCTTGCATTGGGCTGGATATCTAGTACCAGCAAGTGGCAAGATTTGCAACTACTGCCTCTTTTTGCAAGCGCACCGAAATTTCTGGAGCCTGCTCTTTATTAGGAGCGCGGTGGCAATCTCCAGTGCAAGCGCAGCGCCAACTCTCGCGTACTGTCAATTGCCAATTAAGTGGAGACACGATTCTCGAAGAACTACGCGAATAGCCACCAAAATAGCTACCAGATGAAGCCACCCGATTAAACCACCCGAATAGCCACCCAAATATACTACTCCGACACTCCATCCAGCCCCGCCCTGATCAAAGCCCATTGTTTCAATACACCTCTCCATCTCTCTAATACATGCCCCGGCCACTCTCTAATACAGACCACGCCATCTCTATATAGCAAGTTCCTAATAAAGCGGATCGGTAGACCGCCGCTGCCGGCAGATGTCCAAGATGGGTGTTGGAATCATCCTGGTTCTGCACTTTACATTGACCACTATACATACTTTAGTTTTGCCCGAGCATAAAGATCTCCTCTTTTGGGTTGCGTTTGTCGTACGGACTACGATGTGTCGCCAAGTGCTTCGCACTGCTGATTTATTCGTGCTGGTATTAGTATGTGCGTTTTTTCGAGCATGCGAGCATTGGAGCCAACAATAAAAATTAAAGCATGCCTCTAGGCCCGAGAGCCCCAAGGGCCCACTCTATGAAAGCAAAAGACCGGCCCTATGAAACAATGGCTGCCCTCTGAAACATAAAGCCACGCTCTGAAACACAAAGCCACGCTCTGAAGCATAGGGCCACGCTCTGAAACAACGGGCCACGCTTTAAAACATAGGGCCGCCCTCTGAAACACAGGCCCAGCCTCTAAACACAGGCCAGCCTCTGAAACAATGGGCCACCCGAAACAAACCGCCCTCGTTCTCTCAGCAAATTTGCTCCCAGCTCTACAACTCCACGACAGCAAAAAACAGCCGCCGCAAGAGCAAAGGGCCAGCACCCAAGCTAATAAAAAAAAAAAAAAACCAACAGTCTCCAGCGCCCCGGATCTCCAATGGCCCCGCGCCGTGCAGGCAGACGTGTCGCAGCCAACCCGCGCTCCTGGCCATGCTATATAAAAACCCCCATGCCCCAGCCGCCAGCCGCGCTCCAAACTCTCTCATGGAGGCCGCACATGAATATGGAGCACATTTCCAAAACGGCGACCCCCTAAGCGGCGATCTCCAGAACGGCGATCTCCAAAATGGTGATTCCCAAAATGGTGATTCCCAAAATGGCGATTCCCAAAATGGCGATTCCCAAAATGGTGATTCCCAAAATGGCGATTCCCAAAATGGTGATTCCCAAAATGGTGATTCCCAAAATTGTGAATCCCAATATGGCGACCCCCAATATGACGACCCCCATAATGCCATACCTGAAAACAACATAACTCAAAGCGCCACACGCCAAAGCGCCACACCCCCACACGCCCTACCTGAAAACACAAAACCACAAAACGCCACACCCCAAAACGGCGCGGGCGAAGACGCCGCCCACGTGCCCGTAGGCGCCTCCCCAAACGCCCCCGAGTACGACGAAATCGAGCTCGCCGTCACCGAAAGCCAGCACCGCGCCATCGCCTGGCCCGCACACATGGACCAACTCCTCCGCATCCGCGCCGGCCCCGGCTCCGGCAAGACGTTCACGTTGGTGGCGCGGGTCGCCCACATCCTCTCGCAAGGCACGCGGCCCGACGAGGTGCTCGTGCTCTCCATGGCCAACCGGTCCGTGGACTCGTTGAAGGACACGTTGGCGCGCTTGGTTGGCCGGCAGACGGCCGGGGCCGTGGAAATCGCCACGTTCCACGCGTTCTGCGCCGGGTTGCTCGACCAGCACGGCTCGCTCGTCAGCTCCAGCTACTCCAAACAGGCCATTCTCGACGACGCCACGTGGAAGACCATGGTGGCGTTTTTCCTGGGCCGCCTGGTCAAGTTTGGCGGCCACACCATCGGCGGCACCATCACCCCGGCCCGCCTCGACAAGGCCTTGTCCAGCATCATGTTGGGCCTCGCGTCGCCGGCCCAGGTGGCCGCGGAACACAAGCTCAACGCGGACTACCTCGCGCGCTTGGCGCAGCACCTCCGGCTGAGCGGAATGGTGCGCTACGACGAGATCATAGCCGACGCCACGCACCTCATGCGCCACTCGGCCTCCGTGCTCCGGGCCCCCGGCGCGGGCGACGCCCCCACACGTGCGCTCCTCCCGCGCTTGGCCCACTACAAGGCCGTGCTCATCGACGAGTTCCAGGACGTGTACCCGGCGCTCGCCGCGGTCATCCGCTGCATCGTGGAGTACCCCACGGCCGGGCTCGCCGCGCGCCGCAAGCACTTGACCATCACCGGCGACTCCAACCAGAGCATCTACGACTTCTTGGGCGCACACGAGCTGGACATGGCGCGCTTCCCGCGCAAGTTGCCGCGCATGGACGTCGTGGACCACCGCTTGCAGGAGTCGTTCCGCTGCACGCAGCCGATCTTGGACGCGGCCGTGGACGTGGCGTTGAAGGACGCGTCATTCCGGCCCCGTGCCACGCGCGCCGACGCCTGCGCGCAGCGGCCCGTGCTCCTCGAGGCGTCCAGCGTGGTGGAGGAGTACCACAGGGTGGCCGACGAGATCGTGCGGCTCCTCTGCCTGCTGGGCGGCCTCGTGCACCTCGACGACATTGCCATTCTCGCCAGGACCAACGCCGCGGCCACCGCCATGCAGGCGGTGTTGAAGTCCCGCTTTGGTCTTGCCGCCCACAAGCTCTCGCTGGGCAACCAGTGGGTGGCCTCGCGCATGCACATCCTCAAGCACGTGCTCGGCGTGATCTCGGGCGAGTCCGGCTCCAGCGTCAGCTTGATGTCCATCTTGTTGAACTTGGACTCCATGCCCGGGAGCCGCGTGCGCGTGTCTCGCGTGTTCAGCGAGAGCCTCGCCAAGAGCGCCCCGGGCGACGCCATGTTCCTCGAGGCGTACCTCTTCGACGAGCTCCTGAACCCAGACCCCAAGGCCTCGGCCCTCGCCGCGCTATACGCAAAGCACCCGGCCGCTCTCGAGCGCATCGCCGCGTTCCTCAACCAGGTGCAGACCGAGAGGCAGCTCTTGGCCGATGCGCACGCCACGTCCCCGCTTGCGTTTGGCCCCGTGGCGCTCGTGGCGTGTCTCCAGCGGATGGCGGCTCTCGATGGCATCGCCCAGTACTTGCGCCTGGACGCCAACGAAACCAGCAAGGCCTCGCCCTTGGAGATCTTGGAGTCCTTCAACAATTCCATCCACCATGCGTTCGGCAAGTACTCCGCCAGGCCGGAGCTCCACACCACCACGTTCCTAGACTATTTCTTGCAAACCTACGACAGCGACGTCATCAACCCGGTTGGGAACTCCATCACCGTCTCCACCATCCACTCCGCAAAGGGCTTGGAGTTCCCCATCGTGTTCGTTCTCGGCCAGTTGGCGTACACTGCGTCGTGGGACAAGATTCTCGGCGAGGAAAACCCTGCAATCGACGTGCTGGACGAAGGCGACTCGAAAACAGCCACCCGCTTGCGAAATGCCATGCCCGACAAGACTTCCATGCAAAGCATGCAAGCAAGCAGTCCCGTATCGCGCTTGCTTTATGTTGCGCTTACGAGGGCGCGCAACTTGGTGTACTTGGGCTGCCAGACTCCCATCAAAAAGTTGCTGGCCATCACGAATGCCCGCTTCACCACTCGTCTCCCCGATTTGGACCCGGCATCAAACCTCGCCGCCACTCAAAGCCTAGAGGACGCTACTTCTTCGAGTGAAAGTGGTACCCACACCACTCAGGCTGCAACAAGCAATGGTGAGCTGCTTTTGGCCTCCCTCTCGCGCGACTTAGGCCGGCCAATTCCGTCAAGGGAAAAGTTTGTCCTCGGACGCAAAATTTATGGGAGTATAATGGGCAAAACAGAAACCAATCGAACAGTGAGATTCCAGAAGCGAAGAATATGCCACCAGATTCAAAGAACACTCATCGTGCCAAGAAAGACAGGGCTTTCTCCGCACGTCGGGCCGTTGGCCTTCCTGACTCTACAGTTGTTCAAACGTGCACCGTAGAATATTACACATGCATGCAAATACATAATGCACACATAGAACCTTGCTGAATGCAACCGCCTCTTTAATGCTGCTCTTTGCAGATACTAGACACGACTCTGTTACATGCCGATGGGGCTCGTCATAGTAATTGGGAATGAAAGGACGGGCCAATATAAATCAGCTGTGGCGGGTACAAACCTCTCTCCCCTGTTCTTAGCTTCCTTCCCATGGATTGAATACCGAACATTTGTCACACAATGGTCTGAAAGGAAGCTAGCTCTTTTGTAGATTCGCTAGGTTTCAACTTGGACTGAGGACTACTGTTTTTTTATGCGTACGAACAAGTAAAATTGGCGACTAAACTAGTGTCTCAATCAGACAGAGAACGCGTTGATTTATGATGTATTCACTTTAGACCTGTTTCCAACAGCTCTAGCGGACAAGTTTGTTCTTGAATAGAGCATATCTTGTCAGAGACAAGGATCGGACTTACTCGTGTGTAGAATTCAATGGCTTCGTAAGAGTTCGAATAGACAGTTCAGTTCCCCAGCCATACTCAATTAACCAAGACACGGAGAAACACAATATCCGAATACATCTGCTGAGGAGGCGGACTTTGGTCAGTGGTAAAATTAAGGTGACCCCGAAGTGCCACCCGGAACCGAATTTCGCATGAGTAATTAGAATACTACAGAAACGAGACTTATACGTGTGATACCCAGATGCTCATTCTGTGATGATTTGTATATCCAGGACAGAACCCAATTCTGCTCTTGGCTGGCAATCAGCATGCCATCATAAACCGATCTCTCGTGCACTGGGCCGCACAGCTGACGAAGGATGAAATAAGACCAGTCAGACAAACCTGAGTGCATGCTGGTAATGCCGGGTTTTGATCCGTGGTGTGGATGTTCAAATATGGCTTGGAACTAATGCTTTTAGAAAAACATGCCATTTTTTTTTTTCACAAAAACCATTCAAGCTTTAGCACCATACATTTGTGATGAGTGACGAAACTCAATTGACGTGCTTGCAAGTGTCGCTTCGAGACGTGTACGGCGGTGCTCGGCACGGAAAAGCAGAGCGCATGAGGGCCGTGGCTATGGAGTGATAGTGAATGATGTGCCGCCTCAGAGTATATGTTTGATAAGCATGCCCCCTCTCGTAACCGTATCTACCCCGACCATCTAACCCGGCGCGTCAATCAGCCGGGACAGTCGCATTCCTCCAGAGCCAAGCGTGTAGCACTTGCTCTAGGCAAGTTTCGACAACAAGCTCAATAAGTCTCCTTTGTCTGGATCGGGAGCAGACAAAGATTCGTCTGAGTGGCCCGGGCCGGGCTCGGATTCGCGCTCGTGCATGAGTTCCACCGCGTCCTTGTGGTGGATTTCAAAGCCATGAGTATCATTGGCCGGCAAGTTGTTGTTGTCGTCGTCGTCATCGTCGTCGGCACCAGCATCACCGATGATGTCCATGTAATTGGCCTGGTCGTCACGCTCAAACTCCTTGACCTCGATTTCCTCCGAGAACGCCACGGATTTCTTGGACGTGGCGGACGAGAGACTGGCGTCCGACACGCGGCGTTTCTTTTGGGCTGGCGGTTCGTCCAGCAGCGCCGCCACCCGCTTGGCCGGCGGCAGGTCCGCGTCGCTGTCGCTGTCGCTGGAGTCCTCGTATGTGGGAACTAGGCTGTCAGAGGCGGACGGCGCAGTGTCTGGCGAGGTGTCAAACACAGGCGACGGCTCCTCGGCAGGCGACGGGTGTTCCACAGACGAGTTCACGCCCTGCAGCAGCAGCTCATCGACCATATCAAGAAGCTCGGCGCGCGTGGAGCGCACCCGCTCGAGTTTTTGCTGGAGAAGCTCGATCTGGAGCGTGTCGGGCGGCAGGCCGGCCAGCACCTCACGGGACAAGTCGGCAAGTGCCGCCACAATGTCGCGGCGGGCAGTCTGTGCGTCCTCGAGCGTCTGCACGGTCATCAGGCACAACTTCTCCAACACGTTGAGCTTGGACACGTACACTTTGGGCAGGGGCAAGGCGTCCAGCGCAGACGGGTCGTCCGGCAAGTAGAGCTGGGCCTGCTGGTGCGCGTGGGCCACGTTGGCCGAGGCGGTGGCCAGGAGCTGGGCCATGTGCAAGAAGAGCCCGTTGACCGGCGCCAACTGCGGGGCTATGCGCGGCGGCGCGGCGGCCTTGAGCAGCGCCTTCAGGCCCGCGTCCGGCGCGTCGGCGGGGTCGAAGGCCTGGCCGTCCTTGGCCTGGAGCACGGCGTGCTGCATGTTCTCGATCTGCGGCTTTGTGAACACGCTGCGCTCGTTCCACACGGAGATGAGCCGCTCGACCTTGGGCTTGACGGGCTCGTCCACGGCGCCGTACAAGGCGTGCAACACCGCCGGCAAGCGGGCGGCAAAGCCGGCGATGAACTCGGGCTTGCGTTTGTGGCGCGCCTGCTGCACCACGTCGTTGCACAAGTAGAGCAACGAGAGCTTCTTTTTCAGCGGCGCGCCGGCGCTGGTTTGCAAGGCGTAGTCTGCCCAGAGCTCGCAGAGATGCGAGGCGTGCCGGTGGTGGAAAAGCACCCACTGCGAGAGCGACACGATGGAGTCCTGCGTCTCCTGGAGCGCGTCCAACTTGTTGCGGAAGATCTCGGGCGAGAACGACATGGAGTGGTTGGGGGCCGGGAGGGGGATGCGGGTGGAGTTGTGTTTGGTTGAGGAAGGACAGGTGAGATGGAGCTGGGGCCTGGGGCTGGCGGCCGGCGCGCGCTGGGCCTATTGTTTTCGTGGTGGTGAGTGCCCTGTGCCGGGGGGCCTGTGGGGCGCGCGCTGGCCCTAAACGGGAGGAAGAAATTGGGGGGAAAAAGCGCGGTGGGCCGGGCAGGGCGGCAAAACAGGACCCACAGGCTTCTGGGGGCGGTGATTGTTGGTGGATGTTATTTTCTTTTGTTTTTGTTTTTTTGTTTGTGTTTTTTTGTGTTTGTTTTGTGTTAGTGTTTTGGTTTTGGTTAGGTTTTGGTTAGGTTTTGGTTTTGGTTTTGGTTTTGGTTTTTTTTAGTCGGGGGTTACTTTGTTTCATTGATTTTGTTTCTGTTTGGAACTGAGTTTTACTTCAGCTAGGGCGGGTCTGTAATCGGTTAGTATCTTGTTTATAGACTTGGGTCATTTTTTAATTCTGTTGGTGCTTTTGTTGACTATTGTAGTTGGTGTTTCTTAAATATTGTATTTGATGTTCTTTTACGTTTGTAGTTGGTGCTTTTATGGTCTTGTCTTTTTTGCTTTTGTGGTTGGTATTTTTTGTTTTTGCCTTTGGTGTCTTCGTGTTGGTGGTTAGTTTTTTTTGCGGTTGTCTCGGCAGTTTCTGTTTTGCTGTCTAATCTGAAGCTGGTGGCCCTGGAAGAAAAAGATTGACAGTCCTCACCTGGCAAGTCTGGCCTGCAGTTGGGGCCCGTGAAATTTGCACCCACGGCCGCAGCGTCTGCAAATGGGGCGGGCTCGTTGCCTCAAATGGGGGCCTTGAATGTGGAGTACAAAGTAAAATGGTTTTGACTAGAAAGCTGGCGCGGTTGATTTTCGAGTTTGGAGAGGACGGGTTATTTTATCTGGAAGTCTGCTCTCTGTAAATAAGTGGTCGGCTTGAAAATGACTGGTGCTCTTGCGAATGAATGGTATACTTCCGAAAGGGATGAAAAGCTCTTGCACTCTTGTAAATAAAGGGTTCGCTTTTTTCATTGGATGGCATATTCTTGTAAATATGTACTCTTGTAAATATATACTCTTGCGCTTGCAAATATATACTCTTGCATATGAATAGTTCACTTTGGCCAATGCATGGCACGTTCTTGCATGAGTGGAAGATAGGAAGATGTACTAGTCCGACTTGCTAGTCTTAAATGGGAGGGGAAAAGAATATGTTGACTACCAAAGTGGGCAGGTGTTTTTAAAGAACTTGATGTTTGAGATCCCGAAAGTTTCCTGCTGACCAGGCATTTATTACCCCGCTAAACTATTACCAGTAACGACTTGAGACGGCTATGGTGCGAATCTTCAAAGTGCATGATTTTCTTCTGAAGGACCAGGTAAAAAAGATGCTCTGAACAAGACAAATCTATCCATGATTTCTTTCGTATCGAAGAAAAGAAGCTGATGCTTTGTATTAAGTCTGGAACTCTTTTCTTCATTGCATGAGTAGTCTTTTCGTGGCTTTCTACTTGATAGAGTTCACAACTTGCTCGCATCTTCTGGACCAGCCGTCCATAGTAAGACAGCATAACCAGCTCTGGCTGTTGTAATTTGTATATACTGCTCTGGAGCTTAGCTGCGGTACCAATGTGAATCTACGTTTTCGGGGAGTTCTCAAAAGACGGACTGGTCGCTTGGCTCGTTGGCCATTGATAAACAGTTACGAAATATCATTTGGACTGCTCATGAGACTAAGAACTAACCAAATGCCAAAGGTTAAAAGTTCTCCAGTTCTGATAATCTACAAAATACAAAACCCTCATAACGACACATACAAAACGCACGCTTTGTGGCTTTTCGGACGATATTGAAGCAACAGAGATGATCAAGAAAATCTGGAGATTCAAACCACAAGCTGACACAAGTCCAGCCAACAAACATGCGAGGTATTTATTAGACAGCTCTACTTCTCTTGAGCCAAATCCTTGAAACGAGATATTTGGACATGAGTCGATGGAAGAGAAAGAAAAATTGGGTTGAGCATGCCCGTTCACGTTGCGACTTGGTGTGTTGTGAGGTATGCAAAGATGAAAGTTCTTTTGTGTTAAAGTGACATAGTCACTACTTGCGGGAGATCAAAACAGTGCTAATGTCTCCTTATACATCAAAGACACCTGATGGGGAGAAACGTGCGGTCCCTCATATGGCCACGAATTAAAGACGTATGCAGCTTTTATTACACGCCTCTCAGGCTGTGTTTTTTTGTTTCAAGAAAGACGAGAAATCTGCAAACGTCTGAATAATGAGGGCACTTCTTCATGTTCTTTCAGGATTTTAGAATAACCCACTCCGGGGAATTCAAAACGCGTCTATGACGCTGGCTCACAGTGCATATATCCGAACAGTCAACGCGGCAATGTTTCAATTGAAGATCTTGCTTGAAAATGAAAAAAATCATTCTTGATTCTTGCAATTTGTGCTGCCAAATATGGCGGTCCAGAAGCGAAGGCACAATTTTAGACCCTAGTCTGAGCTCTGCAAAACGCTCGTCTCTAATCAGTTCACCCAACCTCTCTGAATTTGGTCTACGACTTCGGCAGAGTATCTTCTGAAATACATGAATTTCCTTTTTTCATGTGCTTTTTCTCATACTATTCTTTTGGTTGAAATTCTCCAGCAAGTCATTTTTATAATTAATCTCCGATTGACATGTGTTTCCTAAGAAAACCGGTGGTTGTCCCTGCGAGGGTTACCAAGTGATCATGGCCTTGGCTTATCCTCATATTCGCCAGTTGTTTCTCTTTTGGTAATTCTACTTATAGTGGGAAGCCATCAGAAATTATTCTCATAGAAGACAACCCCATGCGCTTTCAAATTTCAAAGGAACAATGCTTCATTATTGTTACCGACAATGTTTGACTATATGTAGCTGGGAGCAGATATCGTAATTGTGGTCAAATAATTGTTTTTTGCAAGCGCAGTTCAAGCTTATAAACAATATGCATGTTGACAGCAATTTGGGAACCAAGGCGGTGTTTTCGCTGCAGCTCAGGTGATCCGAAAATTGGAGCAAAAATGGTCTCCACTTCGCTCTTTACTGTATCGGCCTTTTCTAGAAGAGAAACGAACATCTGCCTCGGCTTGATGATATCCATCTCTAGGACACTCATGCAAGTGGCACCTAGGGAGCTTTTTAGGGTTCATTGATTTCATTTAACAACGAGTATATTTTATATTTTGCCGCACGTCTGAAGTAAATCATCACTGGCCCATCTGAAGTGAATCAATACTGGCCCGTCTGAAGTAAATCATCACTGGCCCGTCTAAAGTAAACCATCACTGGCCCGTCTAAAGTAAACCATTACTGGCCGGCGTCTGAAATGTGACGTTCATGTCTGAAAATTAGAGAGATTCATGTATGAATACTAAAAAGGTTTACGTGAAAAATTGAAAAGGCTCGTGTCTGAGAATATAATAATTTATGTCTGAGATTAGAAAGGGTCCGGGCACCCATTGGCAAAGACACTCGATCACGGCAGCAGCAGCTAGGAATTAATATAACAGCTTCTGAAGACACAGGAGAGTTATTGGTACCTCGATCAAATGCAGACATGCCCCACTATTCCATGACCCCCATTCTCCTCTGTCCAATAAAGCTTCCTGCTCATTTGACGAAATATTGCAGAATGAAGGAAGAAGGACGGGCATACTATGTGATATATGATGTCTTGAATATGGCCAGCAAGTTCCGCGGTCTCGCAGTCTGGTCTGCCGTCGCTGTCGTCTCTGCCTCTCAATTATTGGCACGTTCTCTTTCCTTTTTCCTATTTCAATTATTTCTTGAGTCTCTGCTCCGGCTTTCTCTCTATCGTTGTCAGCCTTCAGCCTTTCGTGTTCTTCGTCTCTGCTCTTCGCCGTGTCCTTTATTTCTGCGTTTCTGACTCTTGGAGTCGTACATTGAAAGGGTCCATTTCCGGCTCGGGCGAGTCGCGGCCCCAATCCAGAGCCTAGGCCGAACCCAGGCCCATGCACCAGCCAAGGCCGCCGGAAACACAATGATGCCAGCGATATGCCATTTTTTTTTTCCAGCCAGTCTTGGAAAACAAATGTCACGCCGTTCTGGCAGCCGCGGATTTCCAGAGGCTTCGATTGTGGGTTGAAGCCAGTGCGGCGAGCTGTCCTCAGCACGGGGCCATATTCGCATGACGGGGCCATATTCGCTCATGGGGCCATATTCGCTCATGGCGCCATATTCGCTCATGGCGCCATATTCGCATGACGGGGCCATATCCTAATAGCCCTCGTTGTTGGCGGCTTGTTGCCATCCGGTTACTTTTTCTTGCGTGTTTTTGTTTTTTAATACACAAAGGCTGATGGCATGCTGGGCTGTTTTTTGGCCTTGTGCTTGTTGGTGTATGCATTTTGCTCGACCTCCCGGTCGCCCGCTTATTAGCCAGGTGCCTGGCCCCAGCCTCCGCACCTTTTCCATGCCTCCTCACCTGCGCGTTTTCTGTCCCACTACCATTTCTGCCTACGCGCCAGTTCTCTACCCTCCATTTCTCTACCCGCCATTTCTCTACCCGCCCTTTCTTTACCCGTCCTTTCTGCCTACCGCCATTTCTCTCTCGCTGCCCTTTTTTTTTTGTCCCGCTGCCCATTTTGTCTCGCTGCTGGCGGAATGACTAGCCCCCTCCCTCCATCGTGCCGCCCCAATTCGCTTCCCAATATGTCATGTTTTGTTCCGTGCACCTCCCTTCCCCCCTTAGCTGCCCTGTGACCGGCCACTCACCGCGCCATATCCTCGCGCCATATCCTCGCGCCATATACCGGGCCATATCCTCGCGCCATTCACCGGGCCATGTACCGCGCCATATACCGCGCCGTTCGCCCCGCGCTGTTTACCCTTCCAGGCCGCACTGACCCAAGCACCCTCCAACCACTCTTCTTCTGCCCGTGCCAGAACCCGCCCCACACACCAAAACACCCCCAAAACACCCCCAAAACACCCCCAAAACACCCCCAAAACACCGCGATGGCCCGGCCGAAAAAAACGGCCAGCACTTCCGAGCCGAGCCCGGAGCCGGCCTCGCCTGCTCGCGGAAAACACACGCGGGCCAGCCCACGCTCGCCCGTGGCGCCCGCATCGCCAGCTAAAAGGCCCCGTGGCCGCCCGCCCAGGTCGCCGCTGCGCCGCCGCCGCGCGGCCCAATCGCCGCGCCAGGCCGGCGTGGCGCTGCTCGTGCAGAAATTGGCCGAAAGCGGCGCCGCGGGCGCCGGGGCCGCGGGGCCCGTTTCTGCCGACGCCATCCTCGCCGCAGACACGCCGGCCAAGCTCGCCCAGTTGCTCCAGCGGCTCGTGGCCACGGACCAGGACCGGCTCTTTGCCCAGTTCCGGGAAACGAGCGCGCAGCGCGCCGCCACCGACGCGCAGCAGATCGCCCGGCTCTCGGCCAGCCTCGAGGCCAAGCAGAACACCATCGACGCGCTTGCACAGCAGGCCCAGGAGCTCCAGAACGCGCTCGCGGCCGCCGGGGACGCGCTGCCGCAGGCCGCAGACTCGCCCGCCGCAGACACGCCGCAGAAACGCGCTGCCGCCAGGCACATGTACGAGTCGCCCATCCGCAAGAAGACCGCCGACGCGTGGGTGCACCGCAGCGACGTGGACGACGAGTTCCGCACCATTGCCTTCTCGCTCGACATGCTCGAGCTTCTTACGGGTGTGCGCATCACCAACTACGTGGTGGATGCGGACCGCTTCTTGTTTGACGTCAAGCAGTCCAGCACGCTCTCGGACCACGACACGGACGTGGTCACCGTGGAGTACCAGCTCCTGATCCAGCGCGACTTCCAGGAAAAGGCCGAGGTCACGTACGTGCCTGTGTTTCTCGAGCTGCTCCACAATGGCGCCCCGGACGCGGAGCTGGCGGCCCGCGCCCGCGACGCGGCCCGTGTCCGCGGCCACTTGCCGCTGTACCTCCAGCTGAGCCTCAACTTCCCGTACAACACGCTTCTGCAGTTCTACGCCAAGTTGAACAAGGCGCTCAACAAGTGCAGCAAGGCGTAGGCGCGCTCGCTGGCCCGGCCTGTTTGGGTCTGGTCTTTTGAAAGAACGGGTTGTGTGGGTGAGATCCGATGGGGAGATCCGATGGGAGGGATCCGATGGGTGTAGCCGATGGGTGGGCCCTGATTCTATGGGTGATATCCGTTCCTATGGGTGATATCCGTTCCTATGGGTGATATCCGTTCCCATGGGTGAGATCTGATTCTATCAGACAGACCTGTTTCTATGTGGCAGATCGGTCTCTTTGGGACAACGCGGGCTCTATGGGACGGATCTGATTCTATGGGACAGACCTGCTTCTATGGGTGAGCTCTGTCTCAATGGGTCAGGACGGGTTTTATTGGGGAAACCTGCTTCTATGGGACAGATCCGTTTCTATGGGTGGGATCTGTTCTATGGGACAGGACGGGTTCTATGGATCAGGTCTTGTACATCGGTGAGACCTCTTCTTATGGGCCAAATCTTTTCTGTCGCGGAGACCTCGTTCTATGGGTAGTACTGGCTCATACCTGTCTCTATGGGATCCCTGGGTCATGCCTATTTCTATGGGATCCCTGGGTCAGACCTATTTCTATGGGATCCCTGGGTCAGACCTATTTCTATGGGATCCCTATGGCTTTTTCCACGCCGCCTTGATACGGCTTGAACGACCCCGCGCTGGCCCAACATGCTCTTCAGCAAACAGTTTTGACAAACCCTACTTGTATTCCAAGAAATCCCTCATGTGATTTCAGTGGTGTGGTGACACCTCATCCAGAGGTTCATTGAAAAACACCCGGACTTTGCACGGCGCTCATCGGTCTGACAATGACCTTCACTCTGCAGAAGTCTTTCTCTTGATCAAGACATGTTCATTCAATAACACCATCTCACTCAAACCCCCACCCATTCGATAACCTCATCTGCCATTCAAATTATCTCACGAAACAAAACTGTTTTTTCGGGCAGGGACCAGAATGAAACCTGTTTGCCGGCAATCACTCATACCCTGTTGTGATCGATGCGGCCTTTTTTAACTTCGGATTCACATCATTAAAAAACCTACCTGTATCAAAAGATAATCCAGAGCTCCAATCATTCGATAGGCCTCATTCATCTCAATGCCACATTCACTCAATAACATCCGTTTATTCACCAACACCTTAACTATTTACAACGTGAGCACGAGCTTGCCGTCCACAAGCTCGAGGCGCATTTTCTCCAAGAGCGCCTTCTTGTCTGTCTTCATGTCTTTCGAGATGCTCTTGAGAACCTTGCCCAACAGCCCGCCGCCATACTTCGACAAGTCCACACCAGCGCTCGTTTCGGACGCCTTCGCTTTTGCGTCCTTTGTTTTCTTGGCCTTCGACTCCTTGGTCTTTACTTTCTTGTCCTTCGACTCCTCGGCCGTCGTGTCCTTGGCCTTCTTCAGTTTCTTACTGTCGGTCTCCTCGGCGACATTCTTCTCGTCCTCCTTCTTGGCCGCCGGCTTACCGGATTTGGCTTGTGCGCTGTTGGTCTTTCCAGCTGCTTTGGAAGGCTTGCCCTTATACAAGGCCTTCTCGTACTTTTCCGCCTCGGAGATACACTGCGTGTGGCTTTTGTGATCATTACCATGGAACGTGGTCGAGCAGTCGATACATGTGAAATACGCGTCGTAGCACCGCTGACGGTGCTGGTCCAACTTCTTTTTGATCACAGTGTCGTTGCACACTTCACACGAGAATGAAACCATGTTTGTATTTATTGGGGCAATAGACCAGGAATCAGGAACATACTGAAAAATGGCGTGGGGATTTTTCGCGATGTGCCTGCGATGGTGCAGACCGGACCAGCAGGTGTGGCGGCCCGAGAACGCAGTGCCCTAAATGAAAGGCATGAGAACGAAAAAAATCAACCAGGAATTTGGCGCAAAAATGGTGTGGATAATGATTGGTCATTAATTCCCCATGAGAAAGACACGTTACGTTTTTATTGTCTTCACCACACAGGCTCGTCCTCCTTCTTCCTGGCCACTCTCACAATCTCGTAGTCTTCCGAGACTTCCTGCGAATGGTCCTGTAGTAATCCCTGGAGACGGTAGAAATCGTCTTTCTTGTTGAACTTGCGTTTATTTTCAATCATTCCAAGCATTTCTTCCTCGTTCACCTGTTGGTATTTATTATCCCATCTTTCCCACTTGAGAGCGGTGAACTTTTGGAGGTAGAAAGACCCGGCCACAATGCTAAGCATGAATGGAAGTCCGAAATACAAAAAGTGGTTTTTGCGCAAAAGCTTGTAATACTTCCCTGCCATGGTCCGGTCGTATGCTTCTTGCTCCTTCTTGCCCCTGAAGGGCGATGTTCCGAGGTAAACCATGCTGTTGAATATATAGAGAGTAATGGAAACGGTTTCAACGGACCACCGTCATGCACACGTGCATCCGTACACCAGGGTCAGCACTGGCACATCAGTTCCGCGGGCAGCCGGGAACTTGCACCCGTTGGCCCAGTATGGCCACGTTCGATATATATGGTTATGGTCGAGTGCAATGGTACGAAGTGCTAAAAAATAGATTTGCAGTCACAATGCCATGAGCTACACATGGGCTCTTATCAGGCTTTGGAGCTCTCTATAAAGCGAGCCCTAAATCCGCACGCCCTGGACGTGGAAGGCGAGACTCGCATGTTAGAAGTTGCCAACAGTGATAGTGATTCTCACTGTGCCATCTTGGGCTTGGCTCTGAGATTCGGTATATTTGGCTACTGCCAAAATAGGCGCCTTCCATGCTCCGCTCTCTCTGGCACCCAGTTCAAGAGCGGGTTTTAGTGCCTTTATTATAACGACAAAAGAGCATATGAAATTTGATTGGCTATTGTATGTAAAAAAACAACCACATGAGCCGGAACGGGCTTTTTGTGAGGCGCGAGTTTCTAAACGTGCTGGCACGCTGTGTCTGGACGCGACTCAGGAAAGATGAGACCTCGCTATTGGCTCCTATAATTTTCCCAAACAGTTTAGTGGTCACATCAAGCCGCCCATTTGAGCAGCAATTTGTTACCCGGTGGCATTCTCGTCAGTAGAAAGTGATATCACAAGAAACTACCTCCGGATAAACCAAAGAAGCCTGTTGCAGTGACTTCAGCTGTGTGGAAACACGTATTAATGTTTCGACATTTAACCTGAGGAATGATCATGGAGAAAAATTACTACACTTTTCTAGAAAAACAAAAAGTAGCCTCAATTTTATCAAAACAAAGACAGAAAAAAAAAAACTCTTATCTGATCTGTTCGATGTGGAAAGAAAATCACCGTACAGAAGATGTGAATCCGGGTCAGAACCTACTCAACAACGGAATAGGAGCTGCACAGGATTATTGAAAAGTGTATAAAAAGTATGTAGAAGAATAGAAAGTGTATAGAACAATGAAAAGTGCAAAAATTGTATAGAATCATTGAGACTGTGTAAAAAATAAGGAATCATTGGGCCTGTGTAAAACGGTGAGTGACCTTTGAACTGAGGACCCATCGAGAGATCCCAGTGCCCGGACAAACCATCGTACAATTGTTCTCCGAAATTCCACATTAATTTCCAATGAAAAATTAAAAGTCTTACAAAAATAGCCTAAGCCTGTTGAAAAAAGACCAATTGCCTAGCAGTAATCATCGGAAGTATTCAACAATACAACACCCAGAAACTCAGACAGCCATGTACACTCTTCGGCTCACTGCCAAATATGTACGGTGTCACAATAAATATATACTTAAGCCAACAACCAAAAAGGCAGGCGTAGGCCGCCGCGCGCCCATGTCACGTGGCCACCTGACATGTCCCAGCCAAGCTCACATAATCAGTTCCATCGCCACAACTCCTCTTCTCCTTCCTCTCATTTTTCTTATCACAAAGTCACCATCTTTACACCAACACAGTTTCCTAAACATTTTATCGTAGCTCTTCAGAAAAATCTAGAGGCCCGCATCGCTGTTCCCCTAATTCATTCGGTCCTGGAGGGGGTCGCCTTTGCATCCAATGCTCACAACCACGCTCCTGCACACACGGCCGTTTTTCCCGGTCCGTTTTCTGCTCACGTGCTCTTTTTTTCTTCAACAACTCCCTACCCTCCAGGCCTTCTCGAATAACCCCACGGAAAGAAAAATCAAACCGCCTTTTTCTGGACCTGCCTTCCTCACGTACCAGGCTTTTTCTTCCCGCACTCTGCAAAGAGATATCCAGCCTCTGCCAAAAGCCCAGGCCCTGCCACAAATCCGTGCCTGTTAACCGCCCGGGCCGTGCCAGCACTTTGTTGTTATTTGAATTGCTGTTTGTTTTCTTCAACCAGCGTGACAAATACCACAATCCCAAACGAACGGCTGCAAGTCCAACCTCATACAGCTCCGCATCTTGAAAGACAAATTCCAGCTCACCTCGGTGGCTTTGTGTTTTTTTGTTGTCTTTTGCTGATTCTTGTCCCTCGCCCGCGTACATTACCCGCCGAGTCCCAGACCGCCAGAAAAGCCCGAAATGTCCGTTTACGCCACCTCTGCGCAGGCACAACCCAACGCTACTCTGCAGCAACAGCAGCAGAGACACCAACAGCGGTTGAACGAGTTGTTGGATGCCGTCAAGCAGGAGTTTGACTACGCGTTCAACGAGGCGTCCAACTACTCCAAAGTCAAGGAGGACTACGACTTGAAATGCAGCCAGCAAACCGCAGAAATGCAGCAAATCAGGCAAACCGTCTACGAGTTGGAGATGGCCCACCGCAAAATCAAAGAGGCCTACGAAGAGGAGATCTTGCGCTTGAAAACAGAGTTGGAGAACAGGGACAGACAGGCGCACCAGAACAAGAACAACGGCGCGCCTCACGCAGCGTACTCGCAGTACCCGCAGCCAATGCCACACCCGTCCCAGGACCATGGCGTGGTTCCGCCATCTCAGGCCCAAGTCTCGCAACAACAGCAACACCAGGCGGCAGCGGCGCAGCACCAGGCTGCCCAACAGCACCAGGCTGCTCAACAACAAGCGGCGCAGCACCAGGCGGCAGCGGCGCATCATGCCCAGCAACAGCATGTCCAAAACGCACATGCCCAGCAGCAACAACACCAGCAACAGCCGCTGATGGCCAAGCCACACCAGCTCAAAGCGGAGCTGAAAGTCTCCCCTGTAGCGACGAAGATTGAGCCAGTCCCACCACAGACGGCCGAACAGCCAAACGTGCAGCCAGAGATGTCTGCGTTGTCCATCATTGACAAATCCCAGTACATTGTAAATCCGCTCGAGAAGAACTCCCACGTGAAGGAAATCCCCCCGTTCCTCTCCGACTTGGATTTTGTGAAGGCCAATCCGGACTTCAAGAAACAATCCCCCGAGTTTTACGTCTTGTACAACCCAGCACTCAAGCGCGAGTTGGATGTTGACTTGATGCAGTCCTTGGACCACCTGTCGGTGGTGTGTTGCGTCAAGTTCTCCAAGAATGGCGAGTTCATTGCCACGGGCTGCAACAAAACAACGCAGGTATTCGATGTCAAAACGGGTGCTCTTGTGGCGAAATTGATCGATGACAACAACTCGGGTGCCGCGGGCGAATTGGAAGGTGACGGCGAGAACGCAGCTGAAAACGGAGGCTCGGGAGCTAATGGTTCAGCTAACTCTGCTGCAAACGCCAACGGCGACTTGTACATCCGATCCGTGTGCTTCTCGCCCGATGGAAAATTGTTGGCTACCGGCGCAGAAGACAAGTTGATCAGGATTTGGGACTTACAAACCAAGAGAATCATCAAAATCTTACGTGGCCACGAGCAAGACATCTATTCCTTAGACTTCTTCCCCGATGGCGATCGGTTGGTGTCCGGATCTGGCGACCGCACCGTCAGGATTTGGGACTTGAGGTCTTCTCAGTGTTCATTGACCTTGTCTATCGAAGATGGTGTCACCACCGTATCTGTTTCTCCAAACGGTAAATTGATTGCTGCTGGATCTTTGGATAAGACTGTTAGAGTGTGGGACTCCTCGACCGGGTTCCTAGTCGAGAGATTGGACTCTGGCAACGAGTCCGGAAACGGTCACCAAGATTCCGTGTATTCTGTCGCTTTCTCCACCAATGGCCAGCAGTTGGCCTCGGGGTCTTTGGACAGAACTGTCAAGTTGTGGAACTTGGAGGGAAAAGTTGACAACCTGATCGGTGGCGGAAGTAACGGCCAGGCCCTGGGCAAGAAGTCGGTTTGCGACGTGACCTACGTGGGTCACAAGGATTTCGTCTTGAGCGTTTGCTCGACTCCCGACAGCGAGTATATTTTGTCCGGCTCAAAAGACCGTGGTGTGATCTTTTGGGACCAAAACTCTGGCAACCCGTTGTTGATGTTGCAAGGCCACCGAAACTCTGTCATTTCTGTCGCCGTCTCTTTGAACTCACTGGGCACTGAGGGTGTCTTTGCTACTGGTAGTGGTGACTGCAAGGCCAGATTGTGGAGATGGAGAAGAAACTAATATGTATAAAAGGGGCTTTCGCCATTATGTAGATGTACAATTACTAGATTGAAAATACTGTAAAGTTGAAAGCTGAAGCAGACGCGTGCCAGGCGAAGTAACCGGGGAGTGTTCTCCTACCATATAGGAGTGTGGCTGGCTAGATTTCCGACGGTGAAGAGTGCATCCTTTAGGGATTGCATACGTCCAAAACGAACAGGATCAAAGACTATGACTTCCTTCCAATAATCGAAGGTATCTAGCGACTTACACAATGGGCTCCACACTGGCCCGCAGCTTTCATCTGAGGTATCCTGAACTTTTCGCTTTATTCAATATCTATGGAATGTTTTCTCAGAAGGAGGCTTCTTTGGAATCATAGCCTAGATATGCGAGTCTTTGCTGAATTGCACTGTTCTGGAAACGCGCATGTTTCTGGTGATCCGGAAGATTTTGAGAACGATTTTTGACATGCAGACAACACGTATTCGAGCCGAAAAAAAAAAAGAAAGAAAGGAAGAGATGCAATTTTCGAAATCATGCAATCCGCAAACAGCTCAACCGGAAAGCAGGGGTTTTCAGGAGCGTGGGCCATCGTCTGATGGGTTAAATTTCTGCCCTTCGCTAGACATTTCTTTCGCAGCCGGGGCCACGCGCGATCATTGCCCATCTAGGCGTGGGCTCGTATAACGCGCTTCCACAGGCTTTTCAACATCCACTACCATCACCAATGTCCGTCTTCACTGCGTCCACCACGGCGCCCGTCAATATTGCTGTATGTTCATATTCTAGCACATCGTTAGTAAATGGGGTTCGACCAAGAAAATCCTTCGAGTTCATGAAACGTCGAGTACATGTGCGCCAACATGATGGGGCAGAGACCACAAAATCTCGAATGTACTAACACACCAGACCCTCAAGTACTGGGGCAAGAGAGACAAAACACTCAATCTCCCAACAAACTCTTCGATTTCCGTGACCTTGGCCCAGGAAGACTTGAGAACACTCACGTCTGTCGCCACTAGCTCGAGCTTCACCAAGGACAACTTGTGGCTCAATGGGAAGGAGGAAGGAATCAAGGGCGACAGAACAGTAGCCTGCTTGAAAGACTTGCGCAAGTTGAGAAAGAAGATGGAAGCCGCGGACGGCTCGTTGCCCAAGTTCTCCGAGTGGGGCTTGCACATTGTTTCGGAAAACAACTTTCCAACGGCAGCGGGCTTGGCCTCGTCGGCCGCAGGATTCGCTGCTTTAGTCGTGGCCATTGCCAAGTTGTATGAGCTTCCGCAACTGATGTCGGAAATCTCCAAGATCGCCAGGAAGGGGTCCGGCTCCGCATGCCGCTCCTTGTTTGGAGGATACGTGGCGTGGGAAATGGGCGAATCTGCCGATGGCGAGGACTCGAAGGCCGTTGAAGTTGCGCCCTTGGAGCACTGGCCCTCGATGAAAGCGGCCATTTTGGTTGTTTCGGATGACAAGAAGGACACGCCCTCGACCACCGGCATGCAAACCACCGTGGCCACCTCCGACTTGTTCCAGTGGAGAATAAAGGAGGTCGTGCCCAAACGATTCAAACAGATGAAGCAGTCGATCATCGAGCGTGACTTCCAGACCTTTGGCGACTTGACCATGAAAGACTCCAACTCGTTCCATGCGGTGTGCTTGGACTCGAGTCCGCCAATCTTCTATTTGAACGACACCTCGAAGAAGATCATCAAGTTGGTGCACTTGTTGAATGAGCAGGAGGGTAAGATCATCGCAGCCTACACTTTCGACGCTGGTCCAAATGCTGTCATCTACTATGAGCAGCAGAACGAGAAGAAAGTATTGGGTTTGATCCACAAGTATTTCCACCAGGTCTCGGGCTGGGAGAAGGTCGCGGCCGATGTCGCCAGTTTTGAGGACTCGTCCATCCAGTTTGACACGGAAGCGTACAAGGGTGTGAGCAAAATCATCTTGACCAAAATTGGCCTGGGCCCACAGGAGACCTCCCAGTCGTTGGTCAACGAACAAGGTTTGCCAAAATAGGGTACATTAGTGAATAGACCCATGTAGCCCGAAACGGAAGTTCGCGCACCTGTTTCGGTGATGCGAATAACTTGGCTCGCGTGAACCCAGACTTCTCCATGACAACAGATGATCGGGCTTCGTGTCATCAGCCATAGGCCTGCTAGGTTACAATGCTCCAAATTTCTGCCCCTCCTATGCTTGCGCAGGCTGATCACGCCTAGGGCGTCGTTCAGCACATCTGCGTGCCGCTTTGAACAGATCAAAAAGCCAAGCCTTAAGAAAAGAACAGACTCATCAGTAGAATTCAAACGCTCGCATGGGCCCACCAAACCGGCCCCCAATCCAAAGCTTGACATATCGGCAGAAATATACACTATTCCAAATATGCTCACGATCTCGAGAATCGCGACGACGCCTTTCATCGGATACTTCTTGGCCACGGGCCAGTCCTTCCCTGCGATAGCTATCTTCACCTACTCATGTGTGACAGACTTTGCAGACGGGTTCATTGCGAGAAAGTATAACATGAAATCGGTTTTGGGCTCCGTTCTAGATCCTGCGGCAGACAAGTTCTTGATGACCACTTGCACCGTGGCGTTGGCCATTCCCGGCGTGATGCCTTTGTATGCCGCGACTGCCATTGTCGGCCGAGACGTCATTCTAAGTTTTGTGAGCTTCTACATTCGATACCGGTCTTTGCCCCCACCGGTCACTTTGAGGCGGTTCCTAGATTTGTCAATAAGCACGCACACGGTGCATCCCAATTTCCTCGGAAAAGCGAACACGGCTCTTCAAATGCTTTATATTGGGGGATTGGTGCTCAAGCCCGCCATTGAGTCTTTGTGCCTCCTTGATTTGTCTGGATCGTTTGACTGGTTTGGGATGGCGGTGGCGGCTTCCACTGTGTGCAGTGGTTTGAGCTACGTCGTGGGCAAGAACTCATTCAAATCAATTGGGAAGTCAGGCGCTCATTAAGGATATCTCACCATGAAAGCGAGTCAACATATTCGAGGAGATCTGGCTCGTCGTATACGAGCAAACACGCCTTGACGAGGCTCCTGGTATGCGAGTTCAGACCCTTGTCGTACTTGTTGCAATATATGTGGAGGATCTCGACGTGAAACTTGATCACTTCCCCAACAAACACAAGCTTCACCTTATCCGTGATGTGTTTTGTGATTGGCCGTCTGGGCTGGCTTATACCGTATAGAGACAAAAACAAAGAATAGTACTGATTGTCACATCCATCGGGAAACAGGTACAAGAAAACCAACTGGGCCAATGTCGCCACTAAGTGCAGGGTGAGCTTCCTGTCCCCGTCTTCAATGCGCTCGAACAAGATAGTGGCCATCTCCACTAGGACTTCTTTCGTTTGCTCGCCATGGCGCGATAACGTGTATGTCGCCGAAAAGGCAAGAAGGAGACTTTCTTCCAAATAACAGAGGAGGTAGCTGCTCTTGTGAATAGTGACTGTCCAGTCTGCCGCGTCGATAGCCCGCTTCAATGTGAGCAAAGAGTGCACCGTTTTGGCTGTGGGGTTCAATTTACACACGGCTTTCACACGCAACAAAATGGGGGCTATGTCTACGAGGGCCTTCCGGGTGTGGCGGATTGTGATGGGCTCAAAGCGGTCTCTCCGTCGTGGCCTCAACTGCTGCACGAGGGACTCGCCTATGATATCCACGGCTTCTATACGGTGTCAGTAATTTTTAGGCCACTCATAGTGGGTACACAGATGTATTTTTTTTAATCAAGAAGCCAAGCATTGGGGGCATGAAGCGAATCTGGGGGGAGTTCACGTACCGTCACAGGAGATCTTCTTTCTGATGGCCACACGCGCCACGGTAAGCGCTAAAATCAAGTCCTGGGATGACATGTTGCGGTGCAGGGAGTTCTGTGTTTTGGTGATGATTTCGAGGGCTGAAGCGGCACTGCAAGTGGGGTCAGGACAGGGCGGCTCTAGAATGAAACAATCTTGTTGGAACCAGTAGCTGCAAATTATTGGGGAGGAAATAATGCGCGGTATGCCTGCGCGCCTGTTCCTCCAATTATTTGCTGGAGCCATTTCCGAGCCCTTGAGGGATGGAGAATTGTAGCGGATTTCATGGAAGCCAAGCACGGATCTGCAGCCTGCAAAAAGGTGGTCTATCAAGCGTGGCTCTTCGGGTGGGATTCATGTCTTCATGCTGAAAAGCCCGGCGAGACGGGACTCGTGCTTTTCTGGTGCCCCAGGGATTCTGTAATTTCTCAGGATATGCTTCTGAGGCGCATTGCTTAGCCATCCCTCTCGACCACTTTATGCTTTCCCGCTTTTCAAAGCTATTTTGAAGTGCACCCTGGTAAATTGCACCGTGCTTTGATATGAACTCTTCGAACTGTGATTTGACTTTCATGTTTCGAAAATTGTGCCGTGCTTTGACTTCCACTCTTCGGACTGTGCTTTGACTTCCACTTTTCGAAATTGCTTCGTGCTTTTCACTTTTCAAAATTACACCATGCTTTGAACCCCACTTTTCAAAATTACACCATGCTTTGAACCCCACTTTTCGAAATTTCACCATGCTTTGAACCCCACTTTTCAAAATTACACCGTGCTTTGACTTCCACTTTTCAAAATTCACCATGCTTTGAACCCCACTTTTCAAAATTTTACCATGCTTCGGATTCTATTATTCGAAATTGCACCGTGCTTTGATTTTGACTTTCCGAAATTGCACCGTGCTTTGACTTCCACTCTTCGAAATCCCCCTGTGCCCGACTTCACTCTGCTGAGTCTCCCCCCGCTCCGTCTTCACGGCTCTCCCCGAAAATGCATGGATGGTGCCCTCCCCGGCTTGCATCCCACGCACACAAGCCCCACTAACTTCCAGGCTGCCGGTCCCGGTGGCGCCTCCGCACCCAGAGCCGCCGGCGCACAAAATCAGACACGTGGTACCGCCCGTGCCACGAGGATGTGGGCCGCCAGAAAGTCAGGTACAGCCACCCCGACTCGTCCACGTCGTATAGCATCAACACATACCACAGCGCCCACGACCAGTGCCAGTCGACTCCCGGAAGAGGGTAGTTCGCCATGGCCTCGTGGGCCAAGGTCACCTTCACGCCGTCCAAGCGCTGGTACATGGGCGGGTCCATGAGCGGAAGAAGCGACTTGCCACTGAAAAGCGGGATGCCCAAGAGCTTGACGCCACGCTGGTTTTCTACAATGACGTCGAACGCGTGCTCGAAATTCGCGGCGGAGCCCGCGGGGCCGGCCGGCGCATAGTCCTCCTTGAGCAGCTGCTCGAAACCACGGGTCTTGAAGTTGTTTTTGTTCAAGAGCTCTACCAACTGGTCGAGATTAGACATGGTGCTTTGCACCCAGTGCTTGGGGACTGTGCAGGCAGAAGACCCGACCGGGAGAAAAAAGAGCGAGATTCTATCGCCCGGCTGAAGAAAAAAAGCGCGAGATTCTATCGCCCGGCTGAAGAAAAAAGAGCGAGGTTCTATCGCCCGGCTGAAGAAAAAAGAGCGAGGTTCTATCGCCCGGCTGAAGAAAAAAGAGCGAGATTCTATCGCCAGGCCGGCTGGGGCAGGAGAGCGGCGCGGGCCCAGGAAATCAGGCGATTTCCGTCGGGGCGGGCCGGGGTGCAGGACGCGGCGTTGGGAACAGGGTATAGTTGCCGTTCCTGGCCCTCGGGCTGCAAAGGGTCCAGAGATCACGCGGCAATCCACAGGCAGAAAGGAGGCCGCTTGGCTGGCGCTGGGGTGTGTTGGCGCCTGTTTGGGCAGCTGATACGGGGCGCCTGTTGCAGCGGGCCCTGGCCCTGGAGTGCGATATGGCCCTGGCCCTGGCCCTGGCCCTGGAGTGCGATATGGCCCTGGCCCTGGCCCTGGCCCTGGAGTGCGCACGTGCGCCGCCGCTAATAAACGGGCCCTGGGCCAGGGTTCGGCGATCGCCGGCAACCGACAGCTTGCGCCTCGTAAACGGCGGGCGGTGCCAGATGCATTCCGGCGGTGGGTATTTTTTGGAGCTTTTCTGTCGAAAGGCGCGGGTGGCTGAGGCCGGCTTTGGGGCCATGGGCCATGGCAGCGGAGGTCGGCTGCGCGGCCCGGAGACGAGAAATGACCTCGAGAGGCCAGGAAAGAAACCTGAAATGACTAGAAACGACTAGAAATGTCCTGGAAGCGGCAAGAAAAAGCGGGCCACAAATACGGCGAGCGAAGTGGCAACGACACCAAAACAGCCGGCCGCGAAATTAGATGCCCGCCGACCATTGGACCGTGGGCCTTGTTGGCCGGGCCGCGCGCGCTAAATGGTGATCCGGAGAATGGGGCGCGCTTGCGTTTGGCCCGCGTGGACCTGCGATCCCAGGCACCCCGACGGGCCCGCTCACAACCAAGCCAGCAAGGCGCCGACTGAACCCAAATCAAAACCAAACTGGAGCCCGAATTGAAAGTCGGATCAAAACCCACTTGAAAACCCAGATAGAAACTTACTTGAAAACCCAGATAGAAACTTCCTTTGAAACCCAGATGGAAACCCCGATCAAAAGCTAAACTGAAAAAAATAAAGTTGAGGCCCCGACTGAACCCTACTCAAAAGCCAAACCAAGAATAGTGAGACCCAAACTGAAGCCCCGGCTGAACCCTAATCAAAAGCCAAACGGAAAAAAGGAAAACACAAATTGAAGCCCCGAGCCAAACGGAAAAAAAATGAATCCCAAACCGAAGCCCTAATCAAATACCAAACTGACAAAAAAAGTGAATCCCAAACTAAAACCCCAAACTTCCTCCCGGCGCCACGCCACCAGTTATCCCCTTCCCCCAGACCATTACTTTAGGGCCGCCGCGCAATGGCCCCAGGCCCCGCGGTATCGTTCTGCACGCGCCACGGCCACGCAGCCCTGCCCCGTTCGCAATCTTCTGTGCCTGGCGGCCGCGCAACTTGCTCCATGCCCGAAAACCAAAAAGTTTCCAACCTCCGCTGCTTTTACACAAACCCCCGCCATAAAACCGGCAGGGCCCCGCCAACTCTCCCAAGCGCACCCCAAATCACCCGAGCTCACCTTGCCGATACAGCCCGCTGCTTTTTGGACCACGTGCCAACACCCCGTTGTTTTTTTGCACCACCCGCCAACACCCCGCTGTTTTTTGGACCTCGCGCCCTCCCCTCTGCCGCCCGCACCCTTTCCCTGCCCCCGGCCCAGTTTTTTGCCGCCAGCGCCCAGCGCCAGGCCCTGAGAAAAAAAAAAAAAAGAACCAAGCTCGCCGCGCCACATGCACTCCCTCCACGCTCCCGTCGCAACACTGTCGTTACCTTCCTCCCTGGCCCTGGCCCTGTACTCCCACCAGGCACACATGGGCATCCCCACTGCATCCGCCACCGACCACTTGCTCGCCGACATGAAGCAGCCCACCCAGCCGGGCCCGCCGCCGCCCCTGCAGGACGCCGTTCCGCCCGGCGCCTCCGCGGCCCTCAGGCACCAGGGACCCTTCCTCGGGCTCCCGTCCCACTACGCCTTTGACCCGAACCTGTACCCGCTCACCAACCCGCCGCTCTACGACCCCACCATGTTGCCGCTCGGCCCACAGGGCGGCCCGCGCCGCCGGCGCATCTCCATCTCCAACGGCCAGATCGGCCAGATCGTCAACCACGAGGCCTTCTACCTCGACGACGACTCTTTGGACGAGTACTACGACAGCGCGGGCGGCCGGCCGCCGGCACACGCTCACGCACACGCGCCGCTCCCGCACGACGACGACGCGCCGCTCGCGCCCCGCCCGGCCTCGCACGACCACGCCGTGGGCGGCCCCCTACCGCTCCTCCAGCCGGCAATGCTGGTCCTGGGCCCCGGCAGCCATGCGGCGCCCGCGCCGTCGTCCGTGGCCGGTGTGCCGCCGCCCAACCAGACGCTCGTGTACAACAACGAGGTGATTTTCAACCCGCACGACGGGCCCATCCCCGGCACCGCGGCGTGGAAGAAGGAGCGGCTTCTCGAGCGCAACCGCTTGGCGGCCTCCAAGTGCCGCCAGCGCAAGAAAAACGCGCAGCAGCAGTTGCAGAGCAACATGGCCAAGTTCGAGAGAGAGTTGCAGGACAAGACTGAGCGCTTGGGCCGCGCAGAAAAGCTTTTGGCCACGTACAACGCGGCGTTGCAGCAGCACTTCGCCGGCGACCCCTCGGCGCTCGACGGCTTGCGGCCCTATGTGGCGCAGCCGCCTGACAACATCAAGTTCGAGAGGTAGAGCGCCCGCCGGCGGGGACACTCCTGCCGAAACCGCACCTCCCGAAACTGCATCGTCGCTCTTGGGCCGGCGCCATTTTCGGGCGCCACCTTTGCACGACGACTAGCACACCCTTCTAAGAGACAGTCTGGCCCGTCCCACGGGCCCAGCCTGCGTTTGAGCGGGCTCGGGGTGAAAGCCGTGTCTCAGCTGCCATTCAAGAGTCTCCGCAAGCTTCTCAAAGGCCTTCAAAATGGGAACAAGCAAAGGCTCGCAGCAAAGAACCGGTACTTTCCTGGCCACGGCTTTTTTGGCATCAAAGCAACCCTGCTCGAGACAGGCTCACGGCTATCCCACGAGGTGTTAGCCTCTTCTGTCGCCCACTCTACGTGACCCACGGTTGTCAAGGCTGCTTTCAAACAGAGGTTGTTCCGTTCCTGGTCTCCCCAGCACCTCGGCATTAATGCAAAAGTAAGTTTTCTCCGTAATTCTGATGGACTTTGATTTAAATAGTTGAGCACCCACAAGTGCACAAACTTTAGAAGTGGCCGTGCGGAATCTTAACTAGGGCGTTGAACTACGGTGCCTTCCGGCTACACCGCCTCCCGGCTTCTACCTTATGGCCGTAAATGAACTTGGACCTCGGATGGATGCCACTGGCTGTGAACTTGGCATCTGGACAAAAATCTTTACATCGGAATTTAACATGGCTCGGACAACAAGGGAAGCACTCTCCAATGTTTAAGCGTATACCCTCTTGTTGAAGTGTCGTGGAGACCACAGTCTTCTTTTAAAAGCATGCCTTGCTTTGGGTGTGATCGAGAAATCGGACCAGTCAAAGGCCGCTTGCTGTTTAAGTTGAACCTCCTGGGTTGTGTATGCTATTGAATGCAACTCCCCAAGTAGCACAGATTTTGTTTTGGCTGGCTATATACATGCCTGGCTTGAAATACAAACAAAAGATCTGCTCGCAGTTTGGAATCTCCTTGTTGGACATGATACAACTTTCGGTAATACATTGGACATGCAAATGATGTTCAGCCATCTCAGAATGGAGACAGTTGTGAAGTCTGTTTCTAACGCAGCCATCCACTTCAGTTCAAGAAGAAGTAATCGCTTATTTGGCAGTTAATTTCAAATCACACGGACATGATCACGTACAGTCACAAAATTTCGGTCACCATCGTGATTGACATAGCTAGTGTGGCCAGAGTAACCGTCTTTTTGGTAAATATTATATTTGATCATGGTCTAGGATTTGGGGCTAACTTGGATTTTGAAGTCGACTGCCGTTAAGCAGCAGCGATATTTGTGTGGTGCAATTTCGTTTTGTTACAACTAAAGCTGTTAGCTAGTATTTGCCCCCGCATGGAATCAAAATCCCTCTGTAAGATCTTCTTCTTCCATCTCGTGCGCCTCTATTCTTTTTTTGACATACAACTTTGAGGGTGTTTTCTATATCTTCAAGTGGAACATACAAATTTGGGACTTTTTGGAAAGTCTCCTGAATCGTCTGCGTGAAGATAGTGCGTCGAAGAACAAGTAATCCGTCTCTTGCTCTGAGATCATGGGAGGGAACTGAATCTGTCCTTCAGAGATGGACTTACCTAATTAATGAAAAGACGTTAAAATAAGAGGTTAAAAGAATTTTAAACTTGCCTCATTCTAGTGTTCTATGCGTGCAAGTATCACTTCTACCCCGAAGTTCATAAATTATGAGTCAGAAGAGATTTTAGTTGAGCTCCATGGACTCTCACGATAGCATACTGTTCTTTAATAGGGATCAGAAGTGACCACATCCTGAAGCACAGAAATGCAGTTTGATTGCGGACGTTTTGCCCTTGTGAAAACTATTTCAGAAGTGATTAACATTTAGAGCGTGTTTACGTTCTGCGAATCGACCGTTCCGACTTCTGTTTCTGAAACAATATGGTGAAATGTAGAATATGTGATTTCATAGCAGTACTAATCGACTACTTTATAACTAAGGCAAATTAAATAAATTCATTCTCAAGTCGGTAACATCTACTCTTACTTAGGAGACGCGAAAGGTAAATCCATTATTTGACCCAATACTTCATGCTTTTCACACCACATTTGCAAAACCTCAGAAAGACAGATAGTCTGTTAAAAAGGTGTGGACAAACACGATACAGAAGGCAGCTCAGACAATCAATTGTGGGACATAAGGGACTGTTTTTTTTCAAACCAACTTCTGTAACTTTTCAAAACAATGAGCTATCATAGACCATTAATTTGTCACAAGAAAAGGGCAAATAAAACCAAACCAAATTTATTCTCGTGATTACGTTCCAGCTTCTGGGCGATTTTGAAGTTTGAGTTTTAGAACAGATATATGCAAACATCTATCCCAAGGCTAGGGTTTATAATCAACTATTATAGCCCTCAAACTTTCAACGGACAAACCTAAAATCGACTTACATGTGGTATGATCGCGTGGGTAACAGTTTAAGATGTCGAACCTCATCATTTTATTATCATATATATATTGTGATACTCAACTCCAAAGGGAATTGAGAGCCAACACTACCACACATAACGCTAGTCTAAGCAATCCAAATTGTCATTTTCAGCAAAGGTTTGTCTTTGGTTCTGTTTTGTTTTGTCAAAAACATCGATTAATTCATGTTCTTTGTCTGTGGGTGCAAACCCTGGTGAAGAACCTTCAAGTTTTGTACCTGAGTCAAATAGTGGACAAACTTAAAGAAGCAGATTCTTGATTTTCAGATGAAACAAAATTATGAGGAGTTTGTTTCGATGACGGATCTTCCCGGCATTTGCAGAGGATTTACAATGCTGGCAATTGGTGTTCGTTATTGCTTACATATTCTGAACATCACGAGTTTATTTTGAAATTTTTCACTGTTATACTCTCAGCACTGATAACAAGTTGAATATCAAAAATACCTGATCATGAAAGAATACTAATATATTCTAACGGCAGATTCAAGGAAAGGATAATTTATTTTATATAAAAATAATGTTGTATGATATGAAGAGGTATAATGAAATGAAGCCATAAAATGAAAGATAAAGAAAGAATGGATTTGCATTGTTGTTTCATCTTTCAAAATTTGAAATCAGAATCTATCAAAACAACATGGCTATTCAGTTGTTAAGGTTCCTAACCAAACTATAAGTCAAAAATTACATACTGTTATAAACAATTATCACAAGAAATCAATTCAACACTTATATCAAAAAATACAACTAAGCATGATTCAATTTGTGAATACGTATACTAGTATTTTCAATTTCCTAAATGCAACAAACTGTGAAAGAATGTAATGTTTGTTTTTTAGCTCACATTAACTAATGACAAGATCTGTATTAATTCAGATCAATGCCTTGTAGATTTTGTTCTGGTATCAAGAATTACGAAATGTATAAAAAACAAACTTTTCTTTTTTGACAAAACAAAAAACAGTTATAAATCAAAAAACTGGAGATTTCTCTAAATTAGAGAGTTGAAAAGTCAGATTTTTTATGAAAATGTCAACTAAATTTTTTAAATTGGTGAGCCCAAACGACATCTCAGAAACCATCAACCCTTAAAAATGGATTGCAAGTGAATTTCAGGCATAATACAAATGAGTTTTGAGACTAATATATTACAGACTGGATATTTCAAGGGTCAACTGATTCCTTGCGAATTCTCGAAGACAATTGCGTGTAATTCACGACCGAATGCTAGTTTGTTTCGAGACTGGTTGAATTGTTGAGAGAACTTTGGAATTGAAAGACCCATGTTCATGCCTTAAATAGTCTTTAAAGTCTCTCAAAAAAGCACAGAATTTTTTCAAGCGTATCAGAAACAGAAAAGGACTCATTCGTGTCTGCCGTCAATTAATTAAAATCGATTTATAAATGGTAAATTGGACTTTGTTGTGCATTTCCATAGCTTGAAAACCTTCATTGGCTGAGCACCTGTCCACATTTCTTTACCTAATGTTGAATTTATATTCTTTGTTGGAAAGATTAACTTCACCAATGTATCAACCCAGAACTAACCATAAAATTATACAGTTATACCATTCTTACATCACGCACACGGTATATATGCCACAAGCCATGAAAGTACAATTTAACGCTAGAAGGGTACTTAGTGAAGCTTCATGCCTGAAAATAAAAATGTTCAACTCAAATGTTTGCGGGTAGAAAAGTTCAGTGTAAACATATCTGTTCATTTCCCCACACTTACGGTATATTTTGATTATAAATGTCAGTGAGAAATGTTTGCTTTTCTTTGAAGTAAATTTTCAGGCTTTTCAAAAATGATTATACATTTCGTTTACCCGAAATTCCATGACGAATAAAGACAATGTTTGCTTTTCTTTGGAGTAAATTTTCAGGCTTTTCAAAAATGATTATACATTTCGTTTACCCGAAATTCCATGACGAATAAAGACAATGTTTGATTATATTAGTGCCACCAGCGAACATCGAAATTTTCCGTTTCTTTGTGTTTTCTGTTCACAAGACCTAACATCATAATTCTGTTTATATTAGAGTCCAATCTTTATCTCGCATTATAATGTCCACTCAGTGCTTTTGTAGCTCACAGATAATGCACACTTAAGGGTAGATTACTAACCTGTTCCTGGAATGAAAACCGCTGGATCCAAAGATCCATGACACCTCAAACTCAAAATGGCGCCAATTATAGGAATGACAAAATTCCCAACACTGGTCAGAGGTGTTTTTCAAGACTAAATACTAGTGGAGTTTAAGATGGGATACAAGTGGAGTTCAAGATCAACTACAGGTTTGGTTCAAAACTGAATAGTGGGTTTCAACCGACTACAAGGGCGCTTCAAAACTGAATAGTGGGTTTCAACCGACTACAAGGGCGCTTCAAGACGGAATACTAGTGGATTTCAAGACCGACTACAGGTATGCTTCAACACTAAGTACTACTGACCTAAGACCGTCTGCGAGGGCGCTTCAACACTCCAAGCATATCATCAGAACTAGCCACCAAAAGGCTCAATGCTGAATGATAAACACACCAAGGCGCAACAAAGCAGCTACATCCTCTCAATGACAGAAGCAAGACCTCTCCGAAGTCACCTCCAGTGCGCGCCTCATAACCAGGCTCCCTCGCTCCTATGTAAACCCCAAATCTCAAACACTTTATCCGAGGCAGTCCCAAAGCAACACACCAAAGAACCTCCACCCGAAGCAGCCCACCCAAAAAAAACCCCACCTAACAAAAAAAGGCAACCCGCCCAAGCACGCCGCCAAACCCCCGCCAGGCCACGGCATCGGGCACGTGCCCCCGCGTCACGTGCGCGCGAAAAACCCACCGAAAACCGCACGCGAAACTCGAGCGCTCCTGGCGCCTAACGCCCAGCTTGTCTTCTTGCACCCCCCATTTTCCACGCCCCACGCCCCGAAAATGTCGTTGAAAATGCCATCCGCGCCCAACACCGGGCTTTTCAAGCAAGGCTACTCGTCGTATTCCGCGGCCGACGGCGCCACGGTGCGCAACATCGAGGCCGTGCGCGAGGTCTCGTCCATAGTGCTCACGTCCATGGGCCCCAGCGGCAGAAACAAGATTTTGGTCAACAAGCACGACCGCACGTTTGTGACCAACGACGCGGCCACGATCGTGAACGAGTTGGACATCGTGCACCCCGCGGTCAAGATGTTGGTCATGGCGTCCAAGCAGCAGGAGTTCGAGATGGGCGACAACACCAACTTGGTGCTTATTTTGGCGGGCGAGTTGCTAGATATCAGCGAGCGCTTGCTCGTGGCCGGCTTGAGCGTGCCGGAGATCGTGCAGGGCTTCAACTTGGCCAACACGCACGTGCAGGCGACGATGCCCGACTTGGTGGTGGCGCGGGTCGAGAACGTGGTGGACGAGGCGGAGCTCACCAAGGCGATCCGCCCCGTGATCGCCGCCAAGCAGTACGGCGTGGACGCGGCCATCGCCGCGCTCGTGGTGGCCGCGGTGCGCTTGATCCTCGACCCGAAGCGGCCGCAGGCGTTCAACATCGACAACGTGCGCGTGGTCAAGATCATGGGCTCGTCCTTGCGCGGCCTGGAGGTGGTCAAGGGCATGGTGTTCCCGCGGGCGCCGGAGGGCCACGTGCAGCACGTGCGCGAGCGCTCCAAGGTGGTGGTGTTCACGTGCCCGATCGACATCTCCACCACCGAGACCAAGGGCACGGTGTTGCTCCACAACGCGCAGGAGATGTTGGACTTCTCCGCCGGCGAGGAGCAGCAGATGGACGCGGTGTGCGCGGAGATCCGCGCCGCGGGCGTGCGCGTGGTGGTGGCGGGCTCCAGCGTGGGCGACCTCGCGCTCCACTACTTCAACAAGCACGGCATCCTCGTGTTGAAGGTGCCGTCCAAGTTCGACGTGCGCCGCGTGTGCCAGGTGTGCGGCGCCACGCCGTTGCCGCGCTTGGGCGCGCCGTTGCCCGAGGAGATGGGCGCCGTGGACGTGATCGAGACGCGCGAGATCGGCGGCGACCGCGTGACCGTGTTCCGCCAGGACGCGGCGCTGGCCTCGCGCACGGCCACCATCGTGCTCCGCGGCGCCACGCAGACCAGCATGGACGACATCGAGCGCGCCATCGACGACGGCATCAACGCCATCAAGGGCTTGGTCAAGGACAACCGGCTCTTGCCGGGCGCCGGCGCGGTCGAGGCCGAGTTGGTCAAGCGCGTCACGCAGTACGGCGAGCGCACGCCCGGCTTGATGCAGCTCGCCATCAAGAACTACGCCAAGGCCTTCGAGGTCGTGCCGCGCGTGCTCGCGGACACCGCGGGCTTGGACGCCACCGCCGCGTTGAGCCAGTTGTACGCGGCGCACGCGCCCGCGGACGGCCTGGGCTTGCTGTGCGGCATTGACATTGACGGCGACGCGGAGAACTGCTTGGTCGACGTCGCGGCCGCGGGCATCTACGACCTCTTGGCCGCCAAGCTGTCTGCGATAGCGCTTGCCACGGAGGCCGCGTGCACCATCTTATCCATCGACCAGATCATCATGGCCAAGCGCGCCGGCGGGCCGCAGATGCCGCAGCAGCGCCGGCCGGGCAACTGGGACCAGGAGGACTAGGGTTAGAACGTACATACTTAATTCGGTTGTGGCCATTGGTCTCTGTATATATGCGGGCTGCTGCATGTTCGTGCTGGCTCTGCGTTCTCTCTTCCCGGCTCGTCCTCGGGCTCTACCTCCGGCTACATCTGCTTGGCGTTCGCCACAAACGCCTCGATCTTGGCCATGTTCTTCTGCCCGTCGCCGTCCTCCACGCCGCCACTGACATCGAACCCCACCACGTTTCTCAAAAACGGTCTCGTTTCCGCCACGTTGCTGGGGTCAAGTCCTCCCGCAAGGAGAAACCGTCCATCTAGCCCGTTTATAAGCGGCCATTCGATGGTCTTGCCCTCGCCGCCAGCCTCGGAGTCAAGAAGCGGGAGAAGAAACCCGCGCTCGGCCCTCGCAATGTGGGGGAAGAACTGCGCCATGAGGTCCACGTGGTCGGGGATCACATACCGCTTGATGATGCCAAACCCGTGGGTGTCGTTGTATCGCAAATACCCCTGCGCTTCTTCGCTGCCGTGGAGCTGGATGATGTCCACAGCGCAGTCACGCGCAAGCCCAAACACATCTTCGATACCCTGGTTGCGGAACACGCCCACCAAAAACGGACCGTTTTCATGCACGAGCCGGGCCGCCGCTTCGAAGTACTCGATGTGTGACGCAAACTTCTGCGAGCTCAAGTGCGTGGTGAGTTCGCCCGCAGTCTGGAACTGCCGCCCCAACTCCTTTCTCTTTTTCTTGCATGCTTTCGCAATTTCTAGCGCCACGCCGGGGGAAACCGTCCGCTTCCTATTGGGCACCATGATGACTCCTAGCATATCAGCCCCGGAGTCTATTGCTTTCTGTGCGGCCTCGGTAGACCGCAAACCGCAGATCTTGACCAACGGAGGCATTCGGAATAGCTTTTGGCAGATGTGTCGGATTTGTGAGCTCAAAAGCTGTTTGCTGGACTCAAAAGGGCATATGCAACGGAATAACTTCTTAGTTTTCGTGAGACTCCATGTCTCCAGATTCCGTGCATCGGTGCGTGTTCGGTGTGCATATAGACCCGCCAGCTCACGGCACGTTGAATGGCAAATGCCGAGCCGGTGGCAAAATTTGCACCCACAACTCCGTGTCTTCCTGCTTGGACATAAAAAGACGAGGCGAAAAATTGGTGTGACTTTGACTCGATCAAATGCCAAACGTGTTCAAATCTCCCGCATATAGGCAAACCCAATCTGCAGGCGCATAGTAATAGATTCCTCTTCGCCACCTTTTAGTTCGCTGAACCTGAGCTCCGCATGAGCGTGGCTTCAGCTGGCTTCAACTAACAAGATCGCAAATTTGGCTGTTTCGACTTTCTAGCAGAAAAAATCACTCTTAATCGCTCTGGACTTGTGTAGCCCGTAAAATCCCCTCGCATCTTCCATCATCATGCTGTGCGCTTCTCGCCGTCCAGCGCCTTGACATATTCGATTAATGACACAGGCTGAAATAAATCACCTCGAAAACCCGCCTATTCGAAAAGTCACAATGTATGGCTCTATGGTTTTGCATCGGTATCGCCGTCCTTGCGGAAAAACTTCCCGAAATTCTTGAAGTTTTCATTAAACTTGTTCACATGGCTCTCTCCATTGAGAGAAAAGTCCTTCAATGCATTGTTGAGCTTGAGAGCTTGCATTTTGGCAGGGTTGCTCTTCAAAAAGTCGGGGATATGGGGCTCGGGCGACTTGCTAATCGCCAACGCTTTGATATCAACTGGCGGTGGGCGCAGTTGTGATGAGGGATGTGCGGATTCCTTTTGCGCAGCCGCTTCATGAAATACACTCATTATGGGGGATTCTTCGACTAAGCTGTCTCTGGAAAGCACTTGCAATTTGAAATTCTCCATGTACTTGGGCTGCTCGTTCAAAGGGATGGTTTTCAACCCCAAAATAGTCTGGAAGTTTTGAAGAGACTTGTCTCCTATGATGCTGAAGTAACTTTCCACTATGTTGTCAATGGGCAAAGTTGGCGTGAGCAAAAGCTTGAGTAGCAGTTCAAGCTTGGTGAACTGCGAGTTCAAATGACGAAGATAAGCCTTTGGAACTTTGGCATCTGCGTCTTCTGGCGGCTTTCTGATATCAAAGCTTGCGTCAGAAAACAAAAGGAGCGATTTGAAAAAATTCTTGAGCACCGAAACATCGAGCAAGATTTGCTCGATTGCAACGATACTGAGCGGCTTCACCAGACCGAGCCTTGACATGAAATCCGCGACAACGGCCTCCACAAGTTTGTCGGCGTAGTTCCTTACATAGCCTTCCCGTATAATAAGCGGGCAGATTACACGGTGGTTTTGCGTGAGCGAGTCCACAAACTCTTCCATGTAATGTGACGTGTCAGAAACAGCCTCGAGAGAGCCCCAGCTGTTGTTTTCAAACTGGCGCCAGGAGAAGCTGAGATCCGAGCTCACTTTGGACACCAATGCGCGGATGGCTTTGCTGATCAACTCGAAAAATAGAGACCTCTCGATGTCGAAGGTGACCTGCTCCTTGAACGGCTTGTCGATCAACTTGTGGATTCGGTCCTGCAAGTCGTTGGTGTTTTTGATGACATAATCGGCCGTGTTGAAAAGCATGGTCAAGTACTTGATGGGCTCGATCCCTTGCGGGTGCTCGCAAGCTGAATTCAACACCGGCAATAGAAGTGAATGGTGGTATTCCTGGAGGTACTTGGCGAAAACGTGCGCTAGTTCAAGCAAAATTTCGCCGGAAGAAAGCTTTATGGTCAGGCCCAAGGACTTCTGGAATATCTTGAAGAGTTCGGAAGAAGACTCGGCAAAGTTTGGTACGTTGTTGACCTGCAAAGTGTGGATGAGCTCTTCGAAAGTCTGCGCACTGGCGATTTCCTCGGGCACTTTGACCCGCAGGTGCAACTCCATGAACTTGCCGCGGATCGAGTCGTCCTGGTCCCTCACCCACGTGATCAAATACGGCTCGAACAGTGCCAGAACCATGCGCAGGAAGTCGGTGGTTTTGAAAGCCTCGTTGAGCTCTTTTTCGAACGCTAGCGTCGCAGTCAACGCATCCAAGATCACCGCTGCGGGCACCAGGCCAGAGCTGAGCTTGGCGGCAATTTCCTGGTGCGTCATCTTGCAGAAAAGCTTGCTGAGCTCCATGTCCACGCCCCACAGTGGGGGGAATGCATGGAGATAGTTGCTGCGTATGTTGGCAAGCACGTTTGTGAAGAACATGTACCTCCTGGCCACGTTTTCCAAGCTGCCCGCCTCGCCAGACGCACCGAATATCGACTGGATCTCTTTCAACTGGAGATTGTAAAACCACGTAAGGAGCTTGTCTTTGTACTTGGCGTCTGCCGTCTCCAAAATCTCGCAGCCATAGCAGAGCTGGTCGTTGGTGAAGTGGTTGGTGAACGAGTCCTCGAAATCAATGAACACGTCGTCCACTAGTTTCTTCTGTGTTTGGTGGATTCGCCGGTATAAGGCCGCGATTTCCTCTATGGACTTGTACGGGCGGAAATACTCCATGAGGCCCCGCACGGCGCCGAGATACGCCGAGATCTCCTTGTAGTCGTGCGATTGCGCCACCTCACACAACGAGTCGTACGCTTTGAGCAACATTTGGAGCCGTTTGAGCACATTCATTGAGAGCACCAAGTTTGTTTTCATGGTGTCCAACTTCTGGATCTGCAGAGTGACTTCGAGAATGCTTGCATGGGTATGCTGGGCGTCGTTTCTGACGCGAGCCAAATTTGCAGCCAACTCTGCCACGTCTGTGGCCACGTCAATTGGCGCCTTATACTGGAGAAGCTGGTCGTGAAGCTTCACGTGCGCCGCCTGCTTGTAACGGGCCACGTGATCCAAAACCGCGTCTATATTTTGAAGCGCTGCCTCGTCGGGGAATATCTGTGGGAGCTGGGCTTCCGGATCGTAGACGAAACCCATGCCAAAATGCGTACTGGAGGGTCTCTTCAGACGCTTATACTGGGTACTATGTGAACGAGGTGCTCGCGTTTGGCTGGGTGCGGCTCTGTATGCAGGACTGTGGGTTTGGATCATTGGCCAAAGCAGAACTGTGGGGGAATTCCGGCGTTTGTTTAGCTGCAGCTTTGTCCGGCTGGATTTGTCGATGTGATTTTGGAGGTAATTTTTGGTCTTGATTTGGAGGTGTTTTTTGGTTTTGGTTCCGGGTCTGAATCCAATCTACTAGGGTCCGCTGCGGCCGGGTGCTCTCCAATCCGAGCCTGCACTATTGCTGTTCATTCTTATATTTTGCGACCTGACATTTGAAAAATCAATCCAGCTACTTCTAGACAGACTTGCACGTTTCCGGTGACATGCTTCTAAAATACTCATTTCTCTTTGCGCAAAATTTTGACCTGGGGCCAAAGAGTACCTTTCGGTGCTGGTATTTGCAGAGGACAAAAACGACAGTTGATATTTTGTTGTTCAGAATAGAAAAAAAGAGTAGTCACTTTTATTTGGAGTGTCGGTTCTTTGGAGATCCGTCAATGTCATAATTATGGGTGCCATACCGGTGAACTGCGCGTGCTTCCATAGCAGAGGCAGCCGTCTACATGCAGTTCTGATCCAAATGGTGCATTGCCGATATGAATGTGAATTCTGAGAATGAACCAAAGGGCAGCTAGAATCATCCTACTAGATTAGCTTTGAAAGAAATGGTGCCAGCGTCTGCATTCAAATAAAGGGTACGTCAAATAAAAATATGCAAGCGAAACCTGCAGCTGTTCCCTGCTTTGACGAGGCTCTAAGCCTCGACGCTTCCGCCTTTCGAATCTCAAGATCCTGCCAAAAGAAACAAAGCCGCATATACAAAATATTATACTGAATTCAGTAGCTAGCATACCACGTATATTTTACATTAGAATTTAAACTGGAAACTCTTTTACGGCATTCAGCTACCTGCTTTGCGTCACGTGACCATTCCGTACGCTTAGTACTCTACATACATGCAGGTGCATACTACTGGTCTATGATTCTCCCACGCGATCCAACATGTTAGAGATACGGAGGCTAACTCATAAGATAAAAAGAATTTCAAGCCCTCATAATCTTTTTCTTGTTGACTTCGAGCATTTGCTTGTGAGATTAATACTGAAAGATTGTGGAGAGCACAGCCATGTATTGCGTTATCTAAGTTCTGCTTAATTTAAACACATGTAAGCGACGAATTCTTCGAGTGCCAAACTTATTCAACGAAAATTAGGAAAAGTTTCTTGGCTGGTGGTTCAGATTCGGGCTGTTCTGATTGCCATCTTTAGCGGAAACCATATCATGGCAACTACTTAGTTAAAAAGGGCTAACATAGACAATGAGCAGTCCAATCTTAACTTTTCAAATTTTATGCAGGGATTATATTGCCAGACATCGTTTGATACTGAAGGCATTGGAGCTTTGAAATTGACAACGTTTCATATGCAAAGTATTTCGAAACTCTTCTGCTTCGAAGAATGCAAAGATTAGCTTCGCATCAATTTATAGTTCATAAGCTTGATCACGGTTTGTATTACTAGAAAGCTAGTCCCACTGACTCAAATCTATCTTGATGACTTTTGCGCTAGTTCAGGATTATCGCATTTTCTATGGGATACTTCATGGGCGAGATCATTATCAAGAATCTAATGAAGCGATATGCTCAAAGTTTGGTAAAAAAGTTGTTGAGAACCCCGTGAATCAGATCTACAATTGTGGACAGTTTCCGCCTCCTATTCTCCTTTTCAACATTAAAAGCTCTTCGTGAGATGTTAGACATTTTTAAGTCGGAAGCTGACTGCAAAAGAGAATAGGCTCGTCACGGAAAACCAAATAAGCCATAATCCATCCAAAGACTTTGAGGAGCTGGGGAAATTTTAGTGGACTTTCAATTCGTGTAGAGTCATGCCAGGATACCGTATCTCCAGGTCATCAGCCCAGCCATTATAAACTCTTTCCATTCTCATCAGAGAAAGACTAAGACATCGCCCTTTTTATCAGGTTTTCTGTGCTTGTGACCTGTGTATGGATCCTTCATCACATACCGTGAAATTCTGACACGATACACTCGAATTATAGAGTACACTCATCATTCATTGAAACACTATACACGTGTCTAATATCTGCCACGGCTATCGCTGGGCCCATGGTTAGAGTCTACCAAGCGATCGTTGGCGGCATTGGTGTAACTGGGGACATAATCTTTGACGCCCTCCAGTCCAATGCCTTCATGAATATCAGACAGGCCGTACAAGTCGTTGTCGCTCGATTCGTGCTGCTCCGTTGGCCCAATTGTGCACTGGCTATCTATGGCCAGGTGGCTTTCCGTGTTTTCTGTTGGAACAACGTTAAATTCAGGCACCTGGCGATTGTCTAGTGTTGTATTAGCCGGATTGATGGGTAATTCTGAATCACTTGTATCAGAATCATCCATGGGAGGGGCCGAGGGAAGAAGACTGGCCTCATGCTGGCGCATTTGCTCCTTCTCCGACAAAACAGGTAATGTTGGCTCAGGCGGCGTGGCGGCCGCATATGTAGGCACCTGCTGGGAGCTGCCGCCCGCGGCGTCGTCTCGTGTACGCGCAGACTCGTATAAGTATGGCGGGCTATCGAAGTTCTCCATGGGAGTTAGTTCAGGCACCGTATTGATCGCCGAGGTCATTGACATACCTAACGGGGACTGTGACTGCGACTGTGACTGCGACTGTGAGCTCCCCAATGCCACTGGCGCGGGGTCCTGCGCATGCAAGCACAGCGGGTTATCCTCCACAGTTTCCTTTGCCAGGCGGTGCGTGCCAATGACCACCTCGGTAGTCATCTGCAAGAACTTTTTCAGCCGCTTGAACTTGTCCGTATTTATGAATTCTGAGCGCGAGTGCGCAAGCGACAGAAAGTTATAGTTGGGCGTGTGGCCTGGAGAAAGCCCCGCAGCCGCGTCGTCCTGCGCCGCGATGCTGGATTTAGGCTGTTCTACGGGAGTAGACAAACTCATCGACTTTCCAGAAAGATTGAGCATGACTTCGATGAAGTACTGGAAGCTTACGAGCGGACAGCCCGAGATGGTTGGAAACGCATCGGGCGGCACACGCACGCTGGTGCTGATTTCCAGCAGGAATGTCGCCGGGTCCACGAAAAGCGGGATCACCAGCTGCTGCAAGTCCTTCCTGAAGGACTCGTAGTAGCTGTCGGGCCCGTAGTCGATCCTGCATACGCGCACGAGCGTTACGATGATTCCCGTCGAATCCTGGATTTTGCGGAGGTGGTGGATGGTGAGCTTGATTGGAATGAGCTCGCCGCGCAAGTAGCCGCGTTGCGCCACGTCCATGAACACGCGGATTGTATCTGGGGCCGGTGGTCTTAGCTGCGACATTGCTGACAGGTTGGCAGGCGAAGGAGGATTTTGCGGCAGGCTCGTGTGTGCTGCAGGCTGTGGCTGTGTGCTTGCTGCAGACAAGTCCATCGACGCACTGTCTGCATCGGAAGTGGCGGATGAGAGTGTAGCAACCGTGTTGATGGTGGAGCTAGACAGCTGCACGCGCAGGAGCTTGCCCTTGGGGGTGTTTTTGATGATGAGGCGCTTGCGCTTGGGCGGCGGAAGGTATGCCACGTCAACTGGATTGACCAAGTTGATGATTTTCTCGTACGTGAAGGACGGGTGGTGTAGCTTTGTAAGCGCATCTTTGGCTCTCAGTAGCGACAGCGGCTCGTGGTCCCGCAGGAGCGCAGCAGGCATGGACGCAGGCGCAGAAGAGACAGACGCAGAAGAGACAGACGCAGAGGAGGAGGACGCATCTGGGGATGCGGCCGGAAACGAGGCGGTGCTTACACGCGACGCTGCGTCCGAGAGATGCGTCAGAAGCACATAGACGATGGCGCCCTTGCCGAAGTCGATGCTGGTAAACACACGCTTGTTCGGGAGCTTCACGATGAAGGGGAAGCGGTGCTCGCCCTTATATAGGCCGCTGGCAAAATCCTGGTCCAGCGAGCTGCTGGTGCCCGGGCCGTAAATCTGTATGGTGTGCGAAAATAACACCGTTTTCATCGGACGCAACTTCGAATGCAGCAGCGCGTGAATTTTGACGTATCCCGCCAAATTAAAGGAGATGGCGATGTTGGCAAGGTTCTTGCGGCTGCGAAGAATCACCTGGCCGGAAATCTCGTCGCCGGGCAGCCACATGCGGTGGGGGTCTGCCAAGGAAATGTAGAACTCATCCACCGAGCCGTGGTCTAAGCGGTACGTGCCGTGCAGTGCGTCAGGCAGAGACCTGCCGAACTTGGCAGGCATGAATTTCGACACGGCGCGCCTCATTGTTTGAGCATATGGGGGTTCAACGAAAAGCCAGCGTCGCTCTTCTTGAGAGAACAATAGAGCACAGCGGCAGGGCGTTCCCTAGGTATAAAATGCGGGTACAATAAGTGATGTGAAAGAGCGGACTGAGAACAAGGGACCGTGCGCTGAGGCTTGGCTAAAGCAATTCGGGTGTTGAGAGGTGCTTGCGAGCTGCGGCACGTGCTTGGAACTGAAACCACGCGGGGACGGATGTGGATGGGCGGCGCTTTTTCTGCGTTGTTTGCGTCGAGAGTCCTCGCTTACTTGTGGGTTGTGAGGCGCGGCGTGGACGCGGACTCTGGCCCCGAGGTATGTGCAGGCAAGGCCGGGGTGGTGGTGTGAGGGAGAGAGAAAAACATGCGAAGCGGCGATCGCCTTTTCTGTCGTTCAAGCTGCCACTGCCAGCTTAGGGAAAGAGGGGAGCCAGAAAACGAGAGCATGTGTCTTTTGTGGCTTTTTCTGGTCAAAACTGTTATTTCCCTTTCTCTCCTTTTTCGTTCTCTCTGTTCGCATTCTCCCTCCGTTTTTCTCTTGTTTTTTTGTCTGTTCTTCTATAGTTGTCGCAGGGTTTTTTGCTCTTTTTTCTTGTCCTCTTGTTCTCTTTCCTGCTGGCTGCTCAGAATTCTTGGGCTGCCGGATGGGTGGAGCTGCGCGTACCCCTCTTATTCTTGCCTGCTACATTGTGTATCAAATCAAAGAATTCTTGAAATATACTCTGCTGCAATAGGACAAAATTTTGGACCCTTGTACTCCTTTGACTTCCCATGTTGCCAAACAGAGTATCAAAACTAGCAAGCGTTGGGAATTGGTTGTGCCTGCACGTGGCTAAGCACAATAACGCTCAGATGCCCAGCAAGAAATATCGGAGTTGGCGGTGAGCACTTTGCATTTCATGTCCACAGACTTATTGTTCCATTTTCTTGTTCATGGGCCTGCTCTAAAAATATAAAGGTTTTGACCTTTGTGCGGACAAGCTGCGGAGCCAAAAGTGGGGCTCGTCTAGAAAATGTAAGAAGTGTAAATTACTCCGGTTGCCCGCCGGTCCCCGCTTCGAGTTTTTCCCTCCCCAACCCTTCGCTGTTTCATTTACAAATCTTCTCTTCTCTGGTTTTGTTATCACAGCTTATTGTTCCTGCTAGTCCAAAGTCAACCGCTCTCTTCTAGCCCTTTTTTCCATCAATTCATGTTTTAGTTCGCACGGCGCTATGCGTTGGTCTGCATTATTCGTCTCCCCACGTGATCTGTGACATGTAGATACTGGTTCTCTGCTCCCTTAGACCCTTGGGAGATATTTTGACATTGTTCTGATACATTGGCATTCGAAACTAAGGATACGCGCCGTGTAATATGAGGAAAATCAGTACTACTGATAAAGTGGCCTTGCTTTGTGAATCGCTCGCTGTTTTTGATGATTGATGTGCATTGTTGATGTTTCGTTTAATGAGCACATTCGCGTTTCATCGATGTCATGATGGCATTCCAGAAGCTATACTGCATCAGTGACCACCGCGCGTGCGCATTTCGTATTTTGGCCCTAAATCGTTGGCTTGATAACTTATCGGGTTCACCCTGCATTTTCTGATGAGAAAGGAAGACATTTGAAGAGAATCTCTATAGTTTTTCAGTATAAGTAATATCTGCTGGATCCATTCTTGCTCTCATGCCGAGTTTTGGTGCTTTCTGCCGTATTTGCAGATTCCGTGTCGCTACGCTTTTGCGTGCCACCTGCCGCACGTCCATCATTGTCCCTCGATGGGGAAATGAATAGCCAGTGACAATAGACGGGGTTTTTTGGTTCTTGGTTCTAACTCCTCGTGCTCCAGACTGCCTGCAGTGCCGTGTGAAGGCATGTACCTATTGTAAGTCTTGTATTCATGTCCATGGAGTAGTCATGAAACATCTACCACAGCGTTGTTTCTAAGGCGACTGCAATCTTCTGCTCGGAACGTCATCAATGGAGCCGGGCCTTATCTCCAAATCTAATCCCGTTGACAGAAGCTTATCAAGTCGGATGCGCAAACGGGTGCCGTCGTGGTGTTTTCACAGTAGCATTTACTAATAAACTTTGATGGGCCAAAATACTGGCTCGTGGTTGTCCTGAGAGTGGCTTGGTGTCTTCGTATATTTGTGCTTGCCTGTGGATGTAACAAATGGTCCCAAGCTGTCTGATTATTACAAAAGGGGTCTGCATCACAGGTCAAGCAATTGAACACAAGCAAATCTACCAGGGGGTTCTTCACTACTTGACTAAATATAGACTTCCATTGTTTTTGGCTGATCCAGCAAGACATTTATGGAACAGCTTTGGTCTGAGGAGGCTGTCTGTGCAATTCTGGAAGAGGCCCAGATGACCTACTCTGTCGTGCGTTTGAGTGCTTGTTTCAATGACAGTCCAAAGTCAACTACTCTGTCGATTAACACGCCAAAATGTCCATTCCTTGCATCGGCGTTTTGTCTTGATGATTGATAGCCTCGCCCCGCCTGCTTGGTTGGACCACTTCTGCCAGACTGTTTGCAGACTTCGGCAGCACGTCTCCTGCCAGGCCTCTTGGTCATTCAGAACCGCAGCACGTGCCACGGGCTCAGTGGATGGCGCCCCGGTCCTTAATAGCTTCACCAACAGAACGGCACTGCACGTGAAGTGGCCAGGCTTCGCTGCCTCCTGCGTCATTCGCTTTTACTTTATTTGTCGCTACAGGCAACGGCTAATTAATATTGTACAACGGAAGAACCATCTGAGCCTAGTCGAAGGTCTTCTTGACGCCCTTGAACTCGGCGTTGTTGGCACCGGTTCTAGGGGCAGGCGACGATCTCTCACGGCCTCCAAAACCGCCACGGCCGCCACGGCCACCAAAGTCTCCACGGCCTCCGCGGAAACCACCTCTGCCACCACGGGCACCTCCGCCGTTGTTGTTTTCTCTGGGCGTGGAGTAGTCCAATCTGCAGGCTCTGCCCTCGATGTACTCACCGTTCATGGCAGTGAACGCGGCCTGGGCCTCGTCGACAGACGCAAACTGCACGTAGCCGAACCCCTTGGGTTGCTGGGTGTCTGGATGCGTGGGCAATCTGCACGACACCACGGTTCCGTGCTGGCCAAAGAGCTCGAACAAGGTGTCTCTCTCGGCGTTGAACGACAAGTTGCCAACAAACAAGGTGTCGGAAGGCGCAGAGGGCACGTCACCAAACTTCTTGGCACGGTCGTTCAGCGGGTTGGAAGGCTTGGGCTTGCCGGTGGACAAGTCCAAGTTGACGGGTCTGCCGTCGATCTCGTAGCCCTGGAAATCCTTCAAGGCCTTCTGGGCCGCGGACAAGGAGTCGAAGTCGACGTAGCCGTAGCCACGTGACTTGCCGGTGGCACGCTCCATCATGACCCTGGCGGAAACCACTCCTCCCGAGGGCTCGAACTCTCTTCTCAACCAGTCGTCGTCGACGTTCCAGGACAATCTGCCCACGAAAAGCGTGGCTGGCTCCTCGGCCACCTCGGCCTTTTGCTTCTTGGCCACGGGCTCCTCTTCGGTGGCGGAGGACTCCTCGCTCTCCTCGGCCTTGCGCTTGTTGGACTCTTTTTCTGGCTCCTCGGAGTCCGAGTCGGACGACGAGTCCGAGTCCGAGTCCGAGTCGGAAGATGACTCGGAAGATGACTCGGACGAGGACGAGGATGAGGACGAGGATGCAGACGACTCGGCCGCCTTGGCGGTCTCCTTCACTGGCTCCTTCTCGGCCTCAGACTCGGAGTCAGAGGAGTCGGACGACGACGAGTCAGAGTCAGACGACGACTCGGACGAAGACGATGACTCGGCAGCCTTTTTGTCGGCCTTTTTGTCGGCCTTCTTGTCGGCCTTCTTGTCGGCCTTCTTGTCGGCCTTCTTGGCTGGCTTGGCGACTGGCTTGGTCTCCTCCTCGGAATCCGAGGAGTCAGAAGAAGAAGAAGAGTCGGAAGAGTCAGAAGACGACGACTCGGAAGAAGACGACGACGACGATTCCGAAGAGGACTCGGCCTTCTTGACGACCTTGGCGACCTTGGCGGTCTTGCTGGACTTAGTAGAAGTTTTTCCCATTTTAGAAAGTGTGTTGTGGGTAAGGAAAGAAGTAGGGAGAAGAGAAAAAAAGCTTGCTAGAAATACCTGAAATTTTCACGATGCTGTACAGGAAAGCCTGGGGTGAGGCCTCATCTCATCGCAGCCGGACTGTGCAGACATGGTTCAATTTTTGGGCATCTTGCTGATACTCGCCTTCCACGAGAAAAATAAACTAAAAAAAGGACGGCAATAAACAGCCAAAAAGCATGAAATTATACAGCTAGTGATATTATGTCGATTTGCAGGCCTGTCCGCTTCCTGGTGGGTAGTGGTGTTCTCGTGGCTGGGATTCCCGCACTATGCGGCCCGCGCCTGCCTTCCTAATTTTATATTCCAAACCATAAATTGCAGTGATTCCAGATAATTGTGCAAGCATTGGATAATGCAGAACCCATGTTGGGGCTCTATTCTGCTACCATGCCGGAAGCCCGTATTTATCTGTATCATTTGCTGTTTGAGGTGGTCTGTGAGTACTTATGGGGACAAGTGGCTTAAATGCAATCTGCTCGAAAAGCTTACAAACCGCACATAGAAATAGGGGCTTGCGAACTGTGATTGTGGCATTCTTCAACGTGAGTAAACTTATGACCTAATTTTGTACAGGCGTTTGATGTTCTGTTGCTTGTTTGTTTGGTTTTTTGGTTTTTTTTGCTATTTTTTTGAATCATTGTCTTGTGAGCCACTCGCTTGTGGCATTGTTAATGTGTTTAGTGGACGGTGATAATGGACGGTGTTAGTAGACGGTGTTTAGTTGACAGTGCTTAGCAGACAGTGCTTAGCAGACAGTGCTTAGCAGACAGTGCTTAGCAGACAGTGCTTAGCAGACAGTGCTTAGTAGACACATACATTTTGATAGGGCTATTTTCTGGCAGCCAAAGTCAAAAGTGCTCCGGAATAGGCATGCCATATCTTCTTCCTCCTAGTTTTCATCTATAACATATCAGAACTCTTGCTGGGCCAATGAGTCCCTTCGTGTTCTTCATCAATTCTGGATTTACTAGCGGAACTCAAATTGATGATCCTCCCGGAGCCCGTGCACTCAGGCTTGCAATTACTCCGCTGAAACTTTATATCACCAATTTCTGACATACAAGCACTTTTGGCTCAGCAGCGGGCAGGTTCCATGAGCCAATGCCAAAAGCAGATGAAGAAAAAAATCTCAGCTCCTCATGGTGGGTTGAAAAGATCATTTGTTTTTCAAATATCTCAAATCTCGTAGTTGGATGAAACTGAAAGCTTGCGTTTTCGTCCCCTTCCAAAAAAAAAGCTCTCAAATCCATCTGTTTCTGTTCAAGACACCACAACCATGCTTTCTTAGGCTGGGTGCATTTGGCCATCAAAGATCTGGATTAAATTGACTTTTTCTTGTCGGTTAGATTAAGCCAATTGGGCGCATTTACAGGTCTCACGTTTCCGTCTGTCAGCAAAAAGCGGCAACGTGCTAACTCTGAATGTAGGAATTAATTCAAACGCCAATCCATTATAATGCTTTTCAATATTTTTATCTTTCGGTAGAATTCCTTTAGACTTTACGGTGCAGACTCCCAGGTTTTGGGCAAGAGGCAGGTTTACTTCTGAGAAACAAGGTGTAAGCGTTCGGGACTATTTGAACAGAAAGCTTTTGAAGTGATATCCTCCAGCTACATGTGAAATGGAATCAGCTTCTTTTTCTATTATGGCCCCTTAATTCCAGAAGTCTTTATTGCCAATACCGGAGTTAAGCTGATCAGCCGAACATCTCTTTCAGATCTTTGCTCCTTGGCCATGAACTGTTTATCCTGGTACATGACTCGACATGACGACCAATATTTACAGTCCAGATTTTTGGAAACGGGTCCTTAAAAAACTCTTGTATGTTCAATCAGCATGCTGAGAATTCAAAAATTACCCTGTTGAATACATTATAGTGTTTCCTACTCAAAAGAACATTTATCTGATGAGTCCTGTAAAACTATATATTTGTTGCGTGTGTATTTCCAGCTTAATGAATGGAGGAAATACGTCCAAAGAAAAGTTCCAAATAAAATTTGAACATTTTTTATTTCATTACCAGTCGAAGTAATAAGTGGTACAAGAAAATATTTTTATATGTTTATTCGTACGTCTCACTTATTTGCTCACGGGTCAAACGTTCACAAAATGCAAAAAGAGCTTACAAATCTTCGCAATCCATTGGCTCTTCACAATGTGCGCTCGTAAGTTCCTTCTTGAAAAACCCCAAAAAAGAGATAAGCCAGTCTTTTGGGAATGGGAAAAACACTTCAGGTACTCGAGTTACAAAGACACTCAAAATAGAGAAAAAAAACCAGTGTGGCCAGAGTTACGATGTCTCTATACATGCGGCGTTGCGTGCGGCTCAAACATCGAAGAGAAATATTAACATCCATCAAGATGCAGTTTTGAATTATTGCAGAGCCAGGGAAAATCGATAATATCACGGCAACCGTGATTTCTCTCTACTAAGCTAATTTCAGCAATTTAGCAAACTGAAAAAAAAAAAGCACACTTCCATAACACAGTTTTTCCGGTCGCGAGATGATCACTCCACCCGGTAACTCCCCGCATTTAAGGCGCCGGAACCGGCGCGAAAAAAAATGAAAAAGTACGCGACAAGAAAAAAATCCAAGAGAATATTAGGGCCCGTTTCGCCATCGTACCTTATTCTTTTCTCCGACCTATTCAAACCGAAGTAATATTCGTGTAAATTCAACGCCTCTTTCTAGCATTTTTCCTGCCGTGGTCTCTCGAACCTCAAGTTGTCTATCACTATCACGCCCTCGAGAACCAGTGCAAGCAAACATGTTTAAGGCGTCCAACGTTTTGCTCCAAAAAGTGGCGTACAACATCAAGCCTTACAAAAACATGTTGAAGGACCCCTCGAAGAAATACACTGCATTCAAAGGCCCGGAAATCCCAAACAGAACATGGCCCAACAAGACCATCACCAAGGCGCCCAGATGGCTCTCGACCGACTTGAGGGACGGCAACCAGTCCTTGCCCGACCCGATGTCGATTGCCGAAAAGAAGATTTATTTCAAAAAACTCGTGGAGGTGGGTTTCAAGGAAATCGAGGTGTCGTTTCCCTCGGCCTCGCAGACCGACTTTGACTTCACCAGATTTGCCGTGGAAACCGCGCCTGACGATGTGGCCATCCAGGTTTTGACCCAGCTGAGAGAACATTTGGTGCGCAGAACCGTGGAGTCGGTCACGGGCGCGAGAAAAGCAATCATCCACGTGTACTTGGCCACGTCGGACATGTTCAGAGACATCGTGTTCAACATGTCCAAGGAGGAGGCCGTGGCAAAGGCTGTGGAGACCACCAAGTTAGTCAGATCCTTGACCAAGGACGATCCAAAAAAGCAGGAGACCCAGTGGTCGCTTGAGTTCTCGCCCGAGTGTTTTTCTGACACCCCTACGGAGTTTGCTGTGGAGATCTGTGAGGCCGTGAAGGCCGCCTGGGAGCCCACGAAGGAACAGCCCATTATCTTCAACTTGCCTGCCACCGTGGAGGTTGCATCTCCCAACGTGTATGCCGACCAGATCGAGTATTTCTGCAACCACATCTCCGAGCGTGAGAAAGTCTGTGTGTCCGTGCATCCCCACAACGACAGAGGATGCGGCGTGGCCGCTGCGGAATTGGGCGTTATGGCCGGTGCCGACAGAGTGGAGGGCTGTCTTTTCGGCAACGGCGAGAGAACCGGAAACGTGGACTTGATCACGGTGGCTTTGAACTTGTACACGAACGGCGTGTCACCTGAGTTGGACTTTTCCGACATGGAGGAGATCATTGCCATTTCTGAGAAGTGCAACAAGATCCCCACCCACCCTAGAGCACCATACGGCGGCTCGCTCGTTGTGTCTGCCTTCTCCGGCTCGCACCAGGATGCCATCAAGAAGGGATTCCTGAAGGTGGAACAAAGAAAGGCCGCGGGCGACGAGTCCTGGAAAATCCCCTACTTGCCTTTGGACCCCAAGGATATCGGCAGGAACTACGAGGCCGTGATCAGAGTCAACTCGCAGTCCGGCAAGGGCGGTGCGGCGTGGGTCATCTTGAGATCCTTGGGCATGGACTTGCCCAGACAGTTGCAGGTGCAGTTTTCGTCGGTCGTGCAGAACCAGGCCGACCAGTTGGGCCGTGAGTTGAAGACCGAGGAGATCGTGCAGCTTTTCGGCAAGCACTACATGTACATGGGCACATCCACGATCGTGCTTGAAGATTACACGAACTCCAAGACCAAGGAAACCGACAGCAACTCACGTGATATCACTGCCTCGTTGCAGGTTGGTGGCAAGAGTGTGCAAGTCAACGGCCAAGGCAACGGGCCCATTTCCGCGTTCATCAATGCCGTCGCCAAGGAGTTTGGCATGTTGTTCGAGGTGGTGAACTACAACGAGCATTCCTTGGGCACTGGCACGCAGGACAAGGCTGCCACGTACATCGAAGTGTCTTACTTGAATTCCACTGGGGAGAAGGTCACCAGATGGGGATGCGGTGTCGCCACCGACACGAACGAGTCCTCGTTCAAGGCGATCATTGCCATCCTCAATGGCTTGATCAGAGACGGCGAGATTTCCGTTTAAATTTTGGGACAATATGTCTTTGCATAGCGAGAATAGAGACATTCATTGAATGTGCGGTGGGCCATTGTGTTTGGAATCGATTGACACTTTCGCGAGGTTAGCGAGCCTGACCATGTTACAGACCGAGTAGTCAATTTCATTCTGTAGCTAGTTTTTGATTCACGGATTCAGTGCCATTTCGGTTTAGTTTTGGAAGCAAAAGAATCCAAAACCCCACAGTTTCGTTGTGTTTGTTCCAGTGAAGTACTGTGTCTTGACGGCTAGGCAGTATACGAGTTTCCATGAGGAAGAATATCCAAGTGTGGAAAATTGTTATTTGGAGGCACTGAGTGGGTAAGTGAATTTCCCACAATGGATGGTATAACGAGTGGGCAAAACAAAGCTCAGGCATGTACTGTTAGCTGTTCCCATCAAGCACACCTTAAAAAAGAACGCTTTTCATGTCGAATTACTCGCAAAAACTTGGAATCTATAACATGGGTTCCGTAATATGGAGTGCAAGATGATTCGTGCCCACATTCTTCTCATATTCGCTATGTAGCATAATCCTGAAACATATTTTTACTGGGACATGCTGACCTTAACAAGTTATATGGTATGTTTCAAGGCACATTCAGCAAGACTGCGCCGGTCCTTCGCGTGCTGTATATCATTTTGAATACTTGAAAAAACCTGCAAGTGATCTGGGACATTCAGTCCGGTAGTCTCAAGAATCGTTGGCATGCTGCTTTTTCACCATGAATAAGGTGAAACGATTCCAAGTAATTTCGGGGTATCGGATTGTAAGACCAAGAAAGTGAAACCTGTACGTGTTCTTCGGTATGGAAGCAGCACATCAAAGTATTACCATTACATCATATCACACTAAGTATCAAGGCAGAGCATGTGCGTCCGGAGTTTTAGACTTTTTCCTTGATGATCAAATGAGTGCGGTTGGTGCGGCTGAGTGTCCATCTGGGGTATGCTATTTCGCAGCAATAGCACTAGGTCGTGCCGAGCCCATTGGTGGCTACTGGGCAGCTCGATTTGCATTGATGAGGATCACAGGCTCATTATAAACATGGATAGAGCGAGTAGGCGCTATATTTTGATAACATAAAATAGGGCACAAAGACTGGGAAAGTAAATGTGGCTTTATCGCCCAGCCAACAGTTTCCAGAAGATGCTGCTTTATTTTGTCTGGTGAGAGTCCATTCAATTGACCTAGTTCTACTTCGCAGGTCTGTGAATGTGTTTTCAAAGTGCAGACCAGGTACCGCTTCCTCCAGAGCCAGCCGCTTCAAAAACAAAGGAAAAAGAACAACTGGGAATGTAAAAGTGAGTTCCTGATGATGATGCACAACTCCGTCTTTAAATTGTCGTCTGATAAGATTGGAGTGCATATTGAAGAAGTGGACACCACGAGTTCTATGCAAAGAGCACGACAAGATAGAATACAAAACCCGAAACATGATCCCAGAAGGGTCACGTCGCTTCTTTGACAGATGGGCACTAGGAACCATTTGCATTTTCCCGTCCCGTATACGGAGCCCATGCTACCCGAGGCCCTGGCCGTGTGCAGGACCACACCAAATAGTCTCGTGTGTGCACGAAGATTCGCTGCATTTCACACACAAAGGGCCTTAGGTACTTCCCACGCAGACGCAAATACACCGGAAAGCATGCCTCGGGCAGTCCCGGACGCCGCCCGAGCCGCCGGCGGGGCAGCTGCGGCACGTGACACGCACGTGACCCGTTTATTTGACATGTCTCCTGCACACGGGATCCAGGGCACCAGCCCTAGCGGCGCGCGGTGCACGGGCAGCCCGGCCGCACCAGAAGCGGTCTGTCTGCAGGCCAGGGCAGCGCGCTGCTAGCGGCAGTTTTTTCCCTCAAAATTTTCTCCAGCCTAGAGCTCTTTCCTACAGCAGATAAACACCACATAATGTCTGATTTCCAACCAGTAGTTGTCATCGACGGTAAGGGACACTTGTTGGGCCGTTTGGCCTCGATTGTCGCCAAGCAATTGTTGAACGGTCAGAAGGTCGTCATCGTCAGATGCGAGGCCTTGAACATCTCCGGTGAGTTCTTCAGAAACAAGTTGAAGTTCCACGACTACTTGAGAAAGGCCACCAGATACAACAGAACCAAGGGTCCTTTCCACTTCAAAGCTCCTTCTAGAGTTTTCTACAAGGCCATCAGAGGCATGATTCCTCACAAGACCGCCAGAGGTAAGGCTGCCTTGGAGAGATTGAAGGTTTTCGAGGGTATGCCTTCTCCATACGACAAGAAGAAGCGTGTTGTTGTGCCACAAGCCTTGAGAGTGTTGAGATTGAAGCCTGGTAGAAAGTACACCACTGTCGGCAAGTTGTCTGCTGCCGTTGGCTGGAAGTACGAGTCCATTGTTGACCAGTTGGAGGAGAAGAGAAAGGTGAGATCCGCCGAGTACTACGCCAAGAAGGCTGCTGCCGCCAAGAAGATTGCTGCTGCCACTGCCTCCACCGCCGAGTCCGACGCTGCTAAGAAGTTGGCTGCTTTCGGTTACTAAGCGGCATGGCTAATGTTTTTCTCGGTTCCGCAGGGACTGCCTATGTATGTATAGACCCTATATGTATGTATCGCTAATACATCATTGAACGAACGACGGGCGTAGGAGCGGCTGTGCTGGTTTTGTGTTTTCGGGGCCGGCTTCTATGTGGTGGATGCGGCCCTGGCCGCCTCTTCACTTCAGCTTCTTTGCAGCCCTTTAGCTTGCACCCAAAACTTCTTTTTTTTTTTAATGCCTTGGCCGGTTCGATCTGAGCTGTGGCCCGGAAAAGGTGGGGATGTCCGAGTAAAGAGGAGCCTGAGGTTGACTAATTCACTGCAACTTCGGGGAGGGCCCGTTGGTTATTGGCAGCTTCGGACCCATAAGCTTCATCTTTCCGAGCCGGTTTCTGGCAAAGATATATCTCGATTATTCCACTTATTTTGAACAGCCTAATCAGACAAAATTTTCGGGGTATTTGCTGATTAGCAGTGCCCAAAAGCAGCACGTACAACCGTTCATACCTCAGGCTGGAGCAGTGATCATGACATCGAATGCCACGAGGCCCACCAGAAAAACAGAACAACCAAGTATGTCACAACCATGCCCACAATGATGTCACAACCGTGTTCACAATCTTGTCTACAATAATGACCCTGCCATGTCTACAACCATGTCCACAGTTATCTCACAACCATATTCCCAAACTTGTCTATAAGTATGTTTACCACCGCAAGTATGTGTACCAAAAACTAGCATGCAAAAATACCCTGAGTGCTAGACAATGTAAATCGTTTGACTGGGTATTCTCGCCACATGGTGGGAAAACCAACATCCACAACCGAAATCAAAAACCCGAACGCCTATTCGTTCAAAAAATAGGCATATCTGCGGTTCCGGGGAAAACGCCGTTTTCGAAAGCCCAGCTCTGTCAAATCCACCGCTTGATAGTTTTGCAGAATACAAGCTGGGCTGGTCATTTAAAAGTCGGTCACACCACTCACATGACCGGACTGTGCTCACATGCAGTTGTGCAACATCAGACATTCGGCTAAACCTGAGAAGTCGGACAAACAGGTTCGCTTGAGAAACGTTAAATATTTTCTGTTCCACATGAATTTTATGAGCCCCTGTAATCTCACTTTTTTCTTTGAGTCAGCATGTCACCAGTTCATTTAAGTGGGAATAACTATTTTTCTTTGAACAAGTAGAATATTTATAGAGCTGATGATTATTGGAAAACGTGTAGAAATGCGCATTTTTTAATGAAATAGACATCTCATTGATGTAACAAAAAAATAAAAAAAATAATTATTTCGAGACAGCTGTCAAACATGTACATTTGGGTCGAAAAAAGCTTGATGTTTAGGTAAATTCACGGCCTGAATTTTTTTTTTGGCACGTATCTGTGGAGGTATAAATAATACGTCAACCATTCTTCGCACAAGTCTCTTGTGGCCGCTTTACTTGAAAGGTTTTTTAGTAAATCTATTGTGAAAAAAGACAAAAAAAAACCACAGAATTACTTACGGAAAACCTTTGAACTTCAAATACGTCGGCTCATTCCTCTCTGTAAATGGCCTGAATAATCCTCTTGGCAGCATGATTACTGATTTATATTCCGTATGCCAATACTAGGATAAGTCTTCTGTAATAATCTTTCTTTTGTAGATTCATCTAATCGCTTCAACTCACATATTTAAAAAAAACCCCAGAAATTCTCGTCCTGCGCTCGCTTTGCCTTCGAGTGTACCATGAAGATCGTGGTGATGAGCCAATAAGACTATCATTTGCGATGGTATTTGTCAATTTTAACAATACAGAGAGCATTGTCCTTGCATAAAGGTGACACGCTAAACAAGATGATTTACCATTTCAGGGAAAAGAAGTCATTGACGGCGCCAAAATTTCAACTCATAGGTTTGACAAAATTGAGCTCTTGCCACCAGTGTTTGAAATTTTTACAGTTGATGTAGAGGTGGCTAAAGAAGGCGTAGTGGCGTCTCCATTTTTGAAGACTTGCATGGGAAAAGGTGTCATAAATGAGTCAGTCGTGGTACAAATCGATGGACATATGATCCGAAATTAAAGTGATGGAGGAACAATACATCGTAACGCTATGTATTCTTTTTTTTCTTGGTACAGTCATCTGATTAAAGGGGAAAAACTATATAGATAATATATATATATATATATATATATATA